ATGACACAAGCGGCGAACATATTAATTACCAGCAAAACAACTGAATCGTGTTTACTGCGCATACACGAAGACAGCTGGAAAAAATGTTTATATGAGTAATACAATCAAAAATTTTAGGTGATTAATTTAATTATTATTTTAAACTTTATTAAGCCAGTCATCAAGACATATCATCATTTACCAACAATTTTAAATAAATTCATAACCAAGGCAAGTATTTTTCTTATTTCCCATATTAATTTACTGACAGTCTATGCTGCCTACAGCCTGCCTATCTCCATAGCTAGGTATACGAGTATGAGTGTGAATCTTCCATTTAAGCGAAGACACTCCCAACATGTCTTCAGCATTCACTCATTCTTCTTCATTTTCGTTGTAGCTATAAACAAAATGCCTCTATGCCAAAACTAGTAAACTCCCCCACTAAACGTGGGATTGAAAAATGAAAAATAACATTAATGTAATAAGAACAATAACACAAACATATGTACCCACATATGTGTACAAGTAAGAACATTTCTATACATAATTAACTGCTGAGTTGAGCATAGAAGCGGCAGTAAGTTATGTGCGCAGGCGTATAGGACAAAATACTTTATATGTACCATATACATATGCTTATGTACATGTAAGTGTGACATGCATGGAAATTGCACAGTGCAAATCGAGACAAGAATTATGCTACAAACAGAATTTTAGTTGAATTTCAAACGTAATTGTTCTCATTCAACAGACCGTGAAGAAGAAGTTGAGACCCACGTCCGTTTACATCTGCATACGTGTGTACATACTTATGTTCTTATAGCTGCCTGAGCTATAACAAATAGGCACAAGGCGTAATTTCTTATATGTCTTCTCTCCCGCTGGTGGGCTTCTGTAGGAATATTATGTCTGCAAACGATAAAAATGACGTTCGGCTAAAGAATTTCTTGTACAACTTGGAGGGCTGTTTAATAATAGTAAGCCAACTTGTGAAGTCAGTGACGGAAGTCGCCTGTCTGCCAAACGAAATTAGTTAATAGTAATTTGGGTGTGGGAAATAATTAAACTCGAAACTCGCGCGAAATTTTCTCTGAATTGGCAGCAATGATGCATTTAGAAAATGCCATTGTGAGTGGCAAGTTTCTTGCCGAGACTCACTGTCTTCGCGCTGTAGGCAAATTGCAGCAGGAAGTGCTGTGGGTGCAGTAAGCATGCGCAGCAAACAAATATAACAAATAGACTTAACCAAACACACATGTCGCAAGCTTTCGTACATACAAAACATAGATTTTGTAGGTTTTGCCGACTACGCATTCTCACCGTTGCATTTACTCGCTTGCATTTGGAAAAATGTTGCTGGTGTTTTTTATATCAATTTTATCTCAACTTAACAGTGTTGCTGTATCTGTTGGGAAAGATCGTGGCCGCAAGCACTTGAGTTATGTGTGTTAGTTCCGGCAATTGAATAAGTTTTGTTTGTAATTACTTAAACAGTAGAAACATAGTGGGGAAGCACTCTAAATGAAGCAAAAATAAATAAAAAATAAAATTAAGTTAAATTAAACTAAAATAAAATCGAATGAATTAAACAAATACAAAGCTAAACCAAACCAAACTAAAGAAATAAAATAAAATAAAATAAAATAAAATAAAATAAAATAAAATAAAATAAAATAAAATAAAATAAAATAAAATAAAATTAAATTAAAATAAATTAAATTAAATTAAATTAAATTAAATTAAATTAAATTAAATTAAATTAAATTAAATTAAATTAAATTAAATTAAATTAAATTAAATTAAATTAAATTAAATTAAATTAAATTAAATTAAATTAAATTAAATTAAATTAAATTAAATTAAATTAAATTAAATTAAATTAAATTAAATTAAATTAAATTAAATTAAATTAAATTAAATTAAATTAAATTAAATTAAATTAAATTAAATTAAATTAAATTAAATTAAATTAAATTAAATTAAATTAAATTAAATTAAATTAAATTAAATTAAATTAAATTAAATTAAATTAAATTAAATTAAATTAAATTAAATTAAATTAAATTAAATTAAATTAAATTAAATTAAATTAAATTAAATTAAATTAAATTAAATTAAATTAAATTAAATTAAATTAAATTAAATTAAATTAAATTAAATTAAATTAAATTAAATTAAATTAAATAAAAAGTATTTAAATTAAGTATAATTAAATATACGAATACGATTCCGTTTACTTTTTCCAAAAAAATTAACTAATTTTCAATTGGACAGTAGAAAGATTTATTTCTTGCTTAAATGATTTCCAGCTTAGTTCAAGAAAATACAAAAATTTAGCTTTAATATTTTTCATCCAACCTTCTTAGCTAAATTTATATCACGCGCTAAATAACTTCGTCAACACTTCTGTACGCGGCCACCCACCCATGCCGGTTGTCATCCATAGCAAAGCAGTCAGATACCAAGGCCTGCAATCGACCGAGTGAAAAAGCGAATAACATCTTCGGCAGCTAATTTACAAGTCTACAAATCTAAGAGCAAACAACAGGTGAAAGATAATCCGCATACAATTGTCTCAAAGCTTTGTGTTTTAGCCGCAAGCTGTGACACGACACACATTCGCACATTCATGCTTTCGAGCACTGGCTTGCGGTAATCATTTGTACACTTTTAATGAGCCAGTGGTGTTGCATTACTTAATACATGTTTTTGCCCAGTCCCTGCCTCTTCGGCCAAACCAATTTGTTGGCGGCGGCAGACGGTGCACTGTTAAAGTTATCTTTTTATGTTTGCTTAGCCATGCTCATGTTTTCCTTTACTTAGTACATACTTTTATTTGTGGTGTACTTAAAGTTTATGGCATAACATGTCGGCCAATGTAACTGTCATTAAAAACAAAGAAGTTCATTCATTGCCACAGTTTTATTTTTAATTGCATTGTTGTTGTTATAACCGGCTATGAAATATGTAATTTGTTTGCTTTGCCTTGTGACATGTCACCAATGTCATCGGTTGTACGGTAAATGTTAGCATAAACAGTTATAGCTTAGAAAAAAGTATGGCAACCATGAGGGACACCTGTATGACGCCAATATAAGCAAATTAGCTTTTGCTGATTTACAACATACAATAATAGCTAACTTCATAAATATTGTAATGTGTTTTATTTAATTGCACTTACATAGATACATACATCACTTTAATAGCTAATGCACCTGACATTATAAAATTTTGGATAATTATAACTTCTTCATTGCCGGATTAACCGAATCTCTTATTGGAGTGAAGCGATCATAATAGATCGGTTTATTTGAAAGCGTGCTTTGAGTATTAATTCAAATAGAGCTTTTAATGTTAATTTGAGAAAAATGTGAAGTTTCATCTGGTACTGTAGATCTGGTTTTCGGAACGGTTTCTCTGCGTCCGTTTTATTCAGCTCATAACATTAATTTCTTGGATACTGCAGAGCGGAGCTTAGTGGGGGGTGGAGGAGTGGTTAGGATATTTTGTATATTTAGTTGATTGGTTGGTCTGGTTGTGAAAACAAGTTCTCAGAAAATGCACTGTCATAAGGCCTGATTGGTTTGGTTAAAGGAATCAAGTCAAATTTCCTTATTCCGGGCTTTCCTCGGTGGGGAAAGTCAACCCCTTTGAGTGTATTACTGATATGAACTAAAAAAAAGACTTCAAAGAAATCCATCAGCTACTCAGAGATGGCTTATAATAGATTGCAGGCCCCACGCTTCATACTTTCCTAAAAATCTAAGCATCTCATATCTATGCTTAAGAATATATACTCTCTAACAGAAATTCAGCCCATCTTATATAAATCGAACCATTAATACCATTTTTTTCGGATAGAATTATTCGTGATCCACTTCTTTAAAAAAATGTTTCAAGACCATCGTTTAATCTACTTTGACACATCAAAAAATATCAATAAAATCGCTCAAGATGCTTAAAGGATCCAGGTGTGCCGAAAAAGTCGGTAGCTGTCTCATTCTTTTTAAATAGGTTGACCCAATAACCCGAAGAAGAAGTAATGTTCATATGAATCTATACAAAAATCTACTCGGGCACCAAATTTAAAATAAATATAAATCTTACGGAAGAAAAGTTATTCTGAGCTCTGCTCGATTCCACTTGAACGCTCATAAAAAATTTCTTCAAAATCTCTCCAACCATTTAGAAGGCCTTCATTGGCAGATACAGATCAAAGATATACAACAAGGAAAACATTACGCCACCTTTTGTAAGATTTTTCCACTTTGAGCAGGAGCAGAGCTCATTAACAAAAGTACGAAGCTTGCAAGTCAAGGCACAATCTTTAGCAGTACATTACCCACACTCCGGGCAGTAATTAACACTTCAAAATAATAACAGAGAAAATTCGTCTAATATCACAATTCCATATTTTTTATGCAAATTACCAGCTACACACATACATACATACATATAATGTCAATGCAGATTTAGTAGCGGCCGAAAAAGCACCCCACAGAGCTTAGGTATTAATGTGAGTATGTAAATGCAAATGGAATTCGAACACCGTAATCAAAATTATTAACCATCTGTGTTGCGGCTGATGTGCGATGCGTGGCTCTAGAATTTCATGAGGTCGCAGATATAATATCCACATGCTTGCCAAGCAACGAGCTGCTGCTGCTGTGGCCTCACCAAGGGTGGCAATGCTTTTTTCCTTTTTTTTTTGGTATGTGCAAGCGCATTTGCATATATATACAATTGTAGCTAAAAATAAATACATATGTATATGGAAATATTTGTGTGAAAATTATGAGTATAAAAATAAATTCATTATGCGGTTGTATGCATATATCTATATACCTAATTTATGAACATTAAATACACAAAATAAATGTTTTTTGATTCAATTATAGACATTCTATGTGCCCAGCAGCGGGTTTTACGTTTATTAATATGTTTTCCTTTTTTGATTTTCCAAAAATATGTAAATTTTATTTTACTTACGTTTTTCCATATTTTTCACTAATTTTCAGTTATGTTTAAATACAAAACTTGTGAACATTGACAACTGTACGCGATAACGAACATTATGGATGCTGGCAGTGTTGTTAGTGAACCGATTTCGGCGCATCATCGCGCATTTGCGAAACAAAAATCAGCATCAATGGTGAGTAAAGGAGCTGCAAAAGAAATAATAATATATATTTATGTACGAAATCGTTAAATATATATTAATTGTATGTTTTTCAACCAACTATAAATAATGAGTTCTCTTATAAAAAGCCTTTTCTGATGCTGATCTGAGACAAAACCTCTTCTTCTTTAGAGATACCCAAAAGTCAATCGTGTTCATGCAACAAAAGAAGTAGATAAACTCAAGTTTTAATTGCTTATTAAATTTCATATATAGAATAATCAATTATGTACACTATGCAAGTGTATTTCCTTTTGAGCAAATGGAAATTGGAATTCATTGACGAGTGCACGAACAAAAGCTCTTTATGGGCGACTAACTATTACTGTTATCTTCCGCTGGTTTTTTGGGCGCCTTAATTACTTCACATTTTTCACTATGTATGTATATAATATGAAGCATAGCGATAGACTGAAAAAATGTGAATATGTATTTTTATTTTTATATAAATATATAAATACAAAAAAGCTAAAGAAACGCAAACAAAGCTACAAATGTATACTTGTATATGTAAATATATGATATACGAATATATGGTATGAACAATGGCTGCAAATATATATTTATGTTTACATAACTGCATTTGGCGAAGAAAGTTTTTCAAATATTTTTTCTATTATTTTTTATTGACTTAACTTTCGATTCGACATTTTCACATTGAAATTTAATAAACACTTAATTTATTTACGGTTTTCATGCATGCAACAAACAAATCAAGAGTAAACATGCAATATTTTAATGCTCTAATGATTAAATGAATAAAGCAAATATTTATAGTAATTTTTTGTTTCAATAAATATTCAGTACGAATACTGGTTGGTGCGATTTTCGGCCTAGGGGCTCCAATTTGTAGTTTTGCGCCTTGATATTTTTCCAACAAATGGAGAGGCTTATAGTTCATTTTAAGCTTCCTACGAACGCCTGATGGATTTTTATTTATGTCAGAAAATTCACCTAATTTTTTATTTAAATTAAATTTCTATAATTTTGGATGGACTCGAACCCAAGATCTTCCATATGGTAGTACGTACTGCTAACCACTCGTCTTTTGGGGCTGTTTTATACAAACATATTTTTTAATTTTAGTGTACTAAATTTCATTTTATTTGCTTTTATTTTATTTATTTTGTTTTATTTTCATTTATTTCATTTTATTTGATTTATTTTATATTATTTTATTTTATTTCATTTCCATTTTTATTTAATTTAATATAATTTTAATAAATTTTATTTTCAATTTTAATTAATTCAATTTAAGTTTTTGACTTATTATTATTATTAATTATTTAATTTTTTATATGGAAAAGCATAATCAAAAAGTATATCAATCACACCCATTATACTAAGTTAAAGAAGTTCTACGCACTTGTATAAACAGTTATGTACACAAATATTACCAATTACAACATGAAACCATAGGTGAAAAATTAAGATGAATAAATACATAAAATTCAATGAAAAAAAAAAATATTTTGCGCCAGTATTTTTATTGCTTTTGCTGTTATTATGCTTGTTCGTATGTATACCTTGTATGAGAAATAATTGTAGTTTGTAATTGTATTTTATATTATTATTTTTAATATAAAATGTGATGTGCAATGTGGAATGTTATGCGTGAAAATATTAAATTCATTCAATTCATTTCAATTTTCTTTTTCGGTTTCATTATAAAAAAAAACGAAAACTTTGTGAAAAAACAACTTTTCCAAAATCTGTTATATAACGTGTCATATATAATATATTGTATATCATTACAATTGCGAATATTAATGCAAACAAACTCATTTCTTTTATGCTACTTATTTTATACAAAAGCGAGTGTTACACGTGTAAGCTTCTCGCAGTATAGAAAGCTCGTCACAAAATTTCATTTCCTCAACAACTTTCTGATTTCATCTTGCTTGCCCTCACATGAACTTGTCAAATGAGTTGCCTGATTTTTGATGAGTTGTTTTAGCAGAATTTAGTATTCTAATTGATCACGTATCATTTCGACTTCAGATAAGTTCAATGAACAGTTAGTTTTAAACCGCTAAAAACTGACAAACGGTGCGTTACTATAAAATTCAATGATGTTGACAATATTCAGCAATTAAAAAAATATTCTAAGTTAAACTAAAAAGTGGAAAAGTTTCTTACTTTTCACACCTTTTCGGCAATATTTCCTGCACTTATATTTATGAGCCGTGAAATTGCTTGACCTCACAGTTTTTGTAGCCACAAATATTCCTGAAAAACAGGACATGCGGAATGCATATGTTCGTACATATATGTTCCGAGAGAAAAAAAAAGAAAATGCTTTCATCAATTCTGTAACGAATTGGCATAAGAACTTCCTGAATGCTTCCATTCAACCACTTTCTTATGAGAAATACAAATATTAATTGTTTAGAAGTAAAGTGACGACTTCCTTCGGCAACACACACTAACAATGCTTTTCCCATTTACAATAATTATCAAGCATGAAGGTATGTTTCTGAGGAGTAGGGGTTGTTTTTGCGACGATACTTTATAAAGAAACAGAGCTGAATGGCATAAACTTGAAAAAACTTAATGACACGTTACAGGAAACTAGTTTATGTGCAAATAGAAGGAAAGAATAATGGAAAAACTAATTTACATACTTGTCTCGATTTACGGCTAGGGGTGCAAAAAGAAAAGTGAAAAAATTAACGACAGCGGTGTTGCTAAATTGGTTGATGAAAATATCATTTAGCGAACAAAAGCGAGAAACTCGTAAAAAAACTGCATTTTTTTTACTTTTGAGTAAAGAAAATGTTTGCCAAAGAACAAAATATATGCTGAACAACGCTTTTGACCAAAAGTTTAACCAAACGAATAGTTTTATGGAAATTTGTTCTGAGAATTATTCACATTAAAGCTATATATATATTTGCCAGCACTATTAGATAACCACGTTGCGAGATAAGAACGTTGCGATTATTTCGTCATCTTCTTTGCCGACGTCGACGCCGTACATTTAGTAATACCAAGTGTGACCAGGTCCTTTTCCACCTAGTCTCTCCAACGTAGTGGAGCTTTCCCCCTTCTTTGCTTTCAACTGCTGAAAGCGATTTTCAGCCAAGCTCCCACTCAAATTTGTGTGGTGTTTTATCTGAATATTCTTCCAACAAATGGAGTCTAGCCATTATTCATGTTAGAAATACACTCGGAAGGGTTGACGACTGCAATTAGAAAATATAACTAAATGCTTTATAATTTTTGGATATTGGTCAGACGTGAACTTGATCGTGGCCGTTTATTTAGGGTAAAATATCCTAAAAATGTTTGGATAAATTTTGTTAGTATCCATAAGTGGCCTGAAAACGAGGCCCTAAAACTCTACTCAACTTTTGGAGAACTACACTGATATGTGCAAGAATCAAAATTAAAAGAAAATAAAAAATCATATACTTTTTTTAATTAATGCCCAACGCATAAGCCGTATTTAAATAGATGTTTATATAGTTCTTTCAGGGTAGATAATCCTCGGTGACACTTCAGCAGTAGCTAAAAGTAGTCCGGTGCGAGAATTTGGCTTCTGACAGACGAATAAAAATGTATTTTTAATTATAATACCATAAGCATAGTGGAACATGATATTGTGCCCGTGATTCAGCATGATAAATTCATTTGATCAATATCAATTATCAATATCCTGATACATTGTTTTGAAATCGCACTTTGCTGCATTACAACTTCCTTTGAAGCTTTGAAGCTAGCAGTATCCCTAGCATTTTTTCTATCAACTTTTAACAGCAGAAGAACTAAAAGAAGTGATAAATAGTTAGTCTCTTTTTGCACTTTGATTTGTGGTCTTTAAACAATTCCACTTTCGACAACACGACTATAAGTGAACGCCGCGTCGGTTGCACCACTCTATTTGTTCTCAGTTCTCACCAGTTTTGCACTTAATTCACACTCGGCGCGGTTGCTAACAAAGATATGAGAATTATAAACATTTATTGAAAATTTGTATATATATAAAAAATATATTAAAAAAATTATCTTCAAGGTTAACAGTTATATCAGTCACCCAACCGTGATAAGATTAAACTTACGCAATCCCAACTTTTCAGAATCCTAAAAAAGTGAAACTCATTGCAGCGCATGCAAATTTTTGTATTTCTTAACTGAAATCGAAAAAAAGTATGCCAAATAGCTAAGTAAAATGTAACGGGCAATTATTAATAGGACAATGAACCAAATAAAATGAATAAAAATAATAACAAAAAATGTCAGACGAGCCTCCGCCGCTGATATCTCGTTTCGTAACAAACGGAAACGCTGAAACGACACTGCCCATTTGTTTCAGCCTACGTATGATGACAAGAAAAATTTCGTTTAAGTTATTAGAAGATTATGCATCATTTCAACTACGAAATTTCTCAAAAAACAGCCTTAAACTAACTACGGAAGAGGCATGAAAGCAGGGATTGGCGCTATATTGAATTTAGTTGTTATAAATGTTATATTAATAAATCTGTGTGAAGTAAAATGTTTTGGAAAAACACACTTATACTCTTTTATTTTGGCCTAAAATTTGGATCTTATTAAACAATTTAAATAATTTCATCATCAGTAATACTGATCAATACAAATACAATATATCGAAATGTGGTCAGTTGTGCTCGATTAAAAAATTATCGCATGACTGGAATTTTTATTTGCTTTTTTAATTGGGAGTTTATTGTGATAAGTTATATGGAGTGCAGAAATGACTACTCATCATGAGATTGACAGAAATTGTATGTGCGGGAACACTGTATTTGTTTTAAAAGAGAACGGATGTGATTGAGATATAAAAAACTAGCTAAAATTAGTTAGATTATCTTCAGATAATATTTTATATTGTATATTCATTTTAAGACGCTACCTTGTTACCTTGTCTGAAGAATAAGCCTAACTCATGCATTTATTTGGGAAATGATCGATGAATATATGACTCAGTAAGACGCAGTTGCATTGAGTGGTTTTTAACATAATCTAAAAAAATTTAAAAACAACTCTCTACCAAACCAGAAATATGTAACCCAATTGAGAAAGTAAGGCGGAAACCTAAATTTTAATGAAGTAGGAATGCCTTGCTAAAGCTGCTGCCGCCAGAAGTATACTCTCAGCAAGCTACCCTCTCTTCTGGCTTAAGAGAATTGCGTGTTAGGCTTTGAAACCTCTATGTATAAATCGGATTCAATGAAAAGCTTCAACAAGCCACGGTTTAAAAACTACAATTTCGCTGACGACTACTCAAAGCGTCTTAAAAGCCATGAATTATTGTTCGTCACCTTGAACGCCTGGTGCAACTAGTTGATGTTTTTATAAAAATAAGTGTTATGGACGCTAAAATATATTTTTCTCGCTATAAAAAGCTTGGTTTTAAATTTCCGATGGGGGGAAGACTCCGTCAGCTGGCCCTATCATTTGCCTCATTGCATGCGCTCCGGCCGAAGATAAAGACAATGTAAGCGAATATACTTTCTATGAGCGCTTGAAACGCACTTATTAGCGCTATGGTACAATCGTAGCACTCTGAGAGCACTTGTATCGGTAGAAACCCTTGGCTGCTAATAGATACATTATGTTTTTTTCTTCAACAAATTAAATTAAGGTTAGCTACATATTTTAAATATTTTTTTTTAAATCAAAGTTTTGGGCTCTTCGTATTACTTTGTTTATATTGTCATTGAATCATGATTTTGGAATTTTTTTATAGTTCGCCAATGAAAGAGTAGAAAAAGAAATAAAGTTTAATTATGGAGAATATATTTTATTATGAAATATTGAAAGTAAAACAAAACAAAATGTCTATATATATACGCCCACACTATATATATCTCATTGTCTTTTTTAATTTGATATTTTACAAAAAAAGGTAGTTTAAACGTTTTATCCCTCAAAGGCTCCACGGTTATGTAGCCAAGGAAATACGATTTTGGCGTGTTCCTTATAGCGTGAACCCGTCAACATGGCTTTTCTATGCTTCAAACTTGCCGGTGTATCGCCAAGCATATCTGTTAAGTCACCCGCTTCACTTGGATCGAGTAACACAATCGCCATATGACCAGAGGCGGTGGTAAAGCCTGCAAAAAAGAAGAGTACATATATAAATTCATTGATAACACAGGCCGACAAAAGTTGATTAAACTCTGTAACCAGAACCAGGACTATAATTTCCGAAGGACCCGATTTTTTAAAGAGTAGAAGTGGAACTTTCAGGTAGAATAACGATCCCAAAAAAACTCTTTCCAGAAGTCGCATGACCTCAAATGTAGCAAAAAAAAACATGTTTTTTTGCAAAAACATGACGTGCTGGAACTGTTTTAAATCCAGACTCGGACTCAGCACGTCAAAACCATTCGAAAACGTATAGTCCTGTTTCTGGTTACCAAATAATGTCGGCCTGTATGATTTAATTTTCTCTCTGGTTTTCACTCACCAAAAACGCCATATTTCAAAAGTGCAATGTGTATATCTTTCAAATTGGGCAGCTTTTTCGGATACTTGAGGAGTTTTAGGCACTCAGTCAATTTGTCATGATAATATTTTATGAAGTAATCAAAATGCTTTAACTTCACTTCGAGTTGCGTCGAGGAGAGAAGTATGGTATATAAGTCAATCACTGGTGAGCCATAACAAGGCATCTGAAAGTCCACGAAATACGTTTCTTTAATTTTACCAAATGCATCATATTGGAACATAACATTGTTCGCCCAGAAGTCACCATGATTTAAGACATTAAATGCATTGGGATCGTGTTTCTTAGCTGCACGCAGCTCTTTGAAAAAACTATCATGAAATTTAATCTACGGACAATTAAAAGAAAAGCTATTGAGTATGCAAGAAGGAGAGTACGAATTAAAAATTTACTTACAAAGCTATCAATATACTCTTCATGTCCCTCATAGGTCCGCACACAATCCTCATACAGTGTCCCCGCCATCTTATCCATTTGTTCCATTACATTTAGCAAATCATCGGTGAATAGACCTGTATTTAATACGTCGGGATACTTTCCTTTAGTTTCCACGCGCACAGCTGAGGCGGCATGCCATTGTGCCAACTTTTCCAACGTGTGCTTAGTGTGCTCCATGTCAAAGCCCTCCAAACGATTAGTGTTTTTGAAGCCGCGTTGCCGTAAGTCTTCCATGAGTATAACATCGGACTTAGAGGGCGTTTTCAACTCATAATATTGTGGAGAAAATTTCACTTCAACACCAACGTCAGTGTACATTTTCTCCATTTCCGGTATAACATCACTATACATCATGATCTCTATGACGAAAATGTTACGACTATTCATGAGTTTCTGTACTGCGTCGATTGGCAATTTTAGCATATAGGAAACTTCTTTTGATTTTCCACCTAAAACGCAGGAGATACCATTTAAAATTATACTTCTACTGTCTACAAACATTTGCTCACCTTCCAACTCCACCTCAGCCTTCACCAATGCGATGATGGTTGCATAATTTTCACCAGCACCCTGCGCTGGCTTGGCCGAAAATTTATTTATCGCCTTAAAGCCGGTTATGTTTGCCTTGAAAAAGTCCAGAAATAAGTCCTCTTTCAGCCAATCGGGCAATTGTGGCGCAGCCTTAGCCTCCACATTTCCCGCTGCCGGCGCATCATTCGCTTTTTGCGCGCTCTTAACCGCCTCGAGCTCTGGCTTACCATTGGCGGTCGCTGTAGCTGTTGCTGGCATTTTCACGTTGTCGCGTTTCTCTGTGATTTTACTTAACTTGGCTAGTACGTTGTTTGTATTTAAGTGGCTCTAAACAATCCACAGCGTCTGGCGCGATCAGTGTACGGCGTGGAACTGTTCGAAAAAAGCTCTACACTGGCATAAATATGTACGCGGCATTCTTTACCGTATTATGCTTTATATACGTATGTATGTGTATATGTTGTTATTATACACACATTCAAATTAGTATCTGTAGTTGTTTATATAATTGTTTGTTTATCAGCTAGTTCATAAATGTTGTCTTATACATACATACATACATTCACACATATGACATGAACAATGACTCGACAATAAAAATAGTTTAAAGATATCATATACATATATATAAATACATATATTGCATAAAATCAAATAATTTTTCATCACGATTGTCAGACATATGGGCATTTCGTTCATTTTGCGCGCGAAAATTTTAAAAAAGGTTTATGGCAGACAGCGAAGCGATTTTCTTGAATTTTTCATCACAATACTTAGCTATTTCTAATAAATTTTTACATAAAAAATTTTTTCTCTGAACAGAGCATATTCGATTTCCGATGAATTTTGAAAACAGTACGTCATATTGAAATACTTCCTTTAATATTATTATACTTGAGATATAACAAAATACGGACCTTCTTCGATACACCTCGTGCAGTTCGTTATGGAGTAGGACTTTGCTTTATACAAAGGAGGAAGGGTTCGCTTCGGAATTTTATAATTCCATCCCCGGCTCTTTGGTAGAAGTTTATGGTAGAGATCCATATTGACTCCCGTTTTAGGGTGTCCGATGGAAAGTCTTGCAGACTCTATTGGACTTTCTATGGGTGTTCTTCCTAGCCAGGAATTGATGCCGCCATAGACATTTTCAATGGTTCTATCTCTACCAATTGGTTTTGTGTGTTCCGTTGATTTTTGGCCTTGGGTATAAATTAATATAAGTGGTCCCATTTGCCCTCACAATTTAACATACCTTTAAAAATGGTATTTTCAAAAATTCGTCTGAACTTGGGACATCATGCTAAATTCGTGTTTCTAGTTTCTAAAATTGTTAAGCTTTTCGAAATTTAATGATGAATACAGAAAAAACAGTTTAATAACTGTGCGTAATCTAAACATGCTTACAGAAAAATGCTCCACATACTTTGATTTTTAGTCTTAAGAGCTGCAATATCTCTTAACATTGTAAACGGTAGTCACGATTTTCCCCTTAAACTTTTTGGTCCGGAGTTTCGACAACGGCGGAACATGCCACACAATGCAATTATGCCTTGCAAGAGAAATTTTCCACCCACGTAATGTCTTGATCAAGGTGCAAACGTTATTTGAAAAAGAGGAATTTTACACAAAAATTATTATAAATGCCTTTGATTTACATTTATTTTCGAAACCACGAAATGGATGGCCCTGCACATAAGTTCTCACATTTGCTTGTAGCAATGTGTAAAATTAAAATATTCTACTTTGAACAAATTATAGAATAATGCTCAATGATTAACTTGCCAAACCAAAGTACAAAGTTATTGAATAATAAATATTTTTATATATACATACATATGTATGAAAGAAGGCTCGTAGAATTATAAGTACAAATGCTCTAAGCAATACATCCAAACAGTAATTATGAAAAAGAGACACTAGTATTTAAATCCCAGCAAATACAAATATAAGTACAACTAAAAAGTTGTGATTTCTTCTTTCTTTTTATTATCGTTGGCACCGCCTACGCGATTATAACCGAATCGATATTATCCATCTCTTCTTTTCGCTGTTTGTTGCCCGTTGGATACCAAGTGAAGCGAGGTCACTCTCCACCTGCTCTTTCCAACGGAGTGGAGGTCTCCTCTTCCTCTGCTTCCACCAGCGGTTACTGCATGGAATACTTTTAAAGCTGAAGGCTTTCATCCATTCGGACGACATGACCTAGCCAACGTAGCTGCTATCTGTTCATTCGCTGAACTATGCCAATATCATCATATAGCTCGTTGTTTTATATTCGCTTTTGGCAATGCGCAAAGAACCATAAATCATGGAGGTTGTTTTTCGTTCACCAAGAGAGGACTTCACTTTTCCAAAGTAGCATCTGTAGGTAAGAGTGATTCTGCGTTTCCGAGCTGACATTGTTTTTGATTAATACGCTGGACCCAAGATAATCGAAATTATCTACGACCTCGAAGTTATGACTGTCAACAGTAACGTGGGAGCCAAGTCACGAATGCGATGGCTGCTTGTTTGATGACGGAAGATATTTCGTCTTCCCTTTTTCACTACCAGACCCATTCATTCCAAAGCCGCGCTGATAAGGTCCAATCAGTTTCTTGACGGTGGGTTTCAGTATTTCACGCAATACGCTTGGTAGGGCCTTATATGCGATGTTAAGGATAAGAACCAGACAACCTCCGAGGCTCACCTCTTAGGGGTAAAAAATTTGCTATATACAAAGCGCACATCTTAAATATATGAAAAAACAAAAACAGACAACAGACACGCCCAATATTTCGCAACAATTCAATTTCAATAATTACATTCTAACATTTTTGGTAGTCATTTTATTGACACAAATAAGTGTGGCGTAGTTGTACAAATATCTCGAGGCAATTTTGACTTTATTTTTCAACGTCAATGCCAATAAAATTGGAAATATTGATAAAGTTAATAAAATGATAAAAATCTTTCTATGATGTGATAATAAACAAGAAGGAAGTGCTGCCTTTGCCGATGCCGAAGTCTTTATACCTTTTACGAACTTATCAAATTTATTGTATTGCATTGCACATTTCGGCCGTGGTAGCCGAGTGGTTAGCATTGCGTACTGCCATTCGGAAGGCTCGGGCTCAAATCCCCGTACGACCAACATTCAAAAGTTATGGCAAATTACGGTTACGAAGCGCCAATTATATATTTAAATATATATATTCCACAATTCGATTAGTTTTAGTGGCAATATGCAGATATTTTTATGCGTGTAAAGTACCTAATGACAAGTTCTTATACGCTTTATTAGAATATTCATGACCCATAATCAAATATTTGAACAAATAGGTTGTCGTATAGTGTATGTACGAGTATAGTCGTTCTTTCAAGCCATGTCCAAGATGGTCAAATATAAATAAAAGTACAACCGCTCTCCAAGCTTTTTTGAAATATTTCAAAAGCTGAGGTATTAACGGGCATGGCTAAATCTGATCTGATTTTTAGAGGGTCTCCCACGCCTCCAACTGGTAATTATAGATATACTTCGGACCAAAGACAATAAAACATTTCATATTCCTTAATTGCAATTATTGAGGATATTGAAATAAACAGCCCGAAAGCAGAGAACCTAGACCGCCAACCGTGTTGATGACTTAGAAATTTTCACTTTAAATGTGTTTGGAAATTATACAACCCAAAATTAGTTTAGGTTAAATCCCACTGGCTGACCGCTACACTCCTTGATATCTGCCTTTGAAGATTTTTCCGGCACCTGAACTGCGAAACGTAAAAGAATCTATAATCTGCTGAACCACTTATCTTATCGTTATATTTTTTTAAATTTCGCCTTATCAATGAACGCATAGATAAACTTAGTTATGGGATAAACATTATTGGTTACAGGTGATTATTTGGAGGATTGTATTCTTTATTTCTCTCTCCCTCCCTCCCTCTACACGTCTTATGAAAATACCTCAAAAAGCTTTTCAGAGACTTTTAAAGCGCATTGCTTATCAAAGTTTGCAAGCAAAAGTTTCGGGTAATTCCAGTTAAAAATAAATAGTAGAGAGAGTATAGAAACTTATGAAAAGATGTTATGTCTTGGCTCATAAAAAAAAAGAAGGAAGGTTACTTGTCAATGCAAGCTCAAGTGAAATCTAATTTGCCTTATGGAAAATAGATATTTTTAATCACAATCGGAATGATTAATATAATTAATATCAAAAGTGAACTCCAAAACCGCTTAGGATTTCACTAAATTGATTTAAAAGTAAAAGTCGTTTCGGGCGGGACGAAAAAAACTTTGTTGAAGACATTGTCCTGAATTCTGAATACTCAACAGATTCAATAATAAATTATAGGTATAAGTGAAAGAGGGATCAGAGACCAGGACAGATTTTCCTAGAATTTGGTACGAGGCAAGTTTTTTGTCTGCATTAACGTGTAGAAAGCGAGTATGAGTACACTGATTCCCGTTAGTCGAATTTCATTTATAACATAAGCAAACGGTACAAACAAGAGCAATCATGCGCGATCCTCTGTCTGTTGCCTGTCTGTCTTTCGATTGGACCGAAAAATCACTTTTTACATCTATATCTACTGACTTAGATTCCCTGCAAATAAATAACATAAAATTTTTAAATATCTTAGGAGTTTACCTGAAGACATTCGTTTGGAGCAAAACGAAGTTCGCTGGGACCGCTGTTTTAATATATAATTTTAGAGATTTTAATAGTGGTATAGTTCACAAAAATGTATACTAAGTATTGAAATTACTACAAAATAAACTCCATACTATGAAGAGCAGGTTTTGAGCATTTCCATTATAGCAAATGCGTTAGCTCACCTTCGCCTTCCATTTCTCTCTAGCCATTCAGAAAAAAGCTCTCTAACAATAACTTGTAGTCAGGCAAAGTGAAAAGTTTACAAAATTAAAAAAGAAAAATTATAAAACACACTTGAGCTTTTATGGGAGCTTTTGCTTGACATAACAAAATGTGAGTGTTTCGTGTTTGTGCTAACGAGCATATTGTTCAGCAGTCAATATCTGATGTCCCGCCCGGAGTGAGTTCGCTTGATTTTGTAGCTTAGAATCGGTAAAAAAAATAATAAATTTAGAAGTGATTTTTTGCTTTTCTTCTGTTGTTATCTTATTTAACGAATTAAATTTGCGTAAAAAGTGAAAAAACTTTATTATAAAAATATTAAAAAACACTGTAATTGCCCAAAAATTGCAGAAAGTGCTTCCGGTAGAGTTTAAAGTGTAAGTAAACGAGCCTTAGCGGCCAAAATCAAGTACAATAGACACGATTCACATTCAGATATGCAAACATAAATATCGCATAATCCATGTATTAAATAATAATAATCTATCAGAGGAATTTTCGATGAACTTTTTCCTATATTTTTACCCTTATGGACTCTTAAAACAAACTTAGAAAATATAAACAGTGAAAATTAGATATGTGTGTGCGTTTGTATACCGAAGTGGGCAACAATGCACTAGGAAAACAACAACAACCGGGTACGCGTGGCCATAAAAACATGGTTATACATACATACATATATCCACATGTACATGTAAATATGTAATAAAAATTAAGACATTCACAACACGAAGTGATAATACGAAATTAGTGAACGTGCATGGGAACTTGTACGCCCGCTTGCAGAAGCTTCAACAACATATACTCGTTTACATACATTTATACATGTACACGTATATGCGATAAAAACAGCTGAGAGGGAGGCAACGAAATTGATTGAAGTGAAAAACAAATATTCCGAGGGGCCCATCCACACCATAAATTCACACATACATAAATAGATATGAAAACTCATTAGAAATGTTTAGCTCTCATGGAAAAGAGAGTGCTTTTGACACAACAGATATTTCACATCTACTTTATTTTAGATACCGTCGTCTACATATGCTTATATATGTATATGTGTTTACATAGCAATATAAACAACGATCAACTCTACTGACAAGTACACGCTCTGAGTAACAAAAATTGTACACAAGTTGCTCAATAAACGTAAAGTGATTAGTAAATAATTTTACACACATACATACCTACTTACAACACATATACGTACATATATGATACAATAAAAACAGCTTATCATGCGGCTTCCAATGCTCAGTATGTTCTCGGCTCTACGCCAAACAGCATTCCAACAAGCTCAACACAGCGCCGCCACACCTTTGCTGCTCCAGAAATATCTTAGGAAATATAGCAGTGATAATAATATCAACGCAAAAATGGTGGCTCCCACACCTTTTTCCAAAGACTTCTTCTTCCGGCAGGTACGTAAATTAATTTATTAAATTATACTTGGTGCTTAAAAATAATAATGAAAATAAATGGGTTCGACCAGCTCTTTGACGAAACCAGCTGCACTTACACTTACCTTTTGGCCGACTTGAATACGAAGGAAGCCGTTTTGATTGATCCGGTATTGGAAAAGGCAAAGCGTGATGCAAATCTTGTTACGGAACTAGGATTTACGCTTAAATATGCTTGTGAGTATTATTGAGAAGTGTTTCAATTCAAATGCATTCTTGTTGTTTGTGTCATTCAGAGTTCTTAATGAGTTTAGTGAGTGTCTCTACGGTCGATGTAAATTTTCAAGTTTGTGATGAAATGCTTTCATATGAGTGTTCATTTATTTTTTAGATTAGTAATAATTTCTTTTTCTGAGGGATTTTAGAGGAGGAGGGCAATAGTAATAGAAACCCACAAAATTTAAAGAAATATCAGCAAATAGGGATTGAGACGTCACTTCCACGACTCAGCAATAATAGTTAACTGAATTACATAATTTTTAGAAATTAATTAAGAGATAATTGGGTTTCAAAGGCAATATTTCGGGAATCTATAGATTAAATCTCTACTGTAATTATTTGTAATTTTCTACTCCCACAAAAAGGAGTGGGAAGTAATTCACTGCAAAAAAAGGAAATTCTACATTTTTAGCGTTGGGTTTTTACATTCACTTATAGCGACAATTTTAGCGACACTGTCTTTCTTCACTTCTAAAAAACAGTTACTTAAATAGCGCTGCATAGAAATATAAACATATGTAATATAGAAAATTTAATATTAACCCTAACCATTAAAAGTGAATTCTTTTAAAAACTAGTAGTAACATAAGAATCGATCGATTCGTTTACCAGCAATGTAAATAATGTTTTATTCTTTTGTATATAGTCCTCAAATTGCTAATTTAATAAAAAAAAATTAAATAAATTAAAATTGCTCCATATGAACATAGAACGAAATCAATAAACTATGATATGGTGATTTTCTCCTTTCATTGCGTGTTAGCCATAACTACTTTCCAATAGTCCTCAAAAAATTTAAATTTAAAAACCAATTAGTGACACGAAAGCATTTATTTTTTTCTAATATACAGGGTTATCCATTTGGCTTTTTCGGAAATAAACGTAAATTGGTTTTAACAATTTTAACGCGTTGAGCGATAGATCAGAAGAAAGGATACTGTAGAAGTGTATAAAATATGCTGTGTGGGAAATTAATAGAGAAATAAAAAACTGTTTCACTCTTTCACACGCACACACACACGCACGCATCACCAACAGCAACCGAATCACCAAAATAAAACACCGCCAATTATTTCTAATTTATCAATTAATTAATTAATCTCCTATCAATAATCACCCACAGTGAACACACACATGCACGCGGATCACATAACAGGCAGCGGTTGGCTGAAGCAATTGTTGCCCGGCAGTAAATCGATCATTGCCAAAGCGAGTGGTGCAAAGGCGGATATACATCTCAACGAAGGTGATCCGGTCAGTTTTGGACGCCATCGCATTGATACATTAGCCACACCTGGACACACCAATGGTTGTATGTCATTTGTCATACACGAACAGGGTTGCGTCTTCACCGGTGACACGGTGCTGATACGCGGTTGTGGACGTACAGATTTCCAGGAAGGCGATGCGGGGCATCTATACGATAATGTACATAGTAAAATATTTACACTGCCGGAGAATTTCCGCCTATATCCAGCACATGATTATAAGTGAGTGGATTATGAAAAATAGTCAAGCAAAAAAAAGTATCTTAACGACCCGTTCTTAACTTTTCAGAGGCACTATGGAGAGCAGCGTTTGGGAGGAGAAAACTTACAATCCACGCCTGACGAAAACTAAACAAGAATTTATTGAAATCATGAACAATTTAAATTTGCCTTATCCCAAGAAGATCGGTAATTGCAATTTCAAAAGAAAACTTTCACAAGCAATAGAGAATTTTTTTCTTGCAGATGTTTCCCTTCCAGCGAATCGCGAATGTGGTGTATATGATATTCCAAAAGAATAAGATTCTCCCCGTTCTTTTCCAGAAAAATCAGTGTTTCAAATCGCTTTTCCGATGTGGTCCCACTATTTTAGCAAGCGCTAAACCGCTGAGTCCAGACAGACTCATGTGATATGGACGGCCTTGCTGCTCGAAATGCTGCGAGTTCTGCAGATTTTTCTTCAAAACTTAAATATTGCAATAGAAAATTGTAAAAGTTTGTCAAAATAAACATATTTTTTAATATATTCGTTTATACATACATATATTGACTAACCGAGAATTTTTTGAATAAGCCATTGGAAAATGGTAAGTAGCTTCCTCAGCTTCACAAGATGGAGACTTTGTAAGACCTCGATATATCAGCGAAGCTCTCAAAACATATTTTAAAGGAAACTGTCAGGAACAAGCAAATTTATTAATTGATTCAGAATTTATTATTTTAGTAATAGTTAAACAAAGAAATCAGAAACAGCAAGAAAGTTGCTTTCGAAACTTGAAATTTTTTATAAATATACCTTACCTACCTTCTGTAATAAAATTTGCTCTCTCATGTAACCAATGTCGCTATTCTATCTACTTTCAGACAATTCTCAATCATCGATCCCACAAATACAGTGCCCACAACGATAATAAAAATGTCGACGCGAAAATGTCCGATGCCGAGGTTAACCTCATCAACACAGTACAATCGCAGTGCGCCACGACAGGACGCCGTCGGAAAGTGTCCTCCCTGGGTGGCACACTCTCTGCACGTTCGGCACGCAGTGAAACGAAAGAGCTTCGTTCCGCGCTTCAAGATCGCGAGGCTGTAATACAAAATCTACGCATACAACTATGTTTGGGCAAGTTGCCTCGGCCCACTGGACCACCGCTCGATGAGAGCGAGAAACCGGCTGCAGAGCAAAAGCTACAAAAATTGAAAGCCGAGGCGGAGAATAAGAAAATTAAAATTAAAAACTTGAAGAGTGCACTAGAGAAACTAGACATAACAGAGTGAGTTGTTGGATGTGAAGAATTGTTGTGAAATAGCGACGTCTTTCTAATTTATTTATACTTTTAGTAATATCGACATCCGCATTCGACAGGCGGAACTCGAGTATGCGCTCGGTCGCGAGGAACTGCAGATGCTATCCATTGTGGAGGAGGCACGTGCTTTGCAAGCGCGTTTGGAGAAATCAAAACCGGAATTGCAAACCATTTATAAGTGAGTCACCTTTACAGATTCTAGAAATAATAGTATTAGCTAATATTGTTTTACTGCTCTAGTATCCTCAACTCAGGCGCAACACTAAGCCTGCACGCCGTTCATGCCACCACAGGTCGCTGGGCTGCGCACAGCAAACCCGATCAACCCGGCTTCTATGTGGAATGGGCACTTGAAGGCGATGGACTCTACAAAGGTGATCGCATACTTGAGGTCAACGGCAAGTTGGTAGCGTGTCGAACTAAAGAGGAACTGCAGAAGGTGATAGGAAACTCGGGAAAATGCCAAATTGTGGTGCTACGCAAAAAATGTGCGCCGATACCACAAAAACAGCTTGATCAAGAGAAGGAAAATAATATGCGGCTCCAGCATCGTATTTCTTACCTCGAGGAGCAGGTGCGTGAGCTGCAAACCGCTAAGGAGCAGAACCTGCAACCTCAACAGCAGCAAACCTTGCCACAAACACTACATGCGCACTCGGCAGCGGCGCAAATAAATAACGCTTCGAATAGCCACGTGACCAGCATCAGCATCTCATCGCCACCCTCCACCCCGCCCGACAACAAACCTCTTGTCTTCCAACGCGGCAACTACATTACCACATTAGTTGGTGGCAAGCCCATTGAGCTGATGGGCGAGAACAATGGACAAAATGCTCTGGGCAAAAGTAATTCTGTGGCGCACGTCACTAAAACCCTGATCAAAGAGAATACACAAATTGATCTTCGCCAAGATCGGACGCCACGCAACACTGCAGCACCCAGCTATCCTAGCATGCCACCCAAATCATTGTCCGCCTCGAAGATATCCATCAACAGCGACTCAGCATACATGCAACACACGCACTACCGTCGCAGCGAAAAAGAGCGACATGCGCGTGATCGTGAGCGTGAACGTTACGAGCGCTCGTCGAGCAAGGCGAACGCGTTACAACATCGCGCCAATATGCATGCGCGCAGCGTAGAACACTTAAATCATTATAATGGGTATGTTTAAAGATAATGATTGTTTATTATGTTATATTGAAGTGCTTTTATTGAATTTCTCAGTATGGAGCGCCGCCGTGATTGCTCTGCCACAGCGAATACGCATACGCGCATGCCCACAGATATGCGGAGTGTCAAGTCACTCGACTTCGACAGCGACAATGAAACTGGCAAACACATCAGCGACACTGTGTCAGAAGTGCGCGCTGTACGACCCACGCCACCAAAGAAGCCTCTGCGCCTATCGCTGCAACGCGCGCAAAGCTTGCAAACTGTGGAGCTGACACCCAACTGCGAGGCGGAGCGTAAGCGTCCAATGAAGCGTGCCCACATCAACGAGAAGTCGCCCGGCGATCGCGAAGGCGCGATACTCTTTGATAATGGCAGTCCCTTACAGACCGCCTCGCTAGGTAGGCCGCGTGCGAACATATGAAAATTGCTGAATATTCTCTTTAAGCGCAACGAAGAGACACATTACTAGTTACAGATTTATATAGTATATCTAGACATAGTAGATATTTAATAAACACACTTACCAGTTAAGTTCTTGAATTTCAAAAAAATTACAAAAAAAAATTGTTTTGTAGGTGAGTCGGATGTGTTCAAAATTGTTTAGTCTTTTTTGAAAACGATAAACGTCAATTGTATTTACCAAATAGTTGAAAAGGTTGCAATGTTTATAACAAAGTCGGTAGATTGGGTATTAGGGTTACGCAATACTTCTTAAAAATGCTTTACTCATATTTTTATTTATTAGACTAATTCTTAAGTAAATGTATTTTTCAACTCAATTAAATTATGCAAACAATGTTTTTAGCACAATTTTCTAATAAAAAAATAATAATATTTATGTAAATACACATTTAAATCACAAATGTGGAGTTTGTTCTTCTCATTTCGGAGGGAAACTAGAGAAATGTAGTTTAAACTGCCTACTATTCGAAAATTGTGCCTCTTCATCGCTAAAGCAATGTATAAATTTGAAATATTTGCGAGATTTACGTTGAATAGCGTAGCTCATTGGGCTTTTCGCAGTCAATTTGCACGTTTTACAAATTTTTAACCGTTACAGCTACATATATTACATATGAACAAACATGCTCGTGCCGTTTTATTAGCGCTCGCCAACTTATTTACATACATATACACGTACATATATACGAGTATTTATGTGTTGCTCTACGGAATGTAATCAGAAGTAAACAAATTAGTCAATAACCTGCGTATGAGTACTAAGTAATAGTTACATAATATCGTTATAAAACAATAAAGCATGTAGTAGGCAGGTTAGTGGGTGCGCTTTATTCCATTTTCAAGCCAATGAAGATTTTTAAATGTTGCTAAAATGGTATTCTTTGCATATACATATTTGTTAAGGGTGTTTCTTTAGACGTATGCTTTTCAATGAGCGTAAAAATGTTGTTCAATAATGAAGCTGGCTTTAGGTTGTATGGGTACGCCAATAAACAAAATTGTCGCTTTTGGAGCTAGATGCCGTTACATCTGACTGTTTCGTATGCTCTATGGGCAGAGGGAATCATTGATCAATATTTCTTCACAAATTAAGCCTTCCCTATATATTTACTGTCATACCATACAGACACGCGATCAAATCAAAGGTGCTATTCGGCAGCAAAGTCAGCAATAACAGTTGCCCAAAAGCATTTTAAAAACAAAATAGCAAAACCTTATATTTATATTAAATCTAAATCCTTGGTTGCAACATTAAACTATATGTGTTTTGTTCCTACTTGAAGACCACATACCAAAAAATCACTTAGTTTTTGAAATCCAGGTATGACTACAATTGACCATCCGTGAAATCCTAAAAGGACCCGTTACACCTACAAAGCTTATACTATATATATATATAATTGGCGCTTTCTAATTTCCAATTTGTAGTTTTGAGTCTAGATATGTTTCCAAGAAATGGAGGGACCTCCAGTTTATACTAAGCCGCCTCCCAACGTCCGATGGTTTTTTACGAGGAGCCTTTATTCCATGTCCGAAATACACTTTTGACAGCGAACAATATTTTAACAGTCCTTAAATGCCGCGCAGTAGGTCCTATTTTCTGTAAACTACACAAAGGAGGAAAGCGAACGAGTTTGACAATGAGCAAGGTCAAGGCGAAATGTCTCCTGTCGCGTTTTTGGTCATATCATGCATCTCCAATTGAGGCAAAAATAAAAAATAAAGAAGGAGATTGTTTATTCGGTTATATTCACGTAAACGATGCCTCAAACAATCGTTAGCTATTTGTTGGTTACTTTCTATACAGAAAAGGAGTCAGAGAGCTTTTATAGCATCAGTCCTCTTAAATCTTGTGTTCAACAAATAAAAGATTATAAATAATAATCAAGTTGCTGATAAATAAACCAAAATCGTGGTCGCTTTGTCGAGCGAATAGTGAACAGATAAAGATCTAAAAATATCTCGACATGAAGGTAAAGCTTTCCATTAGCTGTTTAGAGATGGTTCGCTATTTCATTTGTTTGAAAAACATCGAGGCACCCTAAAATAGTATGAAAGGCATGGCTTACATTCGCTTTAGTCGTTATGAAGCGCGCCAGTTATGTACAAAGCATATTTTATATGTGATTTATACCTTTTTTTTAAATATTTTCCTTTCAAATACGCAAATTCTCAAATATATTCTCTCACAAATTGCAACAAAGCCAAATCAAATTAATGGCACTTTCATGTTGAATTTTAATGCATTTTTATGTAAATTAATATTAATATGCCTATGCATAATATATATTATTTGTATGTGCATATACAATTGGCTCTTACCCCCGCTGAATCGATTTTCACCCGGGTACATGTACTTGAATTGTTTTCATTTAATTATCTAAAAGCGCAATCGCCGACCTAAGAGAGTTAGCACCGGCGATCTACTCTGCGCAAAGTAATTACTCTCTATCGATCTCAATCTAACTCACATAGATTAGAATATCTCGCGAGTGAGCGCCAAAGCGACCACTCCACGTCGAATATGCAATATCATGAAAACTTATTGGTTTTATAACACCGAAATCTCAGTTATTTTACACCACCTACCGAACCGACTGCATATCAAGAGTGAGAGCAGCGGCAATAATGCGAGTAGAAACGTGCATTCCCACGTAACATCATCTCTGGACAGGTTCGTTTATTTTTTGTACAATATTTGAGCGGCATATGGTGCGGTGGGCGGCATGTCACGATGCGCACAAATCTGAGGGAATTCTGTTTATAAACAGTTTGCTTTCAACAGTCGTTTAGTTCAGTTTTCTGTTGTACGTCGTCGAGAAGTTAACGCGCACATGTGAAATAATTAAAATTAAAATTAAAATTGTAACATAACTGCCTAAAAACAAAAATAAGCCCAGTCTTAAGAAAACCACGACGTATTTCAAGTGGAACTAAAATTCGTTAAGTGTAAAAAAGGTGAGGCAGTTGTCCATATACACATATGGAAGTTTGTAATAAAAATATTGAGCTCGGATTATCCAGTTCCCGTACAGTCACTGACCAAAGGGTTTGGCCTACAAAATGTGCTCGTTTGACTTATCGCTTCTAGATGAATTCAGTACAGTAGCACCAAATTTAGATTTGTTTTTTGTTTTTGTTTTGCTTAACTCTTATTACGCATTTGCTATCTAGTTTCGTTAAATATTTTTCGTGCCGAAATGCAAAAATGCATTATTTCCACTCCAGTCTTAAAGGCGCTGCCTTAAAAGGCCTTCAAAAACCTGTTGAGTTCAAGAGTCTGTGCCTGCTTTGAAACAATTTTATTAAATGCTTAGGCATACATACGTATGTATGTATGTGTGAGGTAGTGTACATTTTTTCTTAATTTCCTTCAAAATAATTTCATATACGATTGTTTATATTTAGTAAAGTAAACAACAAAAACAGGTTGATGGTGTTCAAATTTTTATGCAAACTATTGGACACATAATTCCAGTTTAAAAATTTTTTTAAGTCAGAATTCAAAACACAATGTAGCCAAGAGGTGGCAATGTGTGGTGCTAGCATGAAAACTATGGGCTTGAACCATGAGCCATCTCTTCTCAATAAAATGAAGAATTTGCTTTAAAACAGGCAAATACGAGGATAAACCAAGGCAGCTAGTTATTCTGAGATTATTGGTTTCTCCTTCGGGTACTTACGTAAATATTTTGGATTTAAGTTAGTATTTACGATATTTGGAGACACTCATCTCTCTGTAATTAGTCTTAATACAGACCAATCCAATTTTCGGATTCGACAATGAAATGCATTTAAAATAATTATGCTTCATGAAATTCTTTCTTTATTATAAAATTCGATCCTTGGCATTATATATGAACACTGCAGCTACAGTTTGCGAAAATTACCGTGGAATAAACCTCCTTAACGTCGCATATAAGGTCCTATCAATTGTATTGTGTGATTGGACCTTACCATTGTGGCTTTAGACCTGGTAAGTCAACTATTGACCAGATATTAACTATGCGCCAAATCTTGGAAAAGACCCGGGAAAAGAAAATCGACACACACTACCTCTTCGTCGATCTTAAAGCAGCCTTCGACTGCACGAGCAGGAACTGCCTTTACGCTGCTTTGTCTGAGTTTGGTATCCTCGCAAAACTTATACGGCTATGTCAACTGACCTTAAACTCCGTCAAAACCGGGAAGGACCTCTCCGCGCAGTTCGATAACAAACGATATTTCAGATAGGCCGATGCCCTATCGTGTTACATCTTTAATTTATTGCTGGAGAAAACAATAAGAGCTGCAGAGCTGAATAGGGAAGGTACAATCTTCTATAAGGGTGTACAGCTGCTGGCATACGACGACGATATTGATATTATTGGTATCAATAACCGCGCCATGATTTCTGCATTCTCGAGACTGAATTAAAAAGCGAAGCAAAAGCAGACATCGCTCATCAGAAGCGTGGACGATGTCAAAATCTGATGAGTCCGCCCTAGGAGTCTTCGATCGAAAAGTTTTGCGAGCGATTAGTGGTCCTCTTCGCATTGGCAACGGCGAGTACCGTAAACGATGGAACGAATGAACAGACAGCGGCTACGATAGCTATATCATGTCGTCCGAATGGATGAAAGCACTCCAGTGCTGAAAGTATTCGATCAATACTCGCTGGTGGAAGCAAGGGAATAGGAAGGATCAGGTGGAGAGTGAGTTAGCAAAAAGAAGCGATGAATGGCGCGCTGATATTGATTCGGCTATAATCACGTAAGCGGTGCCAACAGAAGGAAATAAGTTTGACACATATCGGGCGGTATCTACGCCATAACTTAACGAATGTTAGTTCATAAGTGCCCAAGAGTCAAAGGATTCACCGCATAATTACCGTCTTTTGCATATTTCCCTATACCCAAAGTGAGATGTATACTACTGAGTTATTTGGTCACGTTTGAAGCACCATTTTCTGGAATGCCTTACTTTTAACTGAAATAAAACATGTTTGGTTTGACAGTTAAGTTTAACAGATGCCAAAATACTTTGGAAACCACGAATTTAGGTTCATTAGAGTTATAACAACAAAGTGTACTGAGTGGAGATGCTTTTTTCTCTGTATTTACCTATCTTACAGAGGTCTTTTCTAATGACTTTCTGAACTAAAACAATCCATTAGCTACTACCCTTATTCATATGACAGCTCAAATTGACGCTCAGTGAAAAAGAAATTTCGAAATTCTGCATTTCAATAGAGCCTTTTGAAAATCCACATTTTTTATAAAAATCTTGCCACTGCAGTGAAAAAAGGAAACGAGTTTTGCTTGAGGAATTAGTATTTGTAACTCATTAAGATTTTAATTTAAACAAAAACGTTTACAAATTTATTTCGATGGACATTCTAATAAATCGAATTTCAGTGAAATTATGATTGCTGAGAGTACATACATTTATATATACAATCGTATACATACACATGAAATTTACACAAACTTGACGTTCTAATAATTATGTATGTTAATAAAAAAATTATATGTGAGAATTTGCTAATTGCATGCCATTGTTTAAATTGAGAATTGACATATATACGCCATTCTCGAGTTATTATATTAATATTTTATTATTTTAAAACATATATATATTTATTCAAGCGAAAGCTATATTAATAATGGCAAAAAAAATTTATATATTATAAACAATTGGAAATTGACATAGAGAATGGCAAGATAAGCCCTACGTGTGTCTAAGGTAGTAATATAACGTGATAATTATAAGTTTCACGCAATAAAAACATTTTAAATAATTATCTCCGATTTAACGAGTCATAAAAGTTAAGATTTGCTATTGGAGTATATTTTGTTGATTAGATTAATTAGCAAATAGTTCCGAAGAAGGAAGCTTGCAAAAACAATTTCCAATTATATTTTAAATCATCGTTAATCTCAACTTTTTTGTCACGGATTGGTCAGGAAAAAAGCACAAACTGCATACCCATACGTGTACATTACTGTTTCACTATTTCGCTAGAAAATCGTAGAAACCAGCGTCAACATCAACAATAAGGTCAGCCTTGAAAACCAACACAAATCGTTCTTGCCGACCGGTACCACTATGAACTGAGGAGGCAATCAAATAGTATAGTCATCTCACGATGAATAAATGCAAAGATCCACAAATCGCGCATCCTTCCGGTCCTGCTTTACAAAACAGAGACTTTTGACGCTGACGATGGAAGAAAAAACTACGATTTGGAAATATTCGATGCAGTAACGGCTAATGGAAGCATTGATAGATGAATTGGTTGGAAAAATCATTCGCAGAGCAAACTGACTTCACTCAATATATTCAAGTGGCAACGAACGAACGAAGAATGAAATTATAGATACTAGTATGCGGTCACATCGGGCAAGTGATTCGATTTGTCAACTGACATTCTAAAGGCCAGTCCTGGTCCAAATTATAGAAAACTGATTTTTCTAATTGAAGTCGCCCCTCGTGTATTCCTGACTTCAAATAAAGAAACGTTGTTGTTGTTGTTATTGTTGGTGTTGTAATCGCAAAAATATTCCCCACAGCACTTTTTGGGGAATGTTGCGGGAGTGACAGTCCTTGGCCGGATAAAAATCCGGGTCGTTCCGTTATAAATACCCGACTGTCGTGGGAACTATTGGATTTTAGTCGCCTTTTGCGATAGGCATGCCTTACCGCGGGTAAATTCTTGAACCCCTAACCCGCAGGAGCCATAAAGAAACGCTACTTTTCGGTGGTTCGGAGGCGTCATAGACTACAGGCGAAAAACTTCCAATTGGAGGATGAGCTCGGTCGAAGGTGTTTCAGCAATTGCAAAGCGTCAATTATCTATATATTTTCTAGGGAAGCTTTTCTTTCACGAACGGCGAATGTATAAGGAAGCAGAGGTTGTTTCAGATCTTGATCTTATCAGAATTTCAGAACATAACCCTCCGCTCACAATAAAGCTTCTTTACAAACTTGAAATAATACTAAAAGTAAAGATGCCAAGTTGTCAGATCAGATACACGGCAGAGGCCATGAAACATGAAAATATCGTAATTTTGGTTGGTTGCCATAAAACCTGTTTTGTTTAGTCATTGAGTGCAAATCATTTGAGTGCTACTTGTAAGGAATTAAACGATATTTTTCTGGTGATTTCCGATAAGCTCCACCGTTTTGATAGTTGTGAGGGTACATAGCATATATAATATTAAATTAAATTTTTAAGTAAATAAAAGAGACTGAACTTGCATATGTATATATATATATATGTGTATATATGTGTCATAAATAATGTTTATTTTCATAAAAATTATTATTGTTACGCGACGACCTGTTTTTTGCGAAAAGTCAAGAAATGAAAATTCGTTTCATAAAGAATTTACTAATCAAGTCGCCCTCGTTAATATACCTTCCCATGTGTATATATGTATACATATGTGCTTTATTATAAACTAAACAAGGTCATACATAAACTTAATGTGAATACGATACAAAATAGGTCTACAATTGTAAATATTCAAGAGTAATACATACATACATACGTATATGTGTGTACTCGTGTATGTGTGTGTCCAGGTACGTATTTCATTTTATTATAATGAAAATTGAAATATCATGGATACGGAAGCCTGCATATGTACATATATACAAATATACATATGTACATATATACCGTTTATATACACACACAAATGCAAACAAACAACTGAAATAAAAAATTAACGGACAATCGGAAAGGCAACAAATAATTCAAGTGGACGCAACCCTGTAAATGCTTACACTTCAATCAAAACTACAGAGAACAAGTGCTTACGGCACTAAAGCGTTAAAAAATTATACCACACACATACATATGCAGTTATTCGTAAAATTTTGCATAAAAGTGAATTCACCTTTGAAATAATTCCATTTAATGGGGCAAATCTCACTCTGTGCTCACTGACCCACAAAAAATTTACGAAAATTAAGGTTATGCTGACAAGCAAAATCACTTCGCATGCCCGCAGATACAAAAATTCTGTACGAGATACATTACTTTTTTGAAAAAAAAAAAAAAATCATATTCTTTGTTTGCACATAAATGTTTTTTTAAGTGAAATGAAATTCTATAGATACGTGTATTTCCTGATTTTCATGCCATAACATGCGTAAATAAATAGTGGAAATGAAACTGAATAATTATTGGAAATGTTTGTGAGTACTCGATTTCAATTTCCACAGCTGTTTAGTGTAAGGTTGGTGACTTTCGCTTTTGTCGTCAATAAATAATATTATATAAATCTGACCTACGTTTTAATGCTAACGGTATTTGTGCCACACTAAATTGAATGTTTGCATTGAAAATATATTAATTTTTCACATTTTGCATAGCAAAATATTTTGAAAAGTTTATTATGTTTTTTCTTAAAATAAGTTTTATAGACATTTTATTCTGTTGGATAGTAAAAAATTAAAGCCAAAAATAGCTTCGTTTCGTTGCGCCAAATATTTTTCCAGCCTGCCGAGGCTACGGAGCGTGCCACACCGCTCTGTGAAGTCAGTGATCTTAGAGCCCATTTCCCACTTTACCACGTGTCGTTGTTAGCTAACTTATTATCATTCAACTAATCAAGTTTTATGAATTCAATAAAAACAAGAAGTGTCCCACGAAAAACGATACTATCAAAAAATAGTATAATCTGCTGAGGCGACAGTCTCTTTGCGGCCTCACTCCGAAAATGTCTTTGAAACAATAGGCGAAAATTTAAAAATAAATAATGTCAACGAAATCTAACAACCTTTCTACAGATCATACTATTCACGGTATGCTCTCGATGTTAAGAGGCTTTTGAGCGCTAGTACTCGTCGTTTAAAAACACATTACTTCAAACATAACGTAACGCCTTATCAATCTGATAACTGATTATTGGGCAAAAATTCTGTTTTCAGCATTACCCACTTGACTTGTGCACCTGGCCTTACCCTAAGACTATAAATATTATATACTTCTCAAAAACTCATTCATGTATACACGTATACTCCACCATTCGAAATTTTGTATACGAAAAAGAAATAAACTATATTACAAAACAGTAACGACCGCAGTAGCCGAGTGGTTAGCATTGCGTACTAGCATTCGGATGACCAAGCATCAAGACCTGGTCCGATCACATCTCAAATAACCGAAGTTTTATTTTTCAAACCGCGGTCGCCCCACGAGTATAGTTCTGACTTGAGAGAAAAGCTCCTTACAAAAATTTTTCAAGACCCATAACCACAACCGATAATCACTAAGCGGTTCTTATGAAATAGGACATATTATATTTTTGATTTCGCTACTTTTGAAAAATCGCGTTTATTGCAGGACAAATCTTGTATCATCATCAATATCTGAATTCAGATTTAGGCATATTAAAGTATAATAAAATGTCAGACAATTTTCATGCCATTATACTTTTATCGCCCAGAACACTTTATATTCTTTCCATAACAGACTGAAAAAATTTTATTCTCCCTCTTTTACAGTAAATTGCCAAATATAAAAATGCATTTACATTATGCCTTAATAGTCACATTGGCCTTGTGTACGGTCAGCGCCCTGGCAGAGGTAAGTGCCCCAATTCTCTAAAAGCTCAATTATGCACACACATGCTAATATAAATATCTATAGCACCATTGTCCATTATCATTAATAACTTTTCGCCTCAATCTCTTTTCGCAACAGAAAAGTGCTACAATGGAGGCAATTGCCTACGTGGAGGGTCCCGTAGTGAAGGGTAATGTTACATTCATACAAAATGGCTGCTCCGAGAACGTTCACGTGCATGTCTATTTGACTGGCTTGACACCGGGCAAACACGGTTTCCATGTGCATGAGAAAGGCGATTTGACGAATGGCTGCGCCAGCACCGGCGGACACTTCAATCCGGATAAGGTAGAAATTGAATTAATATCAAAATACCACTGAAATTCTGGTATTTAGTTTTCTTAAGAGCTTTTCTACTCAACTTCAATAAATATAAAATCCACGTTTATTATTCTTCTCTCTGCAGATGGATCACGGTGCACCTGGTGATGAAGTACGTCACGTAGGCGATCTCGGTAATATAGAGGCTGATGCGAATGGCGTCGTCGACACAACATTCACCGATCACTTGATCAGTTTGACGGGCAAACGAACAATTGTCGGACGCGGTTTGGTGGTGCACGAATTGACCGATGATTTGGGCAAGGGTAGCCATCCCGATTCGAAGAAGACTGGCAATGCAGGCGGACGTTTGGCTTGCGGTGTCATCGGTGTCAAGTAATTAAGAAAACAGACTAAACACACCTCCATAAGTATTTACTTGAACAAATGCATAGTATTCTGATAGAGCTTCAACAAAATCCACTTAAGCTTTGTTAATCACTATGTTGTTCTTAATTGTTGTACATTGTGATGTCACTTTCTAAACGGCTTCGTCTCAGTGAAAATCTAATTATTTTATTTACGATTTTTTTCATTTTCTCCGCTATTTAATTTTTGCTACTCTTGAATCTCATTTAAATTTTTCAATTCCTCTATTTTATGCCTTTTAACTCTTTCTCATTTCTAACTTTATTCTATTTTACTCTGTCGGGAAATTACTGCTTTCCAAAAAGCGAATCTCTGTAACGGGTTGGCATTAAGTAACTGGAATCAATAAAAATTTTGTCTTTAATCAAATCTGCAATTAATATTAATTTGTATTTTTCTTATTTACTGACACGCTTATATACATATTTGCATTTGTGTATTTATTTTGGATGTTTATTTTTAGTATCTGTTTATTTTGTGTGTGCTTTATTTCTGTACGATTGAATATTCAGTTATAATTAGCTGTCATGCACTCGTCATTATACGCACGATGTTAATGGAAGCATCAGCAAAGACCTGCTTTAAGGGTAGAAATGACTACGACCGTCATATCCGAGCAACCCCTTTCGGTATTGACCGTTGCGGCATATGTAAAGTTCTGAACAAAGTTTGAAAGATACTAGAAAATAATAATCTGTAGTCTTTAGTTTTCCAATTTTTTTTCAAATTTCCACAAAGACGTTTTAGCTTAAAATAAACCTATACGTGACTTGGATCCTTCAAAAGCTCACTTATAGCAGCTAATCGTACCTTATACTTTCCACTTTCTAGCTTATCCAACTCAACTTCTTACTGTCATAATAAAATTTCAAATACCACTGATATTTGTTAATTTTTGGAAATTTTTAGTAAATACAAAATAACACAATAAAACTTAGTCATATTATATGTATGTAATAAGTATGAAAAGTAAAATTATTATATGAAACCTTTGTTAATAACCAAGCGAACCTAAGAGCTATTACTTATCCGCCTAAAAATATGCAACAATACTATACTATATATATAATACTTGCCTAAAACTATGCAGCACAACTAATTTGCTTTAAATTATACGGCAAAAGCTAATTCCTTAAAGCTCACTAACCAAATAATAATTAATAACACAATTTCATGAGCTGAATGCTGAATAAGTAAATAACAAATTAAAATTTGTATGCTGATAACCCCGCAACAACATAACAAAAGAAATAGTATATAATAACTTGTCCAAATAGTTGTGCACAGCTTTAGCATAGATTTAGGCGCACCATTCGTGACAATCAACAAAGTGCTTTCAATTTAACTGCCCTGATAACAAAAGATATTGTTCCCTCACTATGCAGGGAAATGCTACGCCTAAAACTATGCCGCCTAAATGTATGCAGTAAAACTTAAAATTAAGTTTATATAAAATTTTGGTCAAACTACTGAGAATAAGTTGAGCATAGGTATAGGCACAGTTATATACTGCATTTCCCTGAAGGTTCACTGCTTTATAAGATTGTCAGCGGATATGTTTAAGTTTATTACAGTATTATTGAAAATTTCACAACATATTTTTCAGCGCTTACACACTTCACCAAGCAGCTGGCATTAGCTGTGAGCCAACATTTTATGTGCCGCATCAACAGCCACATGATCACGCTATCTATCCCATTTTTACTTCGAGTCTACCATACCCATATGCATTACCATATTTTTATTGAAAATCCTAAATTATGGATCAGAAATTCGCAAATCATTTTCTATTTAGCTTATATTCTTATTTCGATTTTAAAAATTGATAATTTTTAAGATATTTTAAGCATCCGTTTACTGTCTCTAAATACACGTATGTTTGTGCGAATATTTATCCCAATGTGTAGTTAAAATTTTTATGAAATTAAATATCAGACACATACATAAATTGATCTCAATTCAAATTGGAAAACATTTGCTTATACCGTTTTAATTACTAACCATTTTAGTGGCGACGTTCATGAATGGCCCTGTTCAAACAGCTCAAGCTCTATGGGAACATTAGCCTCCATGCTCACCTTCGTCCTGACGGTTTTGGCCAGCCGTGTTTTATCTTAGACGTAAGAAAAGTAATGATCCAACGTAAGCGATCAGTATCTTATTATTTTAATATATATATATTTTTTTTTTTTTGTTTCGGAAGTTGTTGAAGATATTAACAAATTATTTTTGAAGTATTTTTGTATTTGTAAGTTTACTAACAAGTTTGATTGGAATAAAAATTTCCCCGAATGGATCAAATAAAATGGTTTTTTTTTTAAATATTGCATAATTGCATAAAAAAAACTTTATTCCCAATTCGAAAATTGAGTTTTTCCAAGGAAGAATTGTATGGTCCTTAGTATTTTCTTACAATCGATTATGTAGCAGGAGAATATTCTATGAGTAAATAAATTGGTTCCCAGCAAATGTCATATTCTTAAAATAACTTCGTGCTCTAGTTCGTTAATAATTATAAATCGCTTGAACGTATTTCTTTTTTTAGATACCCTGCAGGAAAAACGACACCTGAGAATTTAATACATCAGCGATACTATTTATTTGCGTAGTTTTGATAAAAAATGAAATAAATCAAGCTAATGGAAGACTTTCGAAAAACAAGGTTCAAAGTCAAATGAAAACATTCTAGATCAGAAGAATGTCACCCAACAGGGCGCTTGACGAATGCGTATTTTACAATATAATTAATTGTATTTTATACCAAAGCACTCATTCAACGCGGACGAATCGTATTCACCATCTATGCCAGCGTAAGGAAAATAATTAACTGTTATTATTCTTTTTTTTTTTTGTTTTTCCGGTTCAACACTTCCTCTTCTCTCCATTTATTTTCCATTATTTCAATTGATTGAAGTATTTGTGTAGGCTGTTGTTATGCCGTCATATGCAAATATGTACTAAGTCAGAGTTTTGTGCCTGTTAGAGGGTGTTGACAACATGGCCGCAAAGGTGGTGAATAAACCCGATTTAACATTAAACACTACACCACAAGGAGAAAAAGAAAAGCATATGAAGAATATTAAATAACTATTCAAACGTTTGCTTATCCATTACCCCAAATGATTTCTTTTCAAAGTTCTGAAATCAAGGGATACAATTTAAAGGTACCGTCAGACTGTATATGGCTGATAGAAGACTTCTGAGTGTCTGAGGAACAATTTCAATTATAGATTTTAATAATATCATATACTGATCGATAAATTTAACGGTAATTATATTTTCAAATATTGATTTCCGAAAACTAAATAGGATTTCCACGCCCAATCTTTGATGTAAAATTGGATTATTTATTTGTTTCAAACCAAATATGTTTTGTTTTAGTTAAAAGTTAGACATTTCAGAAGGTGGACAACATGTTAAAATTGTTGAAACCTACTACAAAAATAGCGATTCAACATCTGAAGCCAGCTGACCATTCTGTTTTCTCTGGGATAGGTAAAGAACCAAAAAAGTTACAATGAGGCTCGGAGAATCCTCCAATATATGTAGAGAGGTCATAACACCAAAAAAAAACTTTGGTCCGGAGAAATGATTAGATGATTTACTTCTTTAAAAACGACAACGACTGTCACTGTCTATACGGAGCATTATGGTCATATGAGATCCGATTTCTTTTGGTCTGCAATTAAAAAACACGACTTGAACAAGAGTGTCAACAAGATGATTCCACATGCCACCCAGTCGGCCACTGAGATCGTGCGATTCGCCAAAGTTGGTCTTTTATGTGGAGCTACGCGGAAGACTGTGTCTATCCGGATAAACCTTTAACTCTTGGGCACTTGAAAACCAGTCAAGTTATGGCTGAGATACCGTCCAATATGTGACAAAAAATGATCGAAAATTATCTCAAACGGATCAAGTTTGCAAAAATTCTCGAGGCCCCTGCCGAGGGGCGACCGTAATTAGAAAATTTGGCTTAATTGTTTTTTTTCATTTTGATGTTAGTCACACAGGGATTTGAGCACGAGCCTTTCGATTTTCAACCGAGCTCTTCTTCCAATTTGTGGTTGCGTCTTGATGTTTTTTCAGGAAATGGAGGGACCTACAGCTGATATTAGGCCGCCTCCGAACGGCTGATTGTTTTTTTTTTTTGACGAGAAGCCTTTTTTAATGTCAGAAATACACTAGGAGCGGTTGACAATCCCTGCTGAGGGGCGACCGCAATTACAAAATTTAACTTAATTTTCAGTAACTCTTGGACGTTGGTCATATCAGGATTTGAACACAGGTTTTTCGAATGGCAGTGCGCAATGCTAAATCTCTCGGCACCGCGGCCGCCAACGTTCACCCAAAATCAGCGCAGGATACTGATTTTCTACCATCGCATACTTTTACATAAAACCAACTAAAAAAACTCCGGTAATATATTTTGGGTGGAAATTTTTAAAATGTTCAGTTGGATATTATTAATTTTATTATGTTATTTAACAGTGCCCCGAACAGTCCTTCGAAGTCTCATAATTCATATATAATTAACGGAACAAAATGTTTACTTCAGGTAGAAAAGCCATAAAGGCACAACAAAGGATACTAAAATAGGACACCAAAAGCCGTTAAAAATTTATCCTCAATATTTACCTATAAATGTCGGTAACTAAATTATAATAAATGCGTCTATTATTTATGTAAATTGATTGCATACCAACTAAATATGTTGCACCAAGTTCGCATGAAATGCCGCTAAATTACTGTTAGTCTCAAGTTTTCTTCGTAAGTTTCTCAACCTTTAACAGCAATAATTACTTATAATGCCTGCAAGTATTTGGAGCACTTTCTCAAGTGGCTTCAATAAATATTGATTTTCTCTACAGCCGCATTTAAATATGACTACATAAATATTGTACTTGTACATGTACGCTCGTACATGTATACACGTATGTATTTCTTGATTTTAAGAGTATGTAACTGCGCTCATTGCGTGATTTCGCTGGTCACTCACTAAAGTGTCAAGAAAACTGTGGATAATGTGCAGGAATTCACGGCGCACTCAAATGCCTTTCCTTGCGTCGGTCACATCGCCAATCAAGATTAAAATGCAAATTTCCATGCACGAGCACATTCACAGTATGCGACTTATGCCAATAATTAAGGTTATGTGTTTTGGCGTTTCACGGTATGCAAAATACCTGTGTATTGTCAGGAGCAACGAGATTGTATCCAAAGGATTACTTGCACATTAAGACCAGAAAGTTTCCGCAAATTGTCATTGAAACTGAATATTTTCCAACACTTTTTTTTTTGCTAAGTTGGTAGCACTGTCCCCAATTACTACGCCAAAAATCAGTCAATCAGTTTGTTTGCATCAGCGACGAATTTTCTTTTACGGCCTCCATCGAGTCGAAACAGGTTCCACGGTGTGGTAGCTTGAGTTTGGAAAGCAAAAAATAAGTCGCTGATATGGTTGATCGATGGTATTGAACTAGATTTTGGTCTCAAAACCGTTCACAACTGCAGCTCGGTGCGATGGCGCATTATCGTCATGAAACTTTTCCGGCCGTTTACGAAGGATGTTTGTTGACCAGATGTCACGTTAAAACGAATTTATGATCAACCAAACCATGAATATCGAAAAAAGACAATTTCCAGAAACTTTTTGGTCTTAATATATACACCCTTTCATATTCAGAAATATTTATATAATAAATACTCAAACCAATGTGTGTTGAGGCGTATTGGGTTAATGATATTACATAACATTGGTTGAGTCAGTTTATTTAGAAAAAAATCTTACATCCTAAGAAAATATTATTGTGTAGCAAATCATTTTTTCGAGAAATAAATATTACATTCCATGAACGCGAAAAGTGTTAATTAATAAATACTTTTTGCCAAATTTAATAAGAAATTTATTTAAGCAAGTTTAATGTGCTCAAAACTGAAAGTAATGGTCGCAGTTTCATGAAGTTTTTGACGGAATGACGTCAATCCTGATGTAGTAGAAATAATTATCTCAAATACTCGCAACGTAAGCCGTATTCTGAGTTCTACGTCCTCTCAAAATTGTGACCCCAAAATATTTCGATGTATTTAATTCGCCTGAGAATATGGTACAAAAACAACTCCCAAATATGAACAAAACTTTTTAAAACCGGTTGAGCATTGCCATGATTCCCAAACCTATGCTATTGCAGAAGCTTCAAAATCTTTGATTATACGAATGATTTTCAACCCTACTTTCTTTCAAAATATCAAACTATTATTGGAGCGCTGTTCGGCGGGTGCAATGACATCTCAACACATATACAAACAAAACGTATATACACCGTCTAAAACAATCAACTGCACACCGTCAACAATTAAATATACGTCACACGCAACGTCGAACGTCGACAAGCAACAGCGTTGGTCGCATGAAGTCAAACTGTCGATTAAAGGAGGCAATGGAGGGAGCTCCAAAACGCTTAAGGGGTTGCGGTTACTGCATACAATATGTACTCATACACAGAAAAATAGGCGATAGAGCTATTGGACATTGGCATAACGGCAAAGGGATTAGTAGTGTGAGACCTACACCACCGGAAACTGATGCCCGTTGAACTCGAACGGCAACAGAGGGAGCACGGATGGTGGAGGAAGAATGTTAAAGTCGGTTAAACTCGAATTCAGAACAAAAATGTTTCCAATAGGAAGAAAGTGGAGGTAGGAAAAGGTAAGCGTTGAGCAAAATGGGGACAGCCAACAACTTAAGCCGACGACTTAGACTGAAACTCTTAAATTCCAAATGACCCAAATACTCGTAGAAGAAAATTTCGAATTTTTACGGCTCACTTGATCATACACAAACGAACTTACATGTTTGGAGCACTTTTACTTTCAGTACGCCTACACGTTGAAAAAAGAGTAAGTAAGGGAAGTAAATACTAAGAATACGACCAATGCCCCTCAACCTCCTGCTCTTGCCATTATGTGTCCAAGTAGTAATGCCGTATGCCGAACGGGAACATGCACTGAATACGTTCGTGCTCTTGTTTTGGCCACAAAAAAACCACTTTGCGCCTAAAAGCACTCTACCAACTTTGCTTTGCTAGTTAAGTGTGTGATAAAGCAATGGTCAGTTCATTTTGAACCGCCTCATTGAACGGACGTGATTGTGCAAACGAAATTCTTAGCTCTACAACGGCATTTAACCGTTAAATATTACCTGCGTTGAGCTTGTGTTTCAACATAGCGCGAAAAAATATAAATATAAATATAACAACAAATCGCTAAGTGCACTTAAATACATTAAAAATAATATACTAATATTTCTTTGAGAAAGTTCTGATTAAAGAAAACAAAAAAAAATTTTCTGCTGTTGAATTGTGAAACTTGACGTTTAACTACCTCTACCCTCCTCCCCCAGCTGCACTTCAAACAGTAAATGAATTTCAAAATGCGTACCTGCGGCATGAGTTTAATCAAATACATACTATTTGGCTTTAATATCATATTTGCGGTGAGTAAATATTATTATTAATTGCCTAAATTATACACAGAAAATGTCAGGACGCTCACATCAAGAATATCCTTTCATTAATATTCAGAGTTAAGGTAAATACTTGGAGACGTATGAAGTGCTTGCAGTTGCATGTCCTTTAATTGCTATGATTGTCATTAACGAGCTTTGTCATAAACACGATATTCCTACAACACGAGTTACGAACCCCACGAGTTAACAACTCAAAATGCATATTTTAATAAAATTAAAGTTATGAATTGTTATTATTTAATCTTTATTGAGGGAATGAGTGCAGTTTGATTTGAATTTTCCTTTTCAGAAAACTATTAATAAACAACCCCAATTTTTGTTGTGAAACAAATTATTTTATTTCAATTAATTGTTTGGAATATAATAACCAAATCTCTGTAAAATTAAAAAAACGGAGGCCTATTCTGTCGAGGTAACAAAATTTCGTATTCTGAGCTCACTGTTACCCTTGTTACCAGCGAAATAGGAGGTAACAAAAATATCTGCTGTTTGAATTTGTGTTGTTAGATNTATATATATATATATATATATATATATATATATATATACAAATAATTAGCGCTTTGTAACCGCTTAAGTGATTTTCGGCCGCGCTCTTCCTTTAATTTAGGGTTTTGCGTCTTGATGTTTTTCCAACCAATGGCGGGACCTAAAGTTTATACCATATACAGCTTTTTGAACGACTGATGGTTTTTTTATGATGAGAAGCCTTTTTCCATGTCAGAAATACACTCGGAGGGGTTGACATTCCCTGCCGATAAACGAACGCAATTCGAAAATGTTGCTTAATTTTTTATTTAAATTACTTTTCTATAAGTTTTTCGGTGTTAGTACGACACCAGGAAAACTCAATATTAGGTAGTTAAAAATAACAGATTAGATGCGTTAGTGGATGTACTAATAGAAATGGTGACTCATCGATTTTAATAGAAGGGTCAGATATATGTCATTTACATCTGGAAGCCATAGATCACAACGACATTCAATTGGAAGCTTTTATTTGTTGAGGAAAGTAAAAAAATAATGTTTGGGAGTTGTATTTCGACTTTTAAATAGACAGAGAAGTCCAAATAGACAGACAAGTCTAAAATAAGAAGACTGATAGGAAAAACAAAAGCATCCAAATTAAAAACTAAAGCCCACATTATTTTTTGTGAACTTCTCCAGAATCTAGAATTTTTTATAAAAAAAAATATTAACAAAAAATATTTGATTGTAGACTGATAAATTAAATAGTAAACTTGCAGTAACATATGTACGTATGTACACTTGCATGTACTCTATTTGAAAAGAGGACATTAATGCTACAAACACACAATTTCCACACGCAACATTTTCACCATACACAGGGTCGTGTATTGTAATAAATACATAATAGTACAGTAATACATATGTACATAACACATATACATATATCCGCAAATGCAAAGTGTATGAAATTTTTATTACGTGCCTTAACTTTGACATTAGTAAACCTCGTCAAAACTAACAACGCCATACATTCTGATAATTGGTAGAAATGAAAATTTGGATTTAAGATAAACACGAACAATAAAGCATACAACAATGTCCACTAACTATTAACCAACGCAAATAGTTGGACCTTTAATACGCTGCTAAGTATGAACATGAGCATTCCGTTGCGCGTTTATCGCAAATAATAATCTGACATTGAACTAACCTTTCAAGCACAGTTAGTTATTGAGCCTTCACATTACATCGGTCTCCTTTAAATATTAATGCTTAAAGTTTTTTTTATTTATTTGCTTGTACATATTACCACCCACGTCCATACGGACTGATATATATGTACGTTGGTTTTGTTTAAATAAACTAAATAAATTTATTTGATGTCAACTTACAGATATCGGGGCTTGGTATTTTAATAGCTGGCGCTGTAGTCCTTGCCGATGTCAACCAATTCAGTCACTTTATTGAGGGCCGAGTGACGGCTCCACCGATTGTACTGATTATAACTGGATTAGTCATATTTCTGATTGCATCGTTGGGTTGTTTTGGCGCAATCAAAGAATCGCCAACACTGCTACTCACTGTAAGTAAATGTGGTTTATTATTGAGTAATTTGCGTTCTCACACATTTTTCCTTACCACTGTAGTACGCTGTATTGCTAGCCATTATCTTCATTGTCGAATTAGCTGTGGGCATTGCGGCAGCAGTCTTCAAATCGGATCTCGAAATGATGATTAAGAACTCACTACAAGAATCTATAAAACGTTCGAATCATGAGGATATGATGGCATGGGATAATGTACAGCGGAAGTTGATGTGTTGTGGTGTTGATACTCCTGCCGATTGGCGTGAGCTCAGCGCCAACAAGACCCTGCCACCAAGCTGCTGTCGTGAAAAGTACATTGACGAGGCTGTTGGGCACTGCACTGAATCGTTGGCATTAGGCGTTGATAAGTATTTCCAGGTTGGTGTATATCTTTAATCTATAAGTATAAATTATTTGCAGTAATATTTACGGGAATTAAATTAAATGTTATTTGTTTTCTATTTAACAGGATGGTTGTGTGGGCAAACTAAGAGAACGAATTGATAAAAATGCCGTAATTTTGATTGGTGTCGGTATTGGCATCGCTTTCATACAAATATTGGGCATTATATTGGCATGCTATCTGGCTTCCACAATACGTCACGAGCGCATGAAATAAATATGAGGCAAATGAGGTTAGTTCACTTAGTTTATATAATTGTAATGAAGTTGGCCATCGATGAATTGTGTGACTCAAATAAAGATTAACTGAACTCTATTATTCAAATGGTCTATTGATAACATACTCTTACGAAGTCATCATCATACTTAAACATGCTTTACTTTTTACAGACGGTCACTGTTACAAAAAAAAAACATTCGATTTTAAAGAACTATAAGCAACGCCATCTTCATAAGCAATATTCCTAATGGGAGTAATGATCATCAGATTACCAGCATTGTGAAGAAGGAGTATCCAGAATCAAGAAGGAATCAAGGCTCCATGATTTAAAACCTTCATTTGCTCATTCACATATTTAAAAACACCGTCCACGACTATTCTAAATATTACTTAATATACATACAATAAACTTTTTAATGAAGTGCTCTAAATGTCTTGTTGCTTTTTATATATATGTTAAATAAAATCATTTCTTAAATAAAACTTATTACCGAATAATTTATTAAATTGCAGGAGCGAAATTACCTTTTGATTTCGTTGAAGTACTAAGCTCATAAGATGCCAGAGCTGGCATGAAAGCGGCCCTTGTGAATTTCACCGGATGTGGATGGAAAAGAGACTTTTCCGGTACAACTGAAAGCGAAACGGATAACGTTTTGAATAGAACCGAGAACAAAAATATTTTTAGTTCACATACAAGTTAATAAAATAAATTAGTTCTTCGCTTTAGTTTTATTTATTTTAAAATGTTTTTATAGAAATTTATTGACAAAATTAAAACATTGAACGGATTTCTGGAAACTGTTGTTCCGTTCTCGCTTCAACTCATTTTCTTCGTCGGTGGCGACATCTAGCGCGTTTTATATTCGCTTCGGCTGTGTACGTTCAATAAGTGCCAAAGCATGGTCACTAGCCGAACAGCTGATTTGAAAAGGTAAACATTTATAAACAAAAGTTATACAATTTCGAACAAAAATGCGCTCCGAAAGTTTAATTAAGCATTATTGGGATTGTGCAGGGACATTAGATTCCGAACATCATACACATAAATTACTTAAATCGTATTATATGACAATATGCCGCAAGCTTGCGAAAACAAGTGTTTGGATGCCAAAGGAAAAATTCTCACGAAACACAATGTGCAGACGCTGCTCAAGCAAGTGGAATGAGACAAATTTCCGGATGAAATTAAATCCTCAGCAGATTACTTATTCCGCCAAAGCGAAGAGACAAATTGAAAAGTTATATGATGCTAAAAGCGGGATTGAAAACCGAAGAGCACTAACAAGGAAGCAGCGTAAGAGAGCCAAGTGGTTAAAGAAGCGTGTGATGAATAGCGTGGTAAGTAACAAGAAATTCCATAAATAAGTTTTAAACTCAATAAAAATGGTACATTGCAGGAAATACAATGCGAACTTTGCCAGCACAAGACGAGAATAGAAATGCATAAACCAAACAAGAGAGAACCTAAGAGTGGTACAATGAAATGTAATGCGGACGAAAATGATCTACCAGAATTAATAACTTCAACTCCTGTCACAGCTAAAACAAAAAAGAAAAAGAATAAAAGCAAGGACAAAACAGCTGGATTGAAAATTGAAAAGGTGCAAATGGTCACCACTAAGAATGTCACCGCCAATATCGTTGATAACAAAAATAGAATAAATAATATCAAAAAACAAGAACACTCAGTTCCCATAGCAAATACACAACAGCCTCATAAAAAAAGCATCATAAAAGCAGATGTCAAAACCACGACCAATCTAAGTCAGCCACTCAAGGCAAAAAAGCAAAAAAAGAAAGCGAAAACTTTTCCGACAGCTGCTGCACCCAAAATACAATCAAAAACGCAACAGCAAAACTCTATACTACAATTAGCAGCTTTACTTAAAGCTCAAAATAAGCCAGGCCCAAACGCGACTCAAAAAAGATTAGAATCGTTACTAAAATAGAAAGATAACTAATATGTAATTTGTAATATAAAAATAATCTACTGCCTGTTGTCTTACTTCTATTCCTAGACCAATATTTATGTAGTTCAATTTAAAATTTTTAAGCTAGACTTTGTTAATACATAATTTAAGTCGTAATAAAAAAACATTATTATGCCATTGATTTTTATGTCGATTTTATAATACAATAATATATTCAAAAAGTTATTAGCGCTTATGAGCACTCAAGTAAAGTACTTTACAAACGAAATAAACTTAGTATGCATCTTTGGTTCGTCTTACTCGAGCGCATTATTACCTTGATTATAAATTTAAAACTCTCCACTCATTATAATGCAAGTTTAAAAACATTTATAAATATCAACATTTGTAAGTAAAAATATATGCAAGCTCAATGATTTATTAACCATAGCAGAGCATACATAAATATGTATTTGTATACGAGTCCTCCGGTTGGCGGTTACAAAGCGCCAATTATAAATATATACGAGTCCTCCTAAAACATAATTGTCAAACACCAATTGCGCACAAGTGTTAATGGAGTTCTGACAACATCTCAAGAAATATCAAAAACCAAACGTTAACAATCAAGGCAGATTATTCTATTGCAAAAAAAACGAATTGTTGATGGAAAACAAAAATAAAGAAACGTGAACACGCAGAAAACCTGTTGGTGGGAAGCAACTATCGACATATGTATATAATAGTCACTTCGGCGGCGGCGGAACTGGCGGGAGGAACACAAAGAACCACTCGGTCTTTGGTCATCAAAGCACGCAGCTGCAAGTAACTTGCTTACATGTAAGATACACACATATCATATATATGTGTATTTATGTACGTATGTACATATTTTAACAGACAGTGGTCAACGTAATCAATGAGCCAAAGTCAAGGCTGCAGAACCAGAACTTTAAAGTTAACAACAACAACACAACTTAGTAGAAAGTACATGTCTGCATGTTGAATGTGTATATTTACTCTCAGCAAATATACACTGCTGCTGCTCTATGCGGCTTTACTCGGTAGCTGCTTCTGAAATACCAATATTTACTTAATGTAGTTGTTGTTGTCGGTGTTTGAAAAATCAACTGTTGACCATATCTTACAATCAAACACATCAAACTGGGCTATAATAATTTTCCAAAGAAAATTTGTCCATTAACTAGACGTTTTCGAACCATCCATCTGTGGTGTCTAATAGGCCAATGTACGTAGCTTCTGCGTGAAAGCTTATAACCAACTAACTTGTTGTTTTTGCAGTGGCAGTTAACTTGTCTAGATGCGTATTTCTACGCTTGCATACAAATGTACATATGTATGTTTACAGCGGTAGTTTACCTGCATACATATACATAAGTATGAATGTAAATTTGATTGGCTATATATGTACATACATATTCATCATAATTCATGTTAAAATGAGGAAATTTGATTAATAAGTTTAGTTTTAAAAAGGAGTATTTTAACCTAATCACTTATTTTTGGACGGCAATGTCGCAACAAACTTCGTTCGTTAAGTTACTAAAACCTGACTCAGGGAAACAGTTTCTTAGGTTCCACGCCGCAGCTCGAGTTCTTCTCAGAAGACAGCATTTTCAAGAGGAAGTCTGCTGCTGGTCGTTGTTGTTCGTATTGTTATTGTAGTAACCCAAAAATATTCTCCAAATTGGTATTCAGGGAACATTGTGGCACTTATAATCCTTGGCGAATAACGATTTGGGTCGGTCGGGTATAAAAACCCAACTGTCGCATGTGCGGCTCTTGGACTACTAATCCGCAGGGGCTCTGAGGAGAATGTGTACGAACTCGTGGAGGGCAGCTTTTTTTGATTGATTCTCAAACAACCTTCGAAATGCACCCTTCTGGTCTTTAGACAGAAGCATGTATAAGTGTATTTCCTCACCGAAGGCGTACAGGACACAGCGAGAAAATAAAAATTATTTTCTGAGCGATTTTTTTAATGATCTGAAGTAATTATTATATTATGATTTATTTCTTAAAGCTTGGAATAAATTCTTCTAAAGCTCGTGGTTCGTCGTGGTCTGTCTGCACTCCAACCGTCTTACAAAGTGTTTTTGCTGTTTATGTGGACAAAACCTCTGTAATAACCGCGAATTTCATAATTTTCGCGCTTCAGTGCACCAAAGAATGCACATTAAAGCGGTACTTTTGGCTGTTATTAACGCAATTCCTGTTTGTGTCATGATTTGTGGTTTATATACGGCTCTTTTAAATTCTTTCACCTCTCTTTGACTTAAGTTTTTATCTCTTCTTGTAGATCGTTTTCTTTCTTGTTAGCTGGCTACCAATTTCATCATTACTTCAGTTTCGAAATTGTAAGCCTACCTGTCTGCCATGTCGAGCATATTGTGCGAACTGGATTCTTACGTTTAAGTATATACAACTATGTATATACATAAATATGTACTCAATAGGAAATATGTACATATATTGTGTTGACTAACATACATACAGACATGTATGAGCTTATAAGATTATCCTCTTTTTGCGAGTGGGTTAAGGGTTCTGAATGTTAATTTAAAGAATTGCGAATGTCTGTGTCTATTCTTTTTTTTTCAATATACACGTATGTGTATGTTTGTAAATTTTGCCAACTCTTGTAAATTCCTCTCAATAAATAAACTCAATGTCTCATAAAAACTTCACATTTATTCCGATACACCTGAAAGCCAACATTGTAGCTCCTCCGTATAAGGTATTTGTGTAAATAAATAAATGAGTGTTCATACATGGACATTTACATTCACGTTCTGCACATCCTTGGTTTGCGCGCTTGCGACGACCTTCTTGTCTACGTTTCTTTTCGCTCCATTCTCATCCTTCGATTTGCCGATAACCAGACAGCCACCTCTTTCCCGCCTTCAAAGCGAACAAAATCGCCAGCGATGCCCATAAAATCGGTTAGTCTGCTTGCATTCCTCCACGCTTATACATTATACATACCTACAAATGCATTTATTTCATATCGCGTATATTATGAAGGCGAAAAAAGGTTTGATTTAGTAAAAAAAAAACCAAAGAAGATATGTTTCTGATCGAGAATCCTCACTTGTTGGAGGATTTCAACCTTTTTCTCTTCTTCCCATCAGCAATTTGTTATGCGTTAATATTGACGATAGTCCTTCCTTGGCGTATTCAAGTGAAGGTTAATTTAAATCCACAGATTAAAACGTGAGAAAAGTAAAGCGAGGGATTTTAAGGAGGGCGGATTTTATTTAATTTCCTTTTCATTTTCATTATATGCTTGTGTGGCGGAAATAGATCCGCGACTTTCTGATTTTTCGAACAGGCCCATATTAGGAACAGTTTCACCTCGAATCTTTCATTTATTAAGCAGACAGAAGGTGTTATGGATTAAAAAGTTCGTAAATGGTATGTGATATACATACATAATAATGCATCATACGCGAACGGTATCAAGCCCATATATAATAGGCGCTTTGTAAACGCTGAAGCGATTTTCCGGCGAGCTCCTCCTCCAATTTTTGCTTTTGCGTCTTGATGTTTTTCTAACAAATGGAGGAACCTAAAGTTTATATTAAGCGGCCTCCGAACGGTTGATGGTTTTACATGAGGAGCTTTATTTCATGCCAAAAATACACTCGGAAGCGTTGACATCCCTGCCGAGGGGCGACCACAATTAGATAATTTTACATAATTTCTATAACTTTTGGATATTGGTCGCACGGGGATTTGAACCCGAGCTTTCCTAAGGTCAGTACGCAATGCCAACCACTCGGCTATCGCGGCCGCTAATAGATTAGTTTAATAAAGTATCATCGTTATCACCAATTTGATGGGTATTGGTTATTAACATCTACAGATTTTCATAAATTTTGACTCTTCCCACATGGCACACAGCGAATAATATTATTGGTTTATCTTTTGAGTTCTCCTTATAGCTAATTTACGGCAACCTGAAAAAGTGTCTGCCATGATATAAAACCAATAAAATGCTAAATAAGTTATAAAAATAGACTGGAAAATCTGCCAATTGCTTCGACACAAAAAGAACTTGGCTCTGTAAATTCGCAATACATCCAGCAGTTCGTAAACCAAAAATAAAACAAGTTAGTGTACCCTATAGCGTGTGTCGAGGCGAAAAGATACAAAAGTATTTTGAACATCATTTCTCTCGTATATCACATATGAAACTAAATGGCTCCAGCACGGCTTTTGTAGCGTACCATTGATGCCATACATCAACTAACTACCTGCCTCCCTACCAACTGACAGCAGCAACTACAATAGTAGTGGAGTAGGGGCAATGGAGCGCCAAGTAATACATTAAAAACAGGCATTGACGCACATATTTACGTGCATATGTATGTTCATGCTCGTATGTGGTGTTCGATTTTCGATCGAAATTGCCACTAGTGCACCTCCGGTTGTGGTGGCCTTTATTGAGGCGACTATTTATGCATTGGTGCTTGATATTTTTGCGCTGTGCTGCTGCTGTTGCTTTTGTCTGTCTGTATTTCAAAACTTTGAACACTATCCTCATCGACATGAGCGGTGACCGTGCGCCAGAGACTTATCCATTCAGACAGTAATCCAGCCAAGCACAGTGCTAACCAAAACCAATAACTTCTGCCGTCAACCGCGCGTTTGTTCCACTTCTTCCTCATGCTCGACACTTCTGCATCCTCTGCTATGGACAGCTTTTTGTGGTTACACGCAATTGCGGCGCGTAGCATTTTCATTTATTGCTCATCTCTTTTAAATGCATTTTTTGTTTTTATATGATTTTTTTTTCTTAATGTGCTTGTGTTTATACGGTTTATTTGATTGTTTTTTATTTAATGTACGTAACTTTTTTATTTATCTTTACTTATTATTATCGTGAGCTGAGTGATTCACACGAAGCGAGTTGAAAAGAGCATCGAAGCGAATCGTTTCTGCATTTTGAAGTGAGCTCTCTTCGTTCTTACGTTAATCATTCTCATATTAATGTACAGTGTGCTTATTAGAATTGTATTTTATTTTTTATTATTCTCCAATGAAAACAATGCCAAGCGGATGTAAGATTGAGATGGAATGGTTTCTGCTATATAAAACTATTGTGGGTTCATACTACCAACGAAAAACAATAGCCAGGAGAGCGACAAGTTCGAGTAAAACTCCTAATCTTTTCCAATCAAGTGTCACCAAAAAATTTTTTTAGAATTCTGGATACACCACTACATAGCTGAATATTTGGACCGAGCACCTTATGAAATTCGTTCTGAAATGTCGGATCTAGAGTTTTTCTTAAGAATACCCAAACGGCTGATGGATTTTTGTGAAGAGCTTTTTGGTTCAAGTCAGAAATATATTCGGAGAGTGTGACATTCCCTACCCAAGTGCGATTTTATTTGAAAGCTTAGATGCTTGCAAGGACTCTGACTATTACTAATCCCTAAGCTATGGTTATCATATGCTTACGCGAATAGTAAACAGTTAATTTAGTATTAGTATTAGCAATAGATAAATTATGAAGAAACCTTAAGTCTCTTAAATAGTATATTTGGCGCTTTGTAACCACGGAATGGAATGCCGCCTCCAAACAGCTGAAGAGCTTTCCGAAACACACTTGGGGTCTTGCAATCCCCTGCGATTGGAACAAATTATAACCGGGCCTATTACGGGTGCCGAAACGTGGACTATAGTTAGTAGTTAGTTCTGTTAAACCGATTTCGGAAGACAGATTATAAACTAATATTAGACATTTTACTGCCTAAACGCCAAAATGGGTATTTAAATTTTATGCTCTAGAAAACTTTCTCAAACAGAAAATTCCACAAAATTTATACGCGAACACAAGTTCTGTAGCTCAAAATAGCAAAGAAATAAGCTCGGACTCCTTGTACGGCCCTCTGGCTAACAACAGAAATACCCCCACAGTTTTAATTAATTTGTAGCACTTGCGACACTGTGCACTCAACACAATGGTCTCTGCTCTCTGCTTTCTGCTCTCTGCTCTGACTCAGCATGTGGCAGTGACTGCTGATTCGCTCGTTCACTCATTGCCAATACTAAAGTTGGGTCTTTTAACCAAACGCCGAAAAACTATCTAGCTGCTAGGTCTGGTGGCATCAGATTTGGTTGCATGCAGCGCATACGCGTTTGAGACCCGGAACGACAAAGTACGCATGCGCGACGCTCCTAAAATTAACAGATATACTAAGTTGCCGAGATTAAAGTATTAAAAGTATATAATAATTTATGTGCATTTAAGCCTTACATATAAATACAAATAAGCGGTAAATCAAGTAATTAAAACTTTAATGAAATAAAAAGTCAATTTTATCTACAAAGTGCAAAAAAATGTATGAGTGCGAACTGACAAAGAGACCTGCTTATATGTGTATAAGTAGATGTATATGTATATATGTATGTATATGTATAAAACGATCGAAAGAACAAAACGGGTTGTTTGGTCGTTGACAAAACGGTTAGTTGGGCGGTGTTGGTGGTCAGTGGCGACGGTGTATATTCAGACTCAGAACCAATTACATACATACATACAAAATATACTTATATATATATTTTATTAGTAAAAAAAAACGAGTGACCGTGTTGGCGGCTATCGGCGCACCGGATGCAAATACATAAAAATTGACCGTAGATACCAATAACAACACTCATACGTACAAACTATGTAAATAAATGTTGCCATGGTCGCCAAAGCAATGTTGTGTTCCACAGTCTATGTGCTAATGGACTGCGTTATCGCCACTATATTGCTGCCATTTTCGTTATTATATATTTTTTATTATTTCGCTATTTTCATGCTTCTTGTGCTGACACTAAACATTGACACTAAAGTGGAAAAATTTGTCGCGCGTCTAATGGCACAGGAAGTCGGCGTAAATTCGGTGGAAACGAAAATCAACCAAAACTCTCCAGTGTGCATTTATGCCGAGAATCGCCTTTATTTCACGCAGGAAATGCAGCGGACGTTTTACCTGCACCAACGGAAATTGCCGTCAAACACATGCACAAGCACTTGCCACGCACACACGTACATAGACTTTTAAAATTATGACCAACATGACGCGCGGGTAATGCAAAGTGTGGATAATTGCTTTCTTTCGAAGTTTGCTTTGCTGCGTCGCAACATTTTGCTTTTAGTGCACTTCTTTCATATTTTTATAGTGACCTTTATTGGTAATTTTTACATAAACATACATATGTACATATTTGCATTGTGCATAATGTGACGTATATATAAATTTTATGTCTGTGTTGATGAAGTGGTTGCAATTAAAAATGTTTCTTTGTTTAAAAAGCAAATAAAAAACTGGTTAGAGTTGCAAATACAGGGCTATCCATTATGCGCTTTCGAAAATAAAAGTAACTAAAAGGCATTTCAAATAATTATTTTCATAAAATTTCTTTTTTGTTATAAAAAAAAAAAGTCCAACGCTATCAAAACGCACGATTTCCGTTGCCAATTGACATCGAAGTGATAAGAGATTACGCGGGCAGGAAATTTCTCTTGCAAAAAATCGATATTCGCTCGTGTTGTTTAACATGCGGCATCATTTTGTCCAAGACGTGTTCTTCAATTGCAGGCTAAAAAAAAGTTGGCAGATATACGACCGTTACTATCCGAATTGGCAGAGACTGTAGTGTCGACGTTATCGTTTTCGAAGAAGTAAGGAGCGTATTCAGGAAATTTTTTCTTTTTTTCTTTCTCTTCAATTATCTGACGATTCTCGAAGCCCCAAAAAGAAGAAAATTTCGCTCGAAAAATCACAAATCATCACTGTGGTGTGCAAAGTAAGTGCAAAATACGTCATAATGTGCCGTAAGAAAGCCCCAGCTTTTGAGAACGTTAAAAATAGACTAATTCGGCTTTTCGGCTCACTTTCATTCGGAGTAGCGTTATTGAAGGTGAGAGAAGCAAAACCACGATGTGCAGGCTATAAAATGTCTGTTATTGATTGAGTCTCCTCAAATGTCTAAAATTGTACCAATTGTTTGAGTAGTTGGACGGTTATGTCCACCATAATCTCCTCTTAAACCACTAAACGTGGCCACGTTTGAATCACCATTTCTGTAGGAGGTTTTAACAATTTTAACGCGTTGTGCGGTTGCTAACCGATCTATTTTCAAAAATGCCTGGAATTTGACAGATATCAAAGTACAGCCCTGTACTTTTGAAAGCACCAAATGGATAATCCTGTATAAAGTAACAAAAAATTTTCGATTATTATCGCTTAGGACTAGAACTTTATGAAATTCAAGTACGAAATTTTTCTTTATATGTCATATACTATGTAAACCTTCATGTATACGGTTAAAAGCAATTTACTTTAATTTTTACAAGTTTGCGCGTATTGCCTTTTCCTTCTGTGCCCATTCATTTTTTTCGTTTCACCTTACGTACACAAATAAATATCAAAAGTGCTTCTGCAAATTTCATTCAGTTTAGGTAAATAGGAGTATATACACATACATACAAATTTGTACATTTACTCATTTGGTTAAGTAAATCAGGCAAAACATTTACAATTCAATTTTCCATATTATAATATGCACGTAGTATGTATGTATGTATATATTCTTTTCAAGAATTGACAGGTGTTTTTAGCAAACTCGTATTTACATGTAACCATGTACATATGTCTGTGCGTGATATCCTATTTACTTATTTTGGCATGAGTAATTATCTTTGACGTTCATACGACAAAACAAAGACGGAGCAACGTAATCAAACTTAATATTCCAACATCGAACTGTTGACAGCAGTTGTGAGGAAATTGCATAAAAAAAATATCTTCACCGGCACAATTATGGAATCTGACCAATGAAGGAATATTTCTAAAGTAAACAATAGTAAAATTTGCATGTAAATACTCGTGCATACATACATATATGCGCAAAGTAAAGAGTGTTATTTTGATTGTGAAAATATTTTTCAGTTATTCATATCACTTGGCTTTGAAATAACTTTCCTTTTGTTATATTACGGATGGGCTTTGCTCTTTCTGTTTTTCCTTTTCGCTGAATTAGCTTCTTATTTCGAGTTAACTCATTATTATTGTGTCATAAAAAATTACAGTTAAATTTAAATACTGTAATTTGCTTTTGTTGGACTGGACTGTTGGACAGTTTTATTAATTTAAAATATTAAGAATTTCCATCTTAAAAAATAATTAAAAAAAAACACACTTTCGAATTTCTAATTCGAATTGCAATATGGTATGCAAATTTACACATAATACATACATATATGGTATATACAAATGTTGAAGTTTATTATACCAAAAAAATATTTTCCCAAAGTAAAACCATTTTTCCGTAATAACACGCTTTATTAACTTCATTGCGAGCAGTAAAAAAAATTACAGCTTTACATATGTAATTACAGTTGAAAAGTGAAATCGTACTCGTTTTAGGCACATTTGAACACACACACATAATTTATATATCAACTTGAAGAAGCGACTTAATTTTGCGTACTGTCTAAAATTCCAGGTGAAATGCGAAAATTTTCATATTTAAGAAATTTGGGCTTATGCTAATAACTGTCTAATGTATTTCGAAAAAAAAAAGTAAATGTCCAATATATTATGATAATAAAATCACGATGTGTTATTGAAATATGATAATTACTATTATGATTTTATGGGGAAATTAAATAAGTTTGTTTTATGATAGAAAGAAATTTAATTAATTACTTTAAAAGTTAAAAAAAATACATATATTGTACTTATAAATTGGAGTATTATCCTAATTTCATAATTAACCGAGATTTAGTACCTCACAATAAAAGCCGATTGAACGTTTTGGAGGTCACATAAAAAGGCGTGTCCCTTGAAAAGCGAAAAAAGTTGAAAAATTCATTTATCTCACTCAAAATGTGTCCCTTTTGCTTCGATACAAAGCTTTGAAAGTTAAATTAAATCATTGAATGATTTCCTTTCAGAGCTCTTTTTTATCCAGAAATAAATTTTACGGAATCATCAGTATAATTTTATACATTTCGTGGGACGAATGCGGCGATTGTTGCGCAATCGCACCGAAGATGAGTAATTAAAACTGGAAAAAAAGTGAAATTAACCAATTCAAATTCTTTATTTATAATAAAAATAAGTATCTAAATAGATAACATATTCATATGTGGTATAATTGATAAATTAATACCTTGAAAAATTCATTAGCTGGACATTAGGCAACAGGCACGTCTTTCCTCTATTTCTTCGTTTCCGCTTTAAATATGCGACTTCTGATCCATTTCGTTCTCTGGAAACAGTTCTTCAATTGTACTCACATATGTTTGAAGGTCAAAAAGTGGAAATTAGCTATCGTGTAGTAGGTGAATAAATACCATTGAAATGATTAGGTGAAGGGATCCACTTACAAAGATTTTCCCTTCTGGCGAATATAAATGCCTTATTTAATTAGCTATTTATGTTAAATTGGTATTTTTATTTAAAATTTTTATAATATTTTCATTTTGGTATTTTTCTTTCATTTTACTTCAAAAATATTTAGATAGAAATACTTAAATAATTTCAATTACAAAATGTGCCACTCAACTTTGTAGTGTGTAAAATATACCTACGAGACTACATCTGCGTTTTAATGTGCTCATAAAAAATTTCTGTTGAAAAATTGAAGCCCCACTTTGGCGCTACTGTGACACTCAACCATTCCACAATTCCCATATAAACATTTAACCTTAAAGAGCCGTGCCAAGTCCATGGCAATCATGAACATAAATGCATATGAATGTGTGTAATTAAATTATTAACCACAATTTCCACTCATCTCCTCAATCATCGACGCTGGCACACACCATTAATCGCACACATACGAATAATAAACTTGGTGCCACCAGACGTCCACCACCCGCCCATCCTTCCATATAAAAAATCGCGTTAATTACGGTCCCATCCAAACTTCGTCTTGCAGACGTGTACACTTGTACATATATGCTTGTATACAATTCGTATGGCCAATGGTTTTTCTACAATAATCGAACACTTACATACGAGTACATTGTATTTGCTCACATTGGTGTACTGTTCAATCGTTCGTTTGCTATGTGCACCAGCCAGCTATTCAACAATTGCTGGAAAATGCCTGGCACTTGCTCATTGCTTTCAGTTGGTGGCATTCAACATGACTCATGCATGATGATATTTGTATCTACGTACATACCCCCTTCATTTCTGCAACAAGTAGTAAATACATAAATTACTTCGATTATAATTTTTTTCAACGCTTGTTGTGCGGTGGCTATGAGCTCAGCTTTAATAAGAAAGAAAATAGGATTGATTAACTCGGAGCATGGAATGGCGGTCAAACGACATTGCTGACGATTTTTTAACTTTTTTTTTCTTTTTTTTAATATTTATATATGGTTGTGTGCATGTTTGGTATTTTGCAATTTAATATTAAATATGGCAAATATTTGGTTTTTAAGCGCGGTAATTTTGAAAATTTATTTTGAGGAATTTTAATTATTAGTTGAAACACGATTTGGGATTATTTTTTTAAGAATCAAAAGAAAATATGTAAAGAAGTACGCACATTTCCTTTTACAATGGTTTTCCGTTTATTGTCACATATTATATTAGTAAGTCCCGTGCAACATTAAAGTACATACATCAGCTAAGTGTTTACGGTACCAGCAAAACTGAGTATTAATTAATACTTCAGCCAGTTCAATTTGTCCCGTGCGAATATCAAGGTTATCTCCTTTATATCGAGCAAAAGAAAATAATTGGAAAGTTTAGGTATAGATGCGATATTTTACAATTTAAAGGTTCCATAAGCACCCTAAAAAACCATATTTTTAGAAAATTTTTTTTTTTTTTGAAACCAATTAAAATTGTATTTATATGCATCTACTTGCGCTCCACATATAAACATTTTCAGCACGAGCTCTACATTATATAATCATTGTCATGCTATTTTTCTTATTTAAATTGTTCAAATTACCACCTTTATTATCTGAAAATAGCAATAAGCGCAACAACGCCCTGCTCAGCATGAGTGCTTCAAAACGCGATTGTTTCTATAATTAATGGTTTTGTCTTTCACTTGCCACTTTTTCAAAATGAAACCCGATTTCACTCATAAATGAGACAAAAAGAATAAATAAATAATCTAATTGCGATTCTCCATTTTGGTCGCTCATGATTCATGGTAACATGATTCATATGCAAGTTCAAATATGGGTGCATATATATGTACATTTATTGATTACAGCTTAATTCTAATTCTTGTTCTGCATTGCAATTTTTCTTGATTAAATTTCACAAAATGATTTATTTCATTAAAGAAAAAATGTAAAATAAAACCTATAATAATAACTTGAATAGACAAGAAAGAGTTCCTCAGAAGTAAGATTTAATTGGTCTACAAAATATGAATAGATAGATAATTCATATTAGAGCTGCTGTTAATAATCAGCGATTCGTAGCGCGTACTGTCATTCGGAAGGCCAGGGTTCGAGTCCTGTTTCCTGACATGAAATAAAAGCTCCTCATAAAAATCCATCGGCCATTCGGATGCGACTTAGAATTGGCCTTTTTGTAGGCCATGCCAAGGTACACTCTGTATTTTCAAACTTAACAAAACAAGCAACCAAAATTTCTCATGAGGTCAACTATTCGAACGACAAATTTCTACAACTTTGAAGAAACATAAAATCTCCTGAGAAAACCCCTCATTCTATAAATTTCAATTGCATTGTGAATTGTTTTATTTCGATGAACCAAATACATACATATATACTCGATATTCGTACATATATGGGTAACTAGAAAGTTGAATCTGACGAAAAATAAAGACGAAAAACTAACAAACATCATCCATCAGCTACAATTAAATCTACTAAGGCGCTCTGAAGCTTACAGTTCTTACAGTTCTTACGAGTATTTCACAAATAACGTCATCACGACGACACAATTTCAATGTTTCGCGAACGAAGTGGGGCAGGAAACGTTGCGCATAAAACCAGCATAAAACAAACACATATACATACATACACATTAAACTCACTGAAAGCAGACAAGCAAACACACAAACTTACAAACTATTAAATGATCACGTATAAAACCGCAGATCGAACACCGACACACGAGTGGTACGGTGTTAAAGAAACTCTTCATTTTGCGAAGAGTTCGTACACCGCAAGGAAGGCGGTGAAGACCACAATTACGACAGTAACAGTAACAGAAACAATAACGGTAGCAATAAGAATAGTAAATATAACTAAGAGCAACATAAATATAGATTCATATGTACATACTTATATTTACGTACATACAAATTTAGGATAAACAGCAACAACATAATCGCTGTTGTTGCATATGTACTAACAAAAATAATTTTAAATAAATACAAAAGAAGAAGACAAATACAACACCAATTGAACTCTGGCAACAGGCCACACAGCAATTGTAACAAACGAACCACCGTACGACAACAGCAACAATTCCAGCCACAGCATCGCCAGCTAAGCGAGCGATCCAAGCAATGAGGTGGTGACGCTGTGGGAGGCAGAAGTAGTAAATACTCACTGCCGCCTGCTAATAGAATTTCAATAAGCATACGGGCACCACCAAGCACATTAAGGTAATCCAAATTTTCGGCTATTTGAGAACCTTTAACTATTTTGCAATCTGGATTGGCATAACTTGAAAAGAATAATAACAGAAAATTAAAATAATAAACAACTACTCCAGTCTGAAGTTTAAATTGTTTTTTATACGTTATTGTTCTAAGAGAGTGGACAAATAAGCAATATTCTCGTGTTGTCAACACATTCACACGTTTCGAATTTAGATAAATTTTTATAAAAAATTTTCAAACCAATTTATAGCTATATTAGACGTTGCTGGAATATTTTACCAATTTTGTAATATATAAAGTTCTCTTGAGAAACTGGAGGAATATTGAAGTCAAGCAAAATTAATTGGGAAATTAATACTTTTAGGCTATTCGAAATATAAAAAAATAATAATAAATTTTTAGACCACCTTAACAGACATTTGTATATGCAACTTATGCTTTTGTATTGTGATATGTATTTTTGTGGCGTGTGGATCGGAGTACGGCATGTGACCGACAGATCGATTGCTCGTTGACTAAATAAGCAAACTTTTGTTATTTTAACAGCGAGAAGCAACAGTTGCATGACGCTATTATTTAGAGAGACTCAGCAATAGCAAACGCGATCAGCACTCGATCACACGGCGGGGTATTACACGCGTAATAATTTTTGTTATCAAAAACAAAATGGGAAAAATCGTAGCGGGTCTAAAAAAAACAATAATGAATACGTAACTACAAAGACAAAATTTTCTACGAAAATTATTTAAGCATTTATTACTAATTCTCAATTAAAAACACGAAAACAATTATTATTTCAACTCAAAAGTGATGAATTTCTACTTGAAACCAGTTTCAAAAAAAAAAACACGCTGATCTAATATTCAAAAACAGTTAATATAATTCAAAAAAAAAACAAAATATTTTTGGATCCCCTCCTACTGTGCAAATTGTGATCCGCTTCGCTGATATACTTTTAACACTAAAATGCTAATATTCTTCATTAACAACGCCAAAAGCGTTTTAAAAAACAACAAGAATGTTTATTCAATAAAATGATGAAAAACGAGAATTGAGGTGGAAAGTGTGCAAAATAGCGTAATAATAAAATAATTAAAATCTAAAAATTTAATCAACAATTTAGCAACATTTATTGTAGCCCACGAAAAAAGATAAACTGAAAGTACATTCAGAGCAGACACTCCCCACCTCCCACTGAGCACAATCGATACTTATGGCTTCAGTATAAAACAGTGAAAAGTGCATTAAAAATAAACAAATATTGCTTACAAACTTACATACGTACATATATACAAAACAAATTGGAACAAATAAAGGCGAAGCAAACACTCCCAACCGAAAATGGCTCGGAAAGAGCAACCGGCCGCTAATGATATAGAGCAATTTCTACGAGGTAAGTCGGTTATGCTTGACTAAATCTATCGTTTGATTTATGCTTTTTTCTTCTCATTTTCATACTCTATTGTGCGACAAGCTAAGCTAAGCTAAGCAAACATTTACAGACATGCCATCAAATACTCTAATGGGGAATATTAATAGTTAATTTATTACTAAGTGTTATAACATTTTCACACATATGTGTTAGTTCTACTTCACTAAGTGACGGCCTACATTCCTATTACAATAATAGCAACTTAGTAAATAGGGTTCGAAATATTTTCCTGGAATTGCGGAAGTGACTTTTCTTGGTTCTTTTCTGTTCCAACTGAATGGGTTACGGGCAAGGCCTGCACACGACGTCCAAGCATTTATGGAAGTATGTACTTTGAACGACGTTTGTGTTGGCTCTTTCTTGGTGTAATCCGCGCAACTACCGTGCGCTACTCTGGGTCTGAATTCGATCTTTGTAACATGACAGCGACAGCTCATCCCATCCTTGGCCGCATCGTTCTTTTTACTACTTTCGTGAGGGGTTTGGCTTAAATCCGTGATATGTGAGATACTTATAAGTGAATACCCAATATAAATTTAAGAGCTTTTCAGTATTCATTTGCTCAATTTTAGGAGCAGCTCAGAGTTTCGATATTTTCAACTTTTGGTGATGGTTTTTAGGTACACTTCGTTGACATGCGGAGCTTTCTTTGCCAATTTTATGTACAACGTGCATTAAAACATGGGTTTCATGTCTGAGCCAATTTCCTTATATAACTCGATTCTCTTCACATATTTGATTATCCCTTATTACAAAGCACCCTATATCCAGTTAAAAAATTAAACATAGATCTCAGCAAAAACAATTTCTAACGGTGTCATTCCAAAATCCTTAAAAAAAAACCATAACCAGGAATATCAATTCATTTCTGCAAAACTAAATTTCGTTCCCAAGGAATTGTCGTAAAAGTGCATATAAATGTTTTATCGTTCTTTCGGACTCGCAAAATGTACACAACAGTACACATACATAAATACATGCATGTACTAAAAAAATACTCACATACATATACCGTAATTATGAAAATATGTGGCACAGAACCACAATTCACCGGACGTTTGCTGCAAAATTACTTGGCAACCTACTTTCATACAAACATACTGCTGGCTCAAGACTTTCCACAAAATTTCGCACACTTGGTTTCAACAGTATACTCGTACTCTTATATGGCCGACATTGGACACCTCAGAGCTTTGAGAATATCAGATATATCTAATTACATACTAAATATTCGTAAAAATGTAGCCAACGTGATTTTAAAATACCCGAAATTTAAATAGTTTTTGCCACGCCCCTTCGGCGTCAACCTGATTGATACCTCATTGCGCCGAGTGCTGCCCACAAAAAATTTCGGAAAGAACTTTTTTCTCCGATGCTATGTCTAAAGAGAACATGAAAAAGTGTAGAGCATTCTGCTGCATGTTTAAAGCTATTTTTACTTTGCTTTATTTGCTGTTTTTGTTGTATTTGTTGTGTTTTGGTTTGACTCACTTAAGAATAGCTTGCCGCCGTTGTTAGCTTAAAAACGCGGTTTTGTGGTGTTGAATGTTGATTTGGTACATTTAGTAGTAAGTGACTTTATTTTGAGTATTAATATTTGTCGTTGTTGTTGTTTTCGTTTGCTGTTGCTATCGCAACGCCTCGATTTGTAACAGCATTTGTGGTTTTTGGTCTTCTCAACGTTATTCTTTTTGATGTTTTAATATTTTTTTATTATTATTATTATTTTCCTTTTGCTTTTGTAATACTGTATTCATTCGCGCGTCTCATTTTTGTGGCTGCAAATGTAGCATTTTTATTTAGTTGCGTTGCGTATTTTCTTTCGTCTGAGGTTAACAATATACCGCTACCTTTTTTAATTGCGTTTTTGGTTTTTTTTTTGCTTTGCTTTTTCATAACTTTTTCAGTATTTCTTTGGTTAAATGGTGTTACCGTTATTCTGCCGGCTTTTACTTTTCATGTCGCAACATTAACACATTCGCAATACTCACTTATTTATGAATTCATCATCGCTTAACAGTCAGTTTTTTATTGTGCTTTTCACAAAGTCATTTCAGTTTCAGGGCACAATCGTCGGCTGCGCTGAACTCTGCACAACAAAGTATATACCATACATATGTACTTTGAATTCTATATACATACACGTATGTACATGCATGCATACTCGTATGTAAAGGCACATAAAGAGTCTTAAGTAAGTGACTTTAATAGTCACATAGCTCCAGGCCCTCATTAACTCTTTCACTGGCTTTTGATTAATCTTCGTATTAACCTGATGGTTGGCTGACTGGGTTGGGTTTAACAATGCACTGAAACTCGAACTTTCTTTTATCTATGTAACTAGTCTTAAGCTCTCCTCATTCTAGCATTCACAATTTCATTTATTTTTATTTGGTTTTAATCTTGTTTTAATAGTTTTTTAATTTTTCTTTTCATTTATATAATCTTTTTTTAATCGCGACTGTTTCAAGTATCGTTAGTTGACATTTACCCCCAAAAAAGGTTATTTATCGTAGCTAGCTGTTTACGGTGTTGTTTAACCCAGACCAGGTGTTGAGCAATCAAAAAATGCTTACATCATTAAATAGCGGAATTTTAATTGTGTTTTTTACTTCCATTTGAAATAATTACATTGATTGGGTGAAAATGGTTTCAAATGAATTTAACTTACTCCGGGAATTTTCTTCCATCTTGCACTCTAAATTATATATAGCCGTAGGGTGCTTATTCATGCATATAGAATATAATTAGGGCTGAAACGATTTTCGGCCAGGCTCCTCCATCAAATTGTGGTTTGTGTCCAACAAATCGAGAAACCTTCAAATCATTCTAAGCCGTCTCTGTATGACCGATAGATGTTGAGTTTAAAGTTTTTAGGTTGGATTTCTGGAGAGAAAGAGACTTCATTACCATAAGTTACTTTCCTAAAGGCATGTCTAATCACCTCTGATGCAGTGGGTTACTACGATTATAGTAAAAACCCTCGCTTCTGTTAAGGACCTTACCTTTACAGCTGCGTTTCTCAAATCCCCATGTCTTTATATGTAAGTACATATATCTTTGTTATCTCTCTCGGCCTCATTAGCTTATTCGCAGTCATCATCTCTTTCTTTCAGCTCTCTGTCTGTTGTAATTTATGTCGAGAATTACGGTTACCTATCATATATCGAGTGGGCTCAATTATTCATAGTGGGCCTTATAGTGTGTACCTGTTGTCGCTCGATGTAGCAGATACTGCCCGAATGATTTAAAGCCTCGTGCCCTATTGGTGCTGGATGTGCCATTTTGATGTAGTTGTCACATTTCAACATTGCGTTCAAGCCATTTGGAATTTTATATACATACATATGTATGTAAATTAAGGGGACACGAAAAACTTGCTTCTTAAAATCATCTTCCTGTTGACACCACATATTGTCCATGCTATTTTCTTAAAGATCGGCATTGACCGAAACGGCAGCTTTTTTCTCGCTTTCGAGGTAAAACGAACCAATGATGCCGCCCGTCCACCTGCCATTCGTTGAAGACGACTTCGTGTATTCTTGTTGATGCTCAATACGGTAGCTCTACTACTAAAGGGGAATTAATCTTCATCGACAGAACTGAGAATTCGCTGCTCATCAGGGTTCAGTTCTTGGACCAATTGGACTTTATAAGTTTTTATTTTGAAGTGTTAATGCAAAATCGTTCTAAAAGAAGTGCGCGAATCTTGTGTTGTCTGGCGAACTGCCTTAAAGGTGAGTTATTTCGTTGTTGTTATGGTGGAAAACTCATCATGTCTACCTTACTCTGTCGAGGGGCGACCGCAATTCGAAAAATGATCTCCATATTTTTTTAAAATAAATTTTCTATAATTTTGGATGTTTGTCGGTCCATGACTCGAAGCCAGGCCTTCTTAGGGCAGTAATATTTAATTTCCTTTAAATTCATTAATGATTTTAAGAACCTTTTAAGAAGTATTTAATACTTAAGACTATGTTCTCGGGGACCAAGGTTGTAGGCAAAAGGCTTATAATTGCAATAATTACCCTTAACCACATCGACGGACAATGATATCGCAAAGTTCTTTGATGTGCGCACGAAGCTCTGGGCAGTTGATGATGCCATGGAAGATCAGTAAAATGAGGTCAGCGAGAGCAAAACGATTTTAAAATATGTTGGACCATTTTAAGTTTACAGGGATGGGGATAATGAAGTGGATTCTAAATTAAGCTGGCATACGGGCTGATTTTCAACGAACCAAGGAATTAAATATGTAACCCCGAGTTACAATAAGTTTAGGTGTGGCACAGTTTATGTAATTAATAAAGGTAGAACCGCCTCAAATAATATACCATGATAAAGGTTTATTTCCTATATTTGAGTGGCATTACACAAAAAAAAATGACAAATAAGACACCGTTGTCTTCAGAAATGATGTACCGGGAGACGATTTAAGCTAGGAAGTGAGCTGGAATTAAAAAGTTTTATCCAACATAGGTCAGTTTGTAAAAATTCAATACTCGTATAACTTGGTTGCATCCGCAGAGGACATGAATTTCTTGATTACTCATCAGCACTTTCCAAAACGAAGTCCTGGAACGTTAATGACGTTCTTCCTCATCACACTCTTCGTCGTTTCTTGATATCGCTATTTTTACCAAGGTTCTCTTTGGCTGTCACTGATCCCAGAGCAGAGGGTAGGGGCAACGGATAGGCATATATAATTTTAACTTTGGCTTATTACTCTAGAAACAGATGACAAAATAATTAAACCAAAACTAGAATATTCTTTCCCTGTCGTGCTCGCATTGAACTTTCGTACGCATTGGTTTCACTATGATCCAAGGAATATATGTATAAAGATATTCCAATTTCATCTTGCACACACAACCATAAAGCCAATCTCAAGGCCCCTCTGTTTCTTGCATCATTTCTAACTTAGACTTTTTTGTCCTATTCCAGATGTTCGTGAGCATTTCCGAGCGTCTCTGGAGACTTCCGAATATGAGAATACTTCTAACATGTTTCATATGACTGAGGCGGAATCAACACTTAAACTACTCATACGCTGTGAGCTGCTACTAGCGAATTATGCGGGGAAGGATGCAAATGCGACTGCACTCAATAATAATAAGTCGTCTATTTCCGTCAATGGAAAGATGAAGTCAAATGAAGTTTATGAAGGGATCAATGGAGCTACAAAGGTCAACGGCCAGCCAATGCAAACGCTCACAACGGTTGAAAGCAGTCAATGCAATAACAATGCAGCAACAAAGAACACAACAAACCCAACACAGCGGCAGCTAGAGGACGTCTCCTATTTAGATATGAGCGGAGGCGGCAAAAAATGTAAGTAAAAACTTGATCGCTGGGAACTGGACAACAAAGTTCACATACAATCAAGAAAGTCAATTAGCGCAAAATAGCTTTCAATTAAAAATTAATTACTCGTATGTTTGTTCTTTTCAGCATCCAGTTGGTATGATGAATGGAACAGTGACCTGAAAAGTGATAAAACTTTCCGCTGTTCGGCTCGTATTAGCAAGAAAACCAGCAGCCAAGCATACAGTGATGAGGATGGTGAAGATGACAATGAGGACGAAAGCGAAGACGACGAGGGTGATAATATTTCGCAAAATTACGATGTTTGTCAAGTGTCTAGCCACGACCAAGACGAAATGCAAAAGGCAATAACACCAGAGCTCGAACCCATGCAATCAAGAGATTGTCCTTACATGGATTTACCAGCCGGACATTTGTCCATCGAACACGCCACCAAATATGGTCAATTGCAACGCGTAGAGAAACGTTTATTCTTTGATCAGTGTAAAAAATATTACTGCGGTGTACTCGACGGTTGGCTGCTCTGTTATGCAGATGGACCTACGGCAGCTCATCCAACGATAACTTTGTATTTAAAACACAATGGAATCGAGATCGAGCACTACGGTGAAGGCAAACGTCGGGAAGTGTGCTTCCAGATCACCACTGCCGATCCAAATAAGAAATTTCTCTTCCAAGCGAATAGTGAAGTGGATGCCAAAGAATGGATTATAGCTGTTGAGGCGGCTATACGTGGAGACACAACTTCTACAAACTCTACAAACACAACAAAGTGTACGAGAAAGCTGCCAACGCCACCTACGTCCAAGAAGATGACATTCATGTCCCATAAACAAGACGTGCCAAATCATGACTGTATTTACGAAGAGCCCTCACCCCTATTTCAGACAGATAAATCACCGAACAAACAACCCATATTGCCAGTAAGAAAAGAAGCCCCCACAAAGCTTGATATTGTGACCGAACTGGAATATGATATACCCAAGTTACCACCTCTGCCAGTAAAATCGGCCGATACGAGTATATCCGAGCCAGAGACAGCGGAGTTATTGAATTTAAGTGAAAAAAGCATACTCAGCACAGAAAAACTCGAATTTCAATCTATCGTTAAGGATGTACACAGTAAGTTGTCTAGTCAGCTTTCGGCAGGTCCAACACCGGAGCGCTTGAAAAAGACACTCATAAAGACTTACTCCGGCAGTAGTGCCAGCGATGTAGAAGCTGTAGCACTTTCACCTTCTTCTCCGTCTAATGTTAAGGAGAGCAAGAAGCAACGCAAATGTGCAACCCCAAACGCCAGTCCGCAAAAGGGAAGTAACAGTATTATTGGCAGTCCCAACAACAATAACAGCAATAACGTCAGTGGCAACGGTGGTGTAGGTGTCAAATGCTTTGATAAATGGTTTTTTAATCGCACGAATAAAACAAATACCTCGGGTCGCAGCATTAGCTCAACCAGTTCTACGCAGTCTTCGCCAGCCAAATGTAAACAAAGTGAAAAGGAGAATCTACTGCAAAGCCTGGACTCAAACGATGTGGTGGACGGTGGTGGCGGTATAGAGAGCCTACATAATATGCATAGCAGCAATCCCTCCTCACCAATTCTAAAGAATACTTTCTGTGGAGGTAGCGCGGGTGTCGACAGCACAATAAAAGGTAAAGTCGACCTGATAATCAAGGAATTCGAGACGAGCGCACACATGGGCATGCTCACAATGGAAACACTGGCTGGCAGCGCTGTTGCCTCACTTAGTTCCTTTTGCGACAAAGATTGCAACAATTATGAACCCATCATGACAGTGACAACACCGCCAAGTAGTTTCTTGAAGAAAATATAGTGAGCGCCGGAGAATGCCACACTAGATGGCTGGTGCAATGTGTGATAGACACTCAAACGATTATTTTCTCTCTTTGTTTGTATTTAAGTGGATAAGCGCTGATTCATAATACATCAACTAGTGGGCAGTAAAAGTATTCATTACATTTTTTTAAAGAACTGTTCTTTATAATAAAAGATTTTTGTTAGTATTAATTATATAACAATGCTGTTTTCTTTCAAAGAATATAGAGGACATTTTGTTCAGGACAAGAGCCTACTGACTGACGCCTCAATTCTGGTGCAGCTCCATCAACGGAAGCAGAGGACTTGACAATATTAATCGGTGGCTGATTGTGTAGACAGAATCCACAGCAAAAAGGGTCTCATTTGGTTGAACTCATTACTGGGTATCAGTATCCTCTGTTCGGTTTGGTTTGGTTTGACGAACTCGGCTCTTTTGGGGGCAGGATTGCAGCTCTCGTAGGTACCGCCTGAAGTATATGCATGTTTCCAACATTGTTCATGTTTTTGACTTGTTTTGACTTAACCTTCCTGTTAAGTTGGATGGCTTTTGAGAGGGAATAGTTACCCGGATGCTTACTATAAGCCAAGCGGTGCTACCGCTCAATCTTCCGCCTTTCCCAACATGGGCTTTGAATGTCTTTCGTGGACTTAATTAAACCATTGCGCTTTTTTTTTGTACATATATTTTAAATAACATTTATATGATTGTAAATATGTGTGTAAAAATCGTATGTTAACAAAGAACATTTATTATATTGTATAGTGAATTTATTGTGATTATTATGAGTTTTGTATATTCACTACCGAAGCAGAAGAGAATTTCTAATCAGATAAGTTGCCAAAAGCTCAATAGCTTGCTGTAAATTTGATACATTTGTTACACATATACTTCTTGCTTCTGATTGCCTTGAAAGTGATAGGCTAATGAATTTGGTCCTTACTCTTTAGCTCTCTAAACTTAAAGTGATATACTTCATTCACTTTCGATACATATACTAACAATAATAAAATTTAGAAATGTTCTATATGTAACTACAACAATAATATCGTTTGCATTTATTCACAGAATTTCCAGTAACAAAATTATGTATGTACATATATGATTTACGCTAACTATTTCAATGAATGTGTATATATGTAATGCACTATTTATGTGTCTCAGTTATTTTATATGTATAAAAAAATATTGTAATTCACAAAAGAAAATATTTTAAGCATATCTCTCTTTTTGTAGCAGTAACAACGAGGTAGTCTCGTGATGTAAAGCAATATGTAAAGGAAAATATTTAATTTAAGTTAGTTAATTAAATATACTCGGACGTTCCATACATTCGATACATATACATATAGCAAAGATGTATATGCAATGTAAAATTCATGTTAAAAAAAGGTTATAAATTAGAATGCTTCACTTTATAAAATAGCAACATGCTCTTTTCAGTATTTCAAAATATAAGTTTTCATAGTTCATGTTTGTTAATAATATTTATCGGTACGTTGCGAGTCGATGTTGAATTTTTTTATAGCATTTGTTTGGTTTAAGTGGTGCGTTTTGCAGCTTTTAAGCGCTTTTGTTTGCTTATGTAGCTAGCAGCAGTGCAATTTTGAAGCCGCAGTTACGACTCCATGCACTAAAGCTCAGAGCGCCTATTGAACGGCCAAAAATGTTACACTTTCTTGTGTTGAGATTCCAAAATTTCAATTAGACGGTCACGCCGCTTTAAATCCTTAATGACCACTTGCTTGCGGACCACTTCGCTACTCGAAAACATGCCCATGACTTTTTTGTTTTGCTTTTTCAGTCTGATTTCCAGTCCCTTTTCTGTGGGTGTAAATGCGTCGATGTTTTCAAATCTGTATTTCCATTGTACCTTTTAGGCAAGAAATATTTGTTATTACAAGCTATTAAATAATACTCATATGTGTACTCACCGTATATGTACCGAAAAGATCATTCTTTGTTGCGTGTATAATGCGGTGATTCGAAACGACCAGGAATTCATGCTTCGGTACCAACTCTTCGCAGTGAATAAATACATCTGTGCCAGCATATTTGCCCTTCTCGATTTCTCTGCAAAGAATGCAAAAATTTATTCAAAGCATTTCTTTAATACTCAAAAGCCATACTTGAACACACGATTGCCCTCGGCCTCGGCACGACAATATGGACGTACAACGTTGTCTTGATGTACGTAACGTGGCGCCCGCAGGCGTGTTATATCATGTTGCCCCTCAGCTGCTCGACGCACAGCACCAAAGCTGCCACTAGCAAAATCAACTACACCGGCAGTGGGTTGAGCCACAAAACCAATTACGCCCTTTCCAACTCCCTTGAAAAAGCCTTCAACGCCCTCTTCGCGCGCACCAGCAACAGGTTTGGTCACAACTCCGGATACACCATCCACGAAGCCCTAAAATGAGAAAATAAAGATTAATAGATATAAAAAGAATATGCTTTGAAAATAAGTATTTTTTTTCGCACCATAACCAAACTTTTGCCGCTACGCGCGATGCCTTCAGAGAACGTTTGTGGCTTTTTATTCATGTGTAGGCGTCGTTTCTTTTGATACTCTTCATCAAATGTGAGTGCAGCCAGACCCTTGCCCATTGCACCAGTTATCCTTAAAAAATAAAATTTAGAATTTGTCATGAAATTACTAAAAATGTGTGAGCAGTGCGTGCATACTTTGAAACAGCACCTGCTGCGCCGCCTACAGTATGTCCAAAGAGCGATTTAACACCGAGCGCTAGACCTTGAGCGAATTCACCCGGTCCTTGAATAGCACCCTGTAACGGTAGCATATTAACATTTCTGCGAAAAATTCACAATAAAATCCATGCAATAATAACCTGGAATGGTTCATAGAACAAATCTTCGACACCCTTCTTTAAGCCTACAACTAAGCCATAAGGATTACCAAGCACATCCAGACCCAACACGAGCACATATAACTGTTTTAGCGCTTGACCAGTGTAATGTGCTGTGATCTCCGAAGTCAGCTGCTGTTGAGTGAAGAACTGGTACTCACGTTCGAAGAAAGCCAAACGGAAAACAACATCATTCACATCGGTTAACGTTACTCCGACGCCTTGCACCAGCGTAGACAGTATTCCGGGCAACGCTGTCGTATCGGAGCCAGCCATTGAGAAACTAACATGTATTTTAATTGGGCCAAGATGCAAGTTATCATAGAAATTCTTTTGTTCCTGCGCAGAATGTGTCTCCACCAGATCAGAAAGTGGCTTTTCAATGGATTCCACATTCATATTGAAGAGTTTCGCCGCTTGTACGTCACTCACTTTCGCCGCGAACATGTCGGCGAGAGCTGTGAGGAATATTAAATCGACTTTGAAGTGGAATTCCTGTATAAGCATGGTAGCGTATTTGTATTGCTTAACGGTAGAGTTGGGCACTACCCACTGTACCACACTGACTTCGATAAACGGTTTCAGAACGATCGTTGTGGCCACACTTTTAGGTGGCGGAATCGGCGCCAACACAACTGGGAAAATGTAATCATTTAATTGATTGTCAATTTGAATTTTGTTGATCTTGGCATGCAATTGCATTTGATAGGGAGAAGTTCTCATCTTAAACCAAACGCCCGGATAAAAGGTACGATGGATTTCGCGTTCTTTATTCTTCTTCAGAATCATATTTATAAAATCGATCTGTAATCAAGAAAACGTTTAAAATATTTTTGGGTTAGTCAAGTAATTTAATTTACCTCATGTTTGCTATCCAAATAGTATTTCTTCACTTGATTTACGCTGCGATCGACCAAATATTGTTGGTATTGTTCTTCAAGCTCTGCAGTTTCATGTATATTCATTTGTTTAAAGTGCTTTGAACCCTTCTTTTGCTCCCAAATCACACCTAAAATACTTGGGTTGAGTGAAGGTGAATAAAATCGAATACTGTTGCCTCACCTGAGCTCGCTATACCCATGTACAAAATGGTGGTGCCAATGATATTGTTTATCAATGAAAAACCAATACCATGAATGCGTACTTCAACCGACTGCGTAATCTTCTGTATAGTTGCGCTGCCTTCTAGTTTTTTAGCAATGTCAATGTCTTCAGTGAAGAGCAGTACCCTCTGCAAACCATCCAAAAATGTAACCCAGTACGCTATCGAACCGTCATGTAATCTGAGGGGGAGTACACAAGATAAATAAATTAAAACCACGTTTATGAAAGGAATACTTACTTCATTTCACCGATTTGATCGCGTCTTAAATCTGTTTCTCCTTTGGTTTTGCTCTTTTCGGTAATTTTCTCACCAATATCGAAGACAATACTATTTTCACCTGATGGATGTGACCATGCATGTAGCAGTCTCGTGTGTGGTTTTAGTACCACATTATCTTTGACATCCTTTTCTTGATATACAATGGGTAGTTTCGTATGATTCATTATCAAACCGGGCGCATCACCTGGATTAAATTCAGAGAAGATGATATAAACGCCACCCTCGGTAGCTTGTACATCTACATTAATACCGCCGTGCTGAAAAATTACCATTATTTAGCATATATTTTCGCAAAATTACTTTTGGGTCCTCGTCAATATTACCTTATTGCCTGGCAGTTTTAGGAGTGTACATTGCGCCTCAGAATATTTGAATGCAGGTGTGCATTGACCAAGAACGCGAGCGACAAGCATTAAATCGGAATCGTCTTTAGGCCACAGGGGAGTGCAAGAATTGGGCAATACCTTAGGTGGAAAATAAAATTGATTAAACTTAAATATGTTACATGACATATTCAAAACAAACGTACATTCATCCATGGGTCACCAGGCCTACTTTGCTCCTGCAGATCTATTTCGAAATAACATTTATTACTTGCGATATAAAATGGTATGAATGTGATCATTTTCGTAAGTGAATTATAAGTCAAATGATTGTGCACGCCTATCTGTAAGTTTAAAGAAATAAATTATTTTCTTCGATAAATTTTTATTTTTTTGTGGTAGTTTACCTGGTATGGCGTGTCTTTCGATTTGCAAGTAACTGCGCCCATCGACCCAGCAACGTCTAATGGAATCTTATTACTCCAATCGCCATTATCTACACGTATCGTAGCCGCTTTCTTGTCGAAGAAGAATTTCTCGCGGAAGGAAAATAAGATGGGTCCATTATATTCTGGTGGATGATAAAGCACATCAACGGTCTCCGCATCAGTTTTGTAGCTTAACATTAAACCGGTTTTGTTGATCATCCAGAATGGACTGTAGAGTGATATCTGCAAGGCACCCTGACGATCTTCAAAACTGAAATATAATTTTGTAAACGAAAAAATTTGGTGATAAATTTTATGTTCTTTTACCGAACACACAAATCCATATCCATTTTAGCCTCCGAATCGTAGGAACTAAAGCGCCAGGTAGCCATGTCATTGTGATCTTCAGATATTTCGGTGGTACATGACCAATCCTTTTCCAAATATTGGATTAACTAACAAAAAGTAATAAATTCGTATAAGCATAGTGAATAATATAATAAAAATTATTTTCTTTCTTCTTATTGTACTTAGAAGAAAGCATAGTTGAGCCTACCCGCACAACGAGGAAACTGCGGTTTTCACGTGACTTGCTGCTCAATTTCACTGTGGGCAAATGTAGTACATCACCCGGTGCCACTTCTTTCTCGCCGTAATCCAGCATGTCCTCCTTCACAGCACTCGTCACATTCCTTTCGACATTCTCAGCTTCAGCACTTCGAACACTACAGCCAGCTACAGAAACACTTATACTTATGGGTAATGCATTGCATAGGTAAACTGGCGGACGTAGATGCAAAGTGTAGTAGGCGCTGAGTATCGTATATTTGTCGCTATGCTCATGAAATATCTCCGTTTTAACACGCTTCACATTAATATAAAAAGTTTCGAAGGTGTTTAAGGGATCACATTGTAAATGTCTTGAATACTCGAGATCGGTTGGGCAATCGTTCCATTTAATGCCCTGTACAGATATGTTGTAGCCCTGTAACAAACAGCCAATAATTTATAAATTAGCACCATTGTGTATCTAAGAAATTCAACAACTCGCCTCTAAGCTGAAGTGCAAATCTTTATTATCTGCATAAATAGCATGGAGTGGTACATGGAAGATCTCTCCTGGCAATACTTTTCCAACCAAAATATTTTCTCTTCCCACCCCTGGCTTCGAGCGATGTATAAGTAAAGTGGTAGTGAAGTGATTGTGTACCTAAAATAGCAAATGAATGGCTAATTTTTGTAGTTTCTTAAGATTACAGAGTTTATACGCACTTTGACCACACCATGTATATTGATTTTTGTAGTCCCATACTCGGAGCGTACTTCTGATACAATGCCCCAAGGATCTTGATTTGAACCGCGATATAATGGGAAGTAGCGCTGATCTGATTTGGAAACTGGCAGCACAACCTCCTTGTCTATTCCACCCACCTAAAAATAATACAATGCACACATAAGACACTTCAAAAGGTTTATAATTGAATTCCTTTCAAATCCTACCTGCACATACAAATTATATTCCTCATCTTCTTCGTTGGTGATTGTAGACAAGTCTTTTGTTTGTAAATAGGCGCGTCCACCCGGCGAAATCGTACAATTCCTCACTTGCTCTGGGGAAAAGTTTGCATCAGCATCCTCAGCTGCGAATATAAGTGAACTATTCAGTGAATTTGCGACTGTTGCCTTGGGCGAGTGGCATTCGTGCAAGGTGAATATGCCTCGCCTAAAGTTTATCGAAATATCGAAACCAGTGTCGTTCTCCACCACATAAGGTGCTATCACCTCTGGTTTGGTGAGGCCTTCAATTTGTATGGCCTGTGAAAATGCCTCCCCCAAAACACCAAGCAGGTCTAAGCATGTCTTCGTAACTGTAAATTGTAAATCTTCATCTGAATGTATAGCGATTTGAGTAACTTTGCCAGTTTCTTCTTCTTCTGGTTCCTCTTCAACTTCAGCTTCATTTTTTTGATTTATGATGTCCACTTTGTAGGTTAATTCCCATGGCAAATACTCCTGCTCTCCATTGCGATTGATGTGCTCATTCATTTCAATTATGGGCTCCCACACAGCCAATGCTTCGTTGTAGTAATTAGTGCTCAGTGTGAGAGAGCCACGAATCTTCAAATCGTCACTCCAGTCACTAATGATGGCATTCAAGCGGGTGTCAATCGCTATGAGGGGCTTGGTATAGTATCCAATACCTGTCTCGATGACAAGTGTAATATTAGGAACTTCCACAACGCATCTTTCAGTTTTACGTTTTTGTACTTCCGTCAACAATTGGTTCTCTATGTACTCCAATGCATCAATTGCCCGATCTGGTGAGCGGAGTAGTTAGTTTATTAGAAATAAATGTCAAATAATAAACTTACCAGCTTTTAAGAACCAATAACGTCTCTCATTTATAGGCTCTTCTAACCACAGTTGCCTGTAATCAGTTTCGAGTCTAAGGTCTGTATCTTTTTGAGCATTTTCTGCACTTATACTACGCATAGCTTTGTTCAACAATTCAATGGTAGCTGGCGAGACATTGAGCATAATATCACTCAGTTTCAGACTGACGTGCAAGCCTTCCTCTTCGGGTGTTGAGCCATGCAAACTAATCATGCATGGATGTAGAATATAATGCCGTGTGGCCTCACGACGCTCCGGCATAAATGAACACATATACATTTTCAATGAATCGATTTGTCCGTTTATATTTTGTCTTTCCCCAATTGCCCGATAATTGAGCTGCGCCTGCACATTGAATATGATGGCATTGGAATTCATATCGTCGAGATTTTCGACCAATATTATGTCAGGCTCTTCGATATGTAAAATTAAGTTCATTTTTTTATTATTATCAACTGGTTTGTTGGGCTGCACAGTGTTCGTCGTTGATTTAGGGTTCACTTTAGGAACTGTTATGATAAGAAAAAAAAACGTTGCAGGAGTAAAATTAATTTTAATTTTATTTAAGTCAATTTACCTGTATTTGTTGCTACAGGAGTAGTTGGAGATTTCAACTCATTTTTCTTCTTTAAGTTCACTGGTTCGGTTTCTTCAGGGAGTTTGAAGAAATCAGCCAGTTTCAAGAGATAGTCGACGCATAAAATCAAATCAAAACTGCTAACACGTACTTCCGCTGTTAAGGAGAACAATGCAAGTTAACAAGTCAATTCCAAAATAAACTAATTCAAAGACTAAGTAATATTTTTTTAGTTTCGGCAACGCGCTTTCTTACCAAACACATCATCCTCTTTAATGCTGGCCGTTAAGTCTAACATATAGCTTAGCTCTGTTTTACAGGAATCTACCACTTCAGTCGGCTTTTCGGATTGCCTATGCAACTGAGAGTCATTCCAATCTTTTCGACAAAGATATTTCTTAATTGGACTTTTATTTGATTTACGCGTATCATCGATTTGAATATTACAGAGCACAATGGATGTGTTGAGTGTTCCATCCACTAGTTTGTTTCCCTTCAGTGATAAAAGATATAAACCAAAACGTGCTAGGCCCTCTTCATTGTCTGAAAGTAAATAATAAAAAAAATAACATAATTTTAAGTAAGTAAATAAATAAATAAATACTGAAAATACTTTGGCTGAACTCACTCAAAAGCAAATTGATAACAACACCGTCAAAGAGAAAACTAAATTTCATTTGAACATGTACAGTATTCTTTTGAGGAGCGCCCGATTCATTAACCGCAGCCAAGATTTTGCGTTTAGGTGGAGTGTTGCTAGCATTAGGTTCAATGTCCACTTTTGATTGTTGTGTTCTTAAGTCAGGCGATGGCTTGGGTGTTGCAGGCTGCTCAGGTTCCTCAATCGGAGGAAATTCATCTACGCCTTCACTCAAATTGCGATTCAATATTGCCATTATAACTGCGTAATCTTCCATAAATAGATTGAACTGGATTTTGAAAAGCAGATATGAAAGTTATTATTTGAATATATTTCAATTCGAAAACAAAAATCAATCATAACATTTTACCTCAATCGATTTCAAATGTCCTGAAATGTCCATCTCTGGCACCTCCTTATACCAGGTACTAGATAAATTGCGTTTAACAATCAAAGCACAACTAACCGGATCCAAAATGTTCAGATGCGATTTAATGCCATAGGCCATATCAACAGCTATAATGTGAAATATGAAAAGTTTACTGATCGATTAAAACTTCAAAAACCTTATCTTGCACTCACTGTCGACTGAGGATCTACGAGACTGTTCTAACAAAATGGCTGCCTTGGCCAAGCGCATATTTTTCAACTCGAGCTTAATTTCATCGAGAACAGCGCGACGACTCTCTCGTGGCACTTCCACTTCAGTTGTCACGTTATTTAATGAAAGGAAACCAAGATCCAGGACAATGGCATTGAAACTTTGTGAATCCATTGGAACGATTATAACAGGTGCTTTAACTTTAATATCCAGTTTCATGCGAGTTGCGTTTTCGTACGCAACCATAGCATTTTGTTTGGCAGCATCTGCCGCAGCAGCACTGGCTTGGGCAAGCGCAGCTTGTGCTGTTTGGAAGTTGTTAAGGAAGCTCTGAAAAATAAGAAATGAAAATATATTTGAACAAGTCGTATGACAAGCACAACATACCAAAACACCAGTCACGAACCAGTTCAAGAATACTATTTTCATGCCGCCAATTGCAACTGTTATGCGCATATCATCGGAATTGTAGTTGGAGGTCTCATCTAAATTAAATTTGATGACTTGGCACTCAAGCGCATTATCCCCGACAATCGAAAGTATCTGCAGATGTAAGAAAGTATTATAGATATATAGATATTAAAAGCAGAGCTTTTAATTTAAATTTAAAACTTACGCCACTGTGTTTTGTCAACGGATTCAAATCGGTCACCACGATATCCTTGAGACGCAGATTTAGCTCTGTGTAAGAGGATTTCAAAATTACATTTGCATCGAAATGCTGTACTTGCATTGAAGCCAATGGCCGTTTGCAACATGTCAACAGCAGAGAGACCTGTTCCAGCTTCGCTTTCACATGGATCTGTATACTGTCGACAACCTTTCCTTGGCGTTGCGGTCTACCTCTGGTAGGGGCCAGAGTAGCAAGAACACCGTCCTCTTCGCTTTCTTCTGCGATAACAGTGAGTTTGCTAAGAATACCTGTGTCCCCGGCAGTACCTATGCGATCTTTTGGTGTTGGATCAGCGACTTGAGTCGATTTGAGTACAGTTTCCAATTTGCGTTGGAAAGAATCGGCTAATTCAAGTAATTGCAGCAACACTTCTTGGTGCAATGTTATATTCAAAGTTGAAAAGTTAATGTTGATCAATTGCTCTGTAGCATTGTATTTGGTAAAGAATTCTGGAGCGGTGCGCTGGGCCATTACATATGAAACGGTTAACAAATATTGGAGTTCTTCGGAGAATCTCGGTGTATCGATAATATCCAACTGATAATTAGTACTGTCGGAGGATCCATGACGCTTTAAGTTGATAGCACCAAGACTGGAAAGGATAATTTATAAATAAAATAAAGTTGTTTTCGATGAGAAAGAATATTTTAAAGGATTTGAAATTGGAGACAAAACAAATCGATGAACGGCTGCATGTCTGAAGTGATTCGTTATTAATTATAATCGTAGACATTCAATATACTTACTTCGCTTCCACTACCATTTCATAGGTGCGTTGATACATTTTTACACCAAGCTCCAACACATGGAAAGAAAGAATGGTTTCAACTGTACAAGCTGCAGAAGTGCAGCTGACTATTTTTCCGAATGCGATATCGTTTGGCATTTCATCAACTGGTGTACCAAAAACATTGGAATCCTGTGGCGATTCAACAAGTGTTGCGGTCGCATCTGTAGGCGACTCTGTCGCATTATTAACACTTCCACTTGAATGTGAATTTTTAATGGGCACCGATTTGTTTAATGAAACAATAAATTCTTTTAAAGTGAATGACAATTCTAAATTCGTGTATTGTATAATCTCGGTTGAGAGATCGATATTGTCTGATTTCTTCTTAGCTTTTTTTTCTTGTGTCAAGAAGCTAGCCAAAGACAATTTCGACGAGGCTGTACTTAAGGCCCTTGTGATCGACGACTGCTGTGCTGGCTCACTTTCAGGCAGCGGTATACTTGTGACAACATTTAAAGCATCGAACATTCGGTCTTCTGTTATGTTCAAAGCAATCGATGGTAATTCAATGTCAATTTTCATTTTTGGCAGACGTGGATCATCGTCGACCGCACACAAGCAAACGTTACATAGCACGGATGTCGGCCGTAGTATATGCATATCAGACTGCAAAGCTGAAGCAAGAGTATTTTCCCAATCTTCACCAGGTCTAGCAACCACCATCTGCAATGTATACCAATTATTGGGTTTTCAACTTACCCAAAAAAAAAAATAACAAAATAAAAACCCACCTGTATATCAGCAATGCTGACTTGAATCTGATCGTAAGCACGTTCCAAAACATTAGATAAAGCGATTTTTGAGTCTTGTAGCATACCCGCCAGGTCACTGGAGGAAACATTGTGCGGCGTTGACGAAACAAGAAATTTACCCAAAGTTACAACAATTAAGGAATTATCATTGCTCTTAGGATCATATCTTCCCGTACTTGGTATAATGATTATATTCGGCATAAATTGAATATCTATTTCCAAAGCAGATTTCGAATCGATCATGTATTGCAAACCAGTAGCCGAGCGTTCTTTGAAGTTTGCCATACGTTCCGTAGCAGCAAATTCTAACTCGGATAAATTTGCTTTTGGTGGCGTAAATACTTTTGCCAGCCGAATAATGGTGTCGGCATCATAAACAACCTGCAATGGACGCGCCGATACCCTAATACGTTGATCACATTTCTTGTCCAGCGGATTAGTTTCGAAGAACACATCAAGCAAATTCAATTCGTCGGTTGTTTTAGATTCGATTATGGTGGGTGCCGTATTATTCTGATGCAAGCCTAGAAGCTTAATCTCATGCATGCCAACAGTGACGCTACAAAAAAAAAATTTAACATTCGTGCCTAAAAGTAGATATATATAGAACGCACCTTATAGCATTGCCGCCTGGGCGCTGTGTTACATCGCACGTTGTCATGGAGAAGTTCAACAGCATAAGGGTTTTTAGCTGATCCAATTTTAAGCTTTCTCTTCCCACTATATCGCTGTCATCATACAAGCCAACTTCCAAGGCCAGTAATTTAAATTGCATTTTTATAGCCTCATAATGTACTGGCATGTCAGGCGGTGGTGTGCCCTCTTGATAACCTATAGCTTCATAGAGTTTTGCTTTCTCGTCCGGAGTCATAGCAGCTTCAAGTTTCTTGACTAAATACCGAAAATATCATATTTAAATAGAAAAAATTAGTACAAAGCATTTGGAAATGCAAGCGTACCAATATCATTAGATTCTCCATTATCATTTTTCTGGCCGCCACCAAACCAGCCACCAAACCAACCGCTCTTTTGTGATTGCCTTGATTCTTCATCTTTTCTGATTTTATCCACCTCAATTTGCACGCGTTTGCGTATTAAAACTAAATTAAATAGATCCAGTTTTTGCTCGAGCAACGTGCATGTTTCTATGAGACTAGCAGGTGGTTTCTTGGATAGTTCCTTTTCTTTGAAACTCTAAAATAATCCAGTAGGTAATATTTTTTGCGATTTGCTTTCTCAAAAATACACAACCGAAAAAAAATTGGCTTACTTACCTCTGCATATGTATTACAAAGCTGCCGATGCTCTTTAATGTGTTCCCAGGTCCATTCTCTATTACGTTTTTTAATGTCTTCGTCCAGAATTGCATTGATGGCGAACTTCCACCACTCACGGTAATGCTTCTTATAAGCTATGATTTATTACATAAATTTATTGTTTATTATATAAATTATTATACATCAGGGAGGCTTACGCGTATTAAAGGGCCGATATTTTCGGTAGCGCACGCCCAATTGCATACGATTCATGGAATCACCCAATTTTATAGCCTGTTGGAATTGTGTGCTCGTCAAACCGACACGCAGCTTTTGCATTTCTAAGGCTAAATCGATCTTTGGTATCACAAAAGCTGGTGTATCATATTCAGGATTCATATTTAGCTGCAGTTTACCCATCACCGAAATTGGACCAACCACTAAAAAATTAATTAATTATTTTCAACCTTTGTATGAAGACCGTTAGACACTTTTTGGCACTAACCATAATTGTAGTCCTCTGGTACCGCATCTTTTTGTGCGATATTTTTACGAAAAACCTCTGCTAGTTCTTCTTTGGACAACGCTGAGTACATGGTGGTTTTACAGTTCATATATGCCGACAAGGAGTCGAGATTTGCAATTTTGAACACACGGCTGACTTGCTGCGTCAGATAACACTTCTCCCAGTTCTCATCAGTAGTATATAATTCGAGATCATGTAGCGTAACGCCAAGTGCGAAGTTCTCACCGGTGGTAGAGGCATCTTCGTAGCGTACATGAATGTTAGATATTTTCACCTGTAGATTATTGACAATTTGTGCAGTCAACTTTTCGGAAAAAGTAGCATCTGGTTTGAGTTCATCTGGAAGAATGGTAAAGTATTATTATAGTATTAAACTTTTAATTCATCTATGTATATATGTATATATTAATGTACTTTTCATTAATTCCTTTTTGTGTGCCTCCTCCAACGCTTTAAGCGCGGCTTGCTTTATTTGTAGATCATATTTTTCCTCTTTTTCAGCATCATACTGCACTGACTGTTTGGGTGTTACAAGCAGGTATAAGTCCTCGATTTGTGCAATCACTGGTTGACTGTACAGATTCTTCCATGGTATCTTTAAGACCAGCTTGCCTATTGAAATGTTTTGGAAGGTAAGACAGAGTTTTAATAAATATTATGACGGGTTGTCAAGTATTAGTTACCCAGAAAACCATAGACCAACTGTACTGGAAGATCCACCTCGTCGAGCGCATTTTCTTTGATTTTCAGATTATGAAGCACCACATCGCCTGTGAAGAAGGAAAATATTTATAAAAAAAAAAATATTCATGAAAAATAAATATTTGAAAATTTAAATACGAATCTATATATTTAAATAAACCCCACTAATTTATAATTCCAATAGAAGAATAAATAATAAAAATAATATACGAAATAAAATATAAAAAATTAAACAGTTGTGACCTCTAGAAACGAGTAGCTCTCAATACTTCTAAGAATTATGTGTATAATTACTTTGAGTGAAATTATAATAAATAATGTTAATAATAAAACCGTCGCTATAGTCGAGTGGTTAGCATTGCGTACTGCCATTCGGAGGACCAGGGTTCGAGTCATTTCAGCGGCCACAAATTATAAAACAAGATATTGAAAAATTAAAATTTTAAAAACAAACGAGTAATTCCTTTCCTAATCAAATATGTACGCTTACTTTCGATTCGAATGAATCATATACTTATGCATGAGTATGTATATAAAACCAAAAAAAATTGCTCACAGCATTTTCTGCTTCTGACACGTATTTCCTAAATACCGCTTATTAGCTTCCCTCGTTTTATACTTATTTGTTCTTAATTAATTTGTGACAGTAATTGCCGGCTTATATTCAGAAGACACGTAATGTTCTTATTTATATTCAAAATACGTATAAAAAAATATTTGGGACGGGAATTGTTAGGGCGTTACACACCTGAGATACATAAGTACATACTCAACAAAAAAATTGTAATAGACCTCAGTCGTAAATTATTTTTGTTCTCCAAAAAAAAAAAAAATAGAAGAGGAGTTTTGTTTTTAATTTGCTCCAGAAACCCAAAGGAATTCCAATAAAGATGTCGTCATCTAGACTTTAATTTGTTTTTTTTTTTTTTTATAAACAGCTCTGTTAACGATTAAGTGAAAACAAGCATTATTTTGCTATAATAAATTAAATATAATTTAATGTAAAAATAAATAGACAATGCCAATGACGAAGCTGATAACCAAGTTGTGTCTTAACGTGCCGGTCAATGGCATTGTAAACAAAGTGTAAATGAGCATTGAATATTTGCGCAAAGAAATACATACATATGTACACATGTAATCGAAAGTAAACTGTCTATGTTACACACACACACTAAAATATAAAATTTATTATGTATAATTTGTTTATGGAATTCACTTTACTTCAACGATCTCCCACCAAATTATACAAAATAGTCAGGCGAATGGAATTTTGATTAGTTCATAGCAAACGGTCGTTTGTAGGAATTCCAGAAGAAAAGCTTAAGAACATAAAAAAATATTTTTTTTGCACTTGGCAATAAAACGAAATAAATTTTAAAAAAAATATATCATAATTGTTTTTTATGAAACTTAGATACATACATACTTAGTTCAGTGCAAAACATACAAATGCCATAATTTTACTTCAGCATTTACTTGTTTTTTTTTTCTCTTATTTTGTTACTTAGTGTAAATATATGTACATACACATACCCAATTTGGATAGTCAATAAATTCCTAGCGGAATGTGCTCACAATGCCATTGGGGGTTAATTGGCGGCATGAGTATTATGTTGTGGGGAGTGTCTGAAATTCGGTTAGTTTGAAGAAATTAAATTACTGTTGAAATTTAATTGAGATGCCTTACGAAATTAATTATTAAATTAAATAACTGTTCAGACTTTGAGAAAACGGTTCATAGCTCTGTTGTAAATCCCAGTTTAAAATTCGAAATTTCGAATTCTTATCTTATCCAAAGTGATAAAACGTAGCAACTCAATATCTGGTTCACACATATGTATGTAAGTTGTGAGCATTTTTGTGGTTGAAGAATCTTCTTTAGAGTCAACAAATAAGTGATTAAATAATCTAAGAGGAAAAACAAGTGTAAGTATTTTTGCGCATATATGTATGTATATTCATACACATTTATGTACGAATAAAAGTAATATAAGAAATTATATTTCGTAAACAAACATGTATGTACGTTTGTATGTATCCGTAAAATAGGACACGCAATGAGTCCGTTGATATTTACATTATCAGTTTTTATGTAATTAAATTTTATTCGGAATATTTTTTATTAAAAGTACCACAATTGTTTATATAAATATTTTAATATACTAATAAATATTTATAGATATCGAATAAATACAGATACTCGAATAGGTTTGAGAAGTACTGAGTTCACCACTGGAAAAACGCACTCAAGTGGCATCTTAATATTTATATCGAAGACAAATACATATATATATATATGCATCAGTATGTATGCATGTATATACGTACATATGTACATATAATATACACGAAAAATAAATGTTCTGCTTTATAAAAACACTTGAAGTAAAGCAATTAGGCAGAAGGTTCAAAAGTTAGCTGCTGCCGCCGGAAATAGGAGCAGAAGAAAATGTAAAGGCTGGTGTAGACATAACAAAAATGCTTTTTATATTCAAACTAGCTGTCGCACAAATTCGTTGAATATATGACAAATTAAGCATGGGATATGTGATACCTTTCATAAATTTATTTACTCAATATTTGTGGGAGCACAACATTCTTGCTATACCATTGACATTGGTCCACTTCCCAGAGAGAGAGGAATAGTTGACCTTTTAGAATAGGCTAGACCTCGGTCCATTTTACGGAGGGGAGAATAGGTTTCTTCAATTTGACACAACATGTTTGTACTGTCAACATTGAACATTTATTGAATTAATTTTTTACATAAAATGTGATATATAAAGAACTGTTTCTTTTTTTGCAAATTTCACATGAACCATCTACTAAAAAGTCCAAAGAAAGCTTAAAAATTGGGTTTGGATAGGTGAGCCCGTTCTTGAGTAGTAAAACCACAACAAAAAGTGGCATTCATTTTTATATATATACATATGTACAAAATGTTTATAGATTTACTTAAACTTTGAATATGCTCGTGGATTTGTTATAGTTTTGAAGAGAAACTTGCGGGAAACTGGTTTTGAAACAATTTTAGGTCACTACTACTTGGCGTTGGCTTGGAACCAGAATAATTTATATAAAAAAGCCATACAAGAGTATTCATTTGTGGCACCAAGTAATCATACAATCTGACGTACACACATATATATTTACTATTAAATTAGTTTTACTAACAAAATGGAGGGACAGTTCATTCTAAGTCACCTCCGAATGGACGACGGAGCTTTCATTCCTCATGCCAGAAATACACTCGGAGGGCTTCGAATTCCCTATCGAGAAGCGACCGCAATTAGAAAAATTTAATTTACATAATTTTCGATGTAGCTTGAATCAAGATTCTGGCCTTCAGAATGGCAGTACGAAATACTAACCACTCGGCGATACCGACCGCCAACGATATACAATGTCTACGAATAAACAGTAAAACACATAAACTAACAAAATGTATACTGTTTTTGAGTAAATTACTACCAACTGTGCTAATTTGTATGTATGTTGTACGTGTATATGTAAGCAACTAAAAATAGCTGAAAACAAAATAATCAAGTATGAAAGATTCGGCATTGTTCCATGAAATCAGAACGAAAGCAAATACAATTAAGAATATAATGGTTGAATTAATAAAAAAAATATGAATTTTTTTTTGGGAATGTGGCCAGTACTAAATATTTTACGAACCAATGAGTACATTTGTATGTACCTAAAACAAACATATTACAAATGTACATATACATAGATATTTTACTTAAAATTCGTTTTGAATTATAAACACAAAACACATTTAAATATTTAAAATCAAATAAGCCAACATTTTTGAATATTAGTGTGAGTAAATGAATAATTTTACATATATATTTGTGCATACGTAAGAGTATGTATTTGTGTTAATGTACCAAAAGTCTTCAACAAGTGGCTGCAGATAATATACAAGATGCATGTTGTACGTATATAGTGGCGTTCTTCAGAAACCCAAAAAAACATAGAGATTTGCTTCAAGGTTGATCAAGAACATACATAGTTATAAATTCATATATGCATGTACATACATATACACGTATACAATGTTTAAGTACATTAGTACGACAAATACGTTAACACAATCGACAGATCTGAGAATCGCTCCCATTTTACTGCAGCTCCAGCGTAAAACAAGAATTGTAATTGAATCTACTGCAACATTTCATCTCACAAATGCAGAGTGCCGGTGAACCCCTGTGTTTTGTAGAAATCAAATCGATGCGGTCAGGGACAACTACAAAAGTTAGTGCGTGGAGTCGGTTGCAACTATGTAACAGTGCATAGATTTAAACATAAATCACGATTAAAAAACTGTAAATTTAAAATGTCGGTTCTTAGGTATCTTGCTTCAAAAGGTAATTCTGAAATCCACCAACTGGATTCCTAAGAATAATATATATCTCTTATAAAAGAATAAAATTCTGGGATCTCAAGAAAAAGCCTTTTTATGGAGTACATACATACATTATATTTCACTATGTCCAAACAGCAATTTTATATTACAAAACTTTTACATCATATATGTATACTTTTATGTACAGACGAGGTGTGTTCAAAAAGTATCGTGAATTTTGAATTTTCGCGGGTTACGTATAATCGAATTTCGATTTTTTTGTGACGTTATGTTGGTACTCATGTCTGTCACTTATGCCGACAAGCTCGGTCATTTTGAATTTTGACTTAATTGTTGACAGCTGCTTTGCTTGCACGTGTTTTGGATGGTCTTCGATTTTTACCTATTCTTCTTTCGGTATCAAATTTTGTGTGAAAAGCGCAATTAAGTGCGCGGATGCAATCCGAATTTTGACTGTGGCATACGGAGAAGCTACCTTGGACGTTTATCGGTGGTACAAAATGTTCTCAGAAGGCTGAGAAGAAGTAAACGACGAAAAGCGTGCCGGACGTCCGAACACTTCAACAACAGACAAAAAATTAATGAAGTGGAGAAAATGGTATTGCCACAGGGTAGAACGGTCAATAAGGAATATTACTTGCAAGTTATGCGCAATTTGCGGGAAGCAATCCGCCAGAAACGCCCGGATTTGAGGAAGAACCAAAAATTGGTTTTTGCACCACGATAACGCCCCTGGTCACGCATCGTTGCTTGTGCGCGACTTTTTGGCCAAAGACAACACACTAATGATGCCGCAGCTACCGTATTCCCCAGATCTGCCCCCCTGTGACTTTTTCTTGTTCCCTAAACTGAAGAGGCCCATGAAAGGACGACGTTACGCTAATATTGACGAGATAAAGACGGCATCGAAGGAGGAGCTGAACAAGATAAAAAAAATTATTTTTTGAAGTGCTTCGAAGATTGGAAAAACCGTTGGGGATTACTTTGAAGGGGACAAAATAGATATTCATGAATAAATAAATAATTTTTGGAAGAACACAAAATTCGCGATATTTTTTGATCACACCTCGTATATAAATATGTACGTATGTGCATATGACAATATGTAGGTAGAACTAAGAAGTCGCGTAAACCATGACATCACTTTAATGCCCAATTAAAAGAAGAAGTAAAATGGGGAAATAGAGAAAATAAGCGAGAAAAAGTAATTTCATGTTATTGTTTTGGTAATTTCATTTGAACAATTTTAATTTTTTACTATAATAACTTATATATAGTGTGAAAGAGAATATGATATATTGTATATTCATGGTTACGCTACACATTATATGATTTACATAAGTACATATGTACATGTGTATAACTTTTTACTTCCTAATAATTTTTTCATTATTCCATCTCATTTAAAGCCGGTTTTGTGCTCATTATAAAAAAGCTTTCAGATACGTCAAACAAGAGTTGTAAGTTAAATTACAATACAGAATAATATGCATAGTTGTCTTATTGGGAAAAATGATCGAAGTTAACATTTGTTTTAATCATTTTGCGCTTAAAAAACTAACGATAATAATTACATGTAAAATTAAATTTTAGTGAGAATTTAAAAGAATTTCTACTCATAGAAAAATTAAATATCGAGACGAAATAAGGCTGCTAAGTACAAACATATGCAACAGTTGATTTTGCAAAGAATTTTGTGTAAACAGCATAGATTTCCCAAGTGGACGTTAACAACAGCCACCCACCCAACGTGCTTGTGGTTTTAGTTGGCATGAATGGATGTAGCAAAACATAGAGAGATGCCAGCAATATGCAATACAAACGGTAAAAGACTATGGAAATAAACAAAAGGAAAACATGGGGAAAACGCATTAAATATAAGAAGAATTTAGGTCAACGGTGAACAAGCACGAAGAGGTAGCGAAACAAGCTTAAAACCAAAAAAAAACTTTATTTATATGCATACATGCATATATTATACATAAGTATGTCTGTAAATTAAGTAATATAAATATATACTAACTGGGGTGTAAGTGAGGCACACACATTATGCGTTACACGCTTAGCTGATTTTGAAGGATAAGGTCGCTGTGACAATTACCTGCCAGCGTAAGACATCTATCTTTTGGAAACCGTCTGAATGAAAAATGTTGAGCAATTCGAAAATCGCGTGTCTACGTTAAATGAAAATGTTAGCACCTACGCCTATATCTATATATTTTATATATGTATGTAAATATATGAAGTATACTAACTACACTTATGTATATGGGAGTTTACTTTCTACAATGTGTTAATAGTGTCAACTTACCGCCCCAGATGCCAATTTTCAACTGCTTTTTATCTAAATTTTCGATGTAATCCCCCAGTACTTTGTTCAAGACATCGGTGACGACTGATTCGAAAACCATATTGTTGTAGATTTAAGATCAGCCAAAGGGTTGATCCTTCAATATAATAAATCACAGACTTTCGATCGTTTTTAAAAGTCTCTTGAACCACTCTATAAATATTATATTTTTAATTATTGATTTTTTCGGTCTATACGCATTCTAACATTGCCTATATGAAAAAATTTGGAACGAATAAATTTAAATATATGGTTTATAATTATATTTTTTCAATCGCATTGAGCTGAATCTTTTTATTTTTTTAACATATATATTATTATGACATCATCAACATCGAATTAATGTCAATGGCAAATGGTTCACTACACTTCTGCGGCACTACTCAATATCGCGCACAATTTCTTCTACAGTCATAAAACTTATTCTTCTACAATTACAATTATAAACAAACATTATAAAACTCGGGATAAATTAAATAAAGCGAAAATTTCTCCAAAATTTTAACAACCGATATTGCGTTAATAAAATCACAAACAAACCCGACGGTCCCGATAACGTCGTATGAAAATTCCAATCTGACCAGTTGAAATGTAAATGTCAAACGTACGATTCTGATAATAACAAGAGAATTGAAAACCAGCTGATCGTTATTGTGAATTTATTTTTTTCTTTCCGAGCTGCAATCGAAGTAGAACACTTGACAGGATGTTTTCAAAAATCAAAAACTGAGTTTGTATATGAATTCACATACGTTCTTTGGTAATAAGTGCTGAACATTTTTAACAAGAGAATTTTTCTATCGTTCTCTGATAGTTTGCCCTGTGTTTCCTCTACGAAACGTAAAAAGCTTCACGATATAGCCCAAATTTGTTTACGTTATTTCACTATTGTTAACTATACAAAATCATTCTTTTGTCGCATAGATTTCTGTTGTTTGGATAATTTGCGGAAAAATCGAAAAAATTTTAGATTTGAAGAAAATTTGCAAATTTAAAATTAGAAATGGCTGATGTGCTTGATATTGATAACGCTGAAGAGTTTGAAGTGGATGAGGATGGGGACCGTGAGTACAGAACAGATATAAGCTATAGAATATTAATTGGCACGCTATATGAATTCATATAATATTTTGTTCTTGTTTCAGAGGGCATCGTTCGTCTAAAAGAGAAAGTTAAACATCGCAAAGGTCGTGGGTTTGGCAGTGAAAGCAATTCCCGTGAGCCCATACAGAGCTATGAGCGTGTCCGTCACGAGGACGAGGATGAGCTAGAGCCGGGACCACAACGCTCGGTTGAAGGTTGGATTTTGTTTGTAACTTCAATACATGAAGAAGCCCAAGAAGATGATATACAGGAAAAATTTTGTGAATTTGGTGACATAAAGAACATTCATTTGAACTTGGATCGCCGCACAGGTTTCTCCAAAGGTTATGCACTCGTCGAATATGAAACACATAAGCAAGCATTAGCAGCAAAAGAAGCACTGCATGGTACGGAAATTATGGGGCAAGTTATACAAGTAGATTGGTGTTTTGTTAAAGGGCCAAAGCGAATGAAGAAATCAGAGAAGCGAAGGAGATAATTTACTACAGAGATAATGTATACATTTACCACTGTCTCATAAAAAAAAAAAAAAAATGTAGAAATATCCATTTTATTGAAATGCATACAGCACATTTGTAATATTCTAAATGAAAATAAATTTTCGTTCAGAGATATTTATTGTGACTAAATAAATAAAAGCCCCTGGGATATGAATTGAATATTCCATAAAATAAGAATGACGCTTCCAATTAATTTTTTATTGAAACTATTTTTATGTTATTTATATACACTCAAATATTAAAAATAAAAACCCTCCCACTAGGTTTATTTCATCTTTTTCTGGTGTAATAGATGTTTTCTCATTGCCTTTTGTTTGTCGCGGAAACTCTTCTTCACCTTTGAACGTGCCTTGTGTCGCATCATAACGAAATTTTTTCGTTTGCGATTTTCTCTATTTGTCTTGGAACAATGCTCGTTTTTACGCCCATCCTTCCAACCGAACTTTTCTCGATCCTCACGTCCTGCTTTCACTGTTTCCAACCGGGACTCTTTGTCGTGTTTTCGTTTTTTATAAATCATCTCAATGCTGTTCAATTTTACGAATTCTGCACGGTCCTTTTCCAACGGTCTTTTGCGTGCGTTAGTGACCGTTTTCTTCAGCTGGGCAGCATTTATTCTCTTGAAATCCTCTTCGGTGAAAATACGTGTCATAGCTAATTCTTGAGCTGCTTCCTTGGCATCGAGGACTTGCACCCCTTCATTTTCAGAAGAGTTCTCGACTGCTAGTGATTTTTTCTTTGCTGAAGTTACATTGCCTTCACTTTCTGATCCCGAATGTTCCTTATCTTCCTCATCTGCATCACTAGTATCGTCATCAACCTCATCATCTTCACTACCATCCTCTTCTTCGCTTTCATCCGCATCTGGTTCGTCATCATCATCATCATCACTATCTTCCTCGTCATTGTCACCTTCGTTTTTACCTTCGTCCTCACTATGCGACACATTAACCCACTCCCCATCGTTAGAATCGCTGTCACTATCATCTTCACTTCCCAAATCGATTTCTTTAGAGTCTTTAAGCAAAGCTTCTGCACCTGGAATTGTTTCGTGCACCTCAACTTCTCCATAAGCACGAATTTTACGTTCCGCTTGCGCTTCTGTTAAGCGACCACGGTCTTTTTTGTGAAGCAATGCAGGTAGCTGTTCGCGATATAACATTATCAGCGAGCGTGCTGCCATCATGACCGATTTTTCTTTGTAGGTTTTGTACATGGCTAAATCACGCAGAAGGTCCTCACTCATAGCCAAGGGGCAGCGTATGCAAATTTCACGTGTAGCATTAAGACCTATCGCCATAACATCACTAGAATTTCGTTCTGTGATGAAATTATTAGCAATAGTTTTGAGCACAGGTTCAATTATGTCACCAGGTACTAATTCATGTGAAGCTTGCGCAGCGAACTGCATTATACGTGTTACCTGCCGTTGATGTGGTTGTAGGAAACGAGTGATATATGGATAGTAACCAAACAAAAATAGCTCATGTATTCCAATTAGTCTTGAAATAACATCCAAGTGCATTAACTTGACCTCAAAGCGTTCATTTGTTGATTGAAGCTGTTTAAAAAGTCCTTCAGCCATACCTTGAGGGTTATGTACCAAATGTATACCAGAAAAATTGAATGCCGGTGCATTTTTCTTTTTCTTCTGAGCTTTTACAGCTTGCTTCTTAATCTGTTCTAATTGTTTCTTTCGCTTCTTAGTCTTTTTATTAACACGATTTTGCATAATCGCACCTTTGAGATCCACTTCATTATCGCTATCTGAGTCATCAGAACCTTTTTCATCATCATCGTGCCCTAAGAAGAATTTCAAAGACGCAACCAGTACCTATTTTGGAAAATTAATATTGGTAGCTTTAAAACGTTTTAAAATTTCAATGAAAGTCCTTTACCTTCATAATTTTTGAGAAACAACCGACTGTTGCTATAACGTTAACTGTTTTTGCATCATTCCAAATATTCTTTTTGTATAGCTCAATCATTATGTCCACTGACATTTTTGCAGCTTTTGGATTAGCATCTTTCAGCATAGAGTACATAAAGTTTTGTAATGTCTATTTTAAAATGTTTAATTAAATTAAAATGCTTCCTATCTCATTATATATATGTATGTTAGCTTACGGAATTAAGTTTCATATCCTTGTGTTTAGCGTTCATATTTTTAATATCGGTAATAATATGATTTTGTAAGAAGGAACGAAGATTTTTATCCGGACAACACAAAAGTTGAAAAAACAGTTCTAGTAAATCAATTGCTGGTATTATATTTTTATTACGCATCAATATTAAAGCTTTGACGAAGCAATTTCGCATAATAGGATCCAAAGTTGTAGCATGATTTTTTAATAAATCCACCAAGTGTTGTGGGAACTTTGCGCATTCTTTCGGGTAACACTGTGCGACCTGCGCTATGAACATTACTAGTTCATCCAGAGATTTGTTTTCCTCTCCCGGATTGAGAGCAAACACTTCCAAACTGCTCAGGAAATGCTGGTACTGTTGGTGGAAGTCATCTTTATATGAGTCTGGATCGCGTTTTATAAGATTTTGAAGCTGTGGCAGATTATCAGGCAATTGGTTGTTGTGGCGAACCATGATGCTTTATAAGAAATATCACAGCCAAACACTGATTTAAAATATTTTCGTTCCAAAAACTATATAATTAAATTTCTCAAATGCGTTTCTAGCCAAACACGTTGTTGGCTTTACGCAGCTTCTTAAAAAAGAATCCGTTCACAATTACATTATTTTCACGTTTGTTTGTTTTGCTAATTTTCATGAAAGGAAACATAAAATTATTGTCAAGGAAGCCGTATATGGGGAATTTAACAAAGCTCGCACTCATCTTGAAAGTGGTGGGCTTTATGCAATTATCTTCGTGGATATTTAGTTCCTTTATTTTTGGGTTGGAATGCGGTTGCTTTGTGCTGCAGCTACCCACCCTACATACCTCACAGCCATAGCAACCCATCTTATGAGAGGTCCGATCTCGCCAATATGTAAAATTATAAAGAAATTATTTTGAAAGAAAAATTTGTAATAGCTGTCCCACCCCCGAATCGTAATGTTAACTCCTCACACTGTATTCTTGACATGAAATAAAAGCTCCTCATAAAAATTTCGGAGGTGGCTTAGAATGAAGCTAAGTTCCCTCAATTCGTTTTTAAAACATTAGCTCTTTTCGGTAAAAAAAATGTCACTAAGAATTATCCAGTATCGAATTGTCAAAATAGCGCTCAACCTTTCTGTCTCACCGAACGTGGTACTAAGCAATTTTGTAACAATTTTTATCGTCCATCATCTCACCGAAAAGGACTATTGAGAGGCCCATCACAAAGTGGAGATCGAATCAGCCGAAAATCGTTTCTCCCATTAAAAAAGGCCAATTATATATCTTACCATCCAATTATTTTTCAGAGGACACGGAAAATGGATATAGCAGAATATTATATATCTAACAACTTAAAAAATTATGCTTTTGGTGCAATGAATTCAACGCTCCGAGTTGAATCAAGTAAAAATACTGGGGAAAAGAACAAATTTTGTCGAAGTTAATAAAATATTGAATTACAATTGAGAGAACGAAACACGTTATTGGGCTATCGTGGGACTGACGTATTAGGCTTATGATTCCCCACTTTTGAGAATTTTCAAAAGTGAAAGTTTGGATCTACTAGTTTTTCCTCAATTATCTAACTTTTCACATAATTACACAGTTTTAATATCAATATTATTTCTTTTGATTCATGATAAATGTGTAACATTATTTAATCAAGTAATGCATATTTCTGTTCGCATTATTATTATATATAGTTGAGGCTAAATTAATTAGTATATTTAGCATTATGCAAAAACTTAAACAAAAAACTAAAATTATTGATAAGGTGAGGTCACAAAATTGATTAAGCATTCACATTTTAATTCTGGCATCTCTGGATATCTTTTTGTCCGTTATGTGATCACGTTATCACTGAAATACATTTCAAAGATTTTGTTGCGTGTATCGTTAGATACGCAATTTATTTTTTTTTGTGCATTTCTTTCACCATGGCTGGTAACAAACAGGAGAGAACTACTGAAATAAGAGTATTGGTGATAAAATTGTCCTGTGAAGGTAAATCGTACAGACAAATTGGTGAAATTACTGGCAGACCTCATTGCACAGTTCAAAAAATTATAAATAAATGGAGATATGGAGTAACGTTACTAAATTCCAGTGGAAGAGGCCGCAGAAAAATTTTGACTGATGTTGATGAACCAAATATTGTACGTAAAGTGGAAATAAACCCACAGATAAGTGTTCCTAATTTAAAAGTCGAAGTGTCCAAAACAATAAGTAAACCCATATAAACTGAAACAGTTCGTCGGATTCTTCGCAAAAATAGTTTACATGGACGGGAAGAACGGCTTGAGTTCGCGAAAGCTCATGTTGATAAGCCTTTGAGTTTCTGGGAAAGTGTAATGTTCACTGATGAAACAAAGATTAATATTTGGATGAAGAAAGCCATGCACGGAGCTACGAAACAAAAATTTAGTTGGGACATTCAAATCATTGGAAGCAACATGACCAAGGAGATTAATTTAAATATATTGAAGTCTAATTTACGTGCAAGCATGGGAATAATAAAGCTTCCGTCAGTGTTTTGGTTCCAGCAAGACAACGACCTAAAACATACAGCGATGATAGTGAAAGGATGGCTACTTTATCCCCCGAAATGAACCCCATAGAACATTTAAGGGGAGATTTGAAATCCAAGCTGAAAAAATCTAGTCCCCGTACCAAAGAAGAACTTAAAAAGGAGATTATCAGAATATGGGGCGAAATATCACCTAATTTTACAAAAAAAAAAAAAAAAACTGGTAGACTCGATGCCTCGGAGGTTGCAAGCTGTAAAAGGTGCAGCTGGTGGATATGAATTAAATTTGTTATTTTCCATGGAGTGTATACTCAATTTCGCGACCTGAATTTATCAATAACTTAGTTTTTTTTTAAGTTTTTCCTTTATGCTAAATATATTAAATAATTTAGCATCAAATAAAGTCGATAAGAGTTCAAGCTTCAAATTTGCATAAAAAATCAAATATATCCACTAAATTTTGCATATTTTGTGTATACTCAATTTTGTGAGTAACTGTATGTATATTCATACAAGAAGAAGTTCGTTTACTCCAAGTTAAACTCCTGGGGCTTGAATGACACATGTATCAAAAAAATATTAGATAACTTCAATAACCATCAATTTTTTTATATATATCCGTATACCTATGAACATACACTCTTATAAATTTGCAGCAAAGCATAGACAATCCGATGTATTCAAGGCGAAAGGGAATTACTTTGCCGTTCTGAAGAGCAAATGTGTGCATTCTCAATAAACCGTCTAAGAGTTAAACAACATTTGGTCCCAAGAGAATATAGCGCTAATTTGCATAAAACCGTTATTGTTAAAACATTAACAACACACTGATTGACCACCTTCTCTATATAAAGCATTCGCTCTTCACTTGACATACCTTTGTATGTTTTTTCCACGTGATAAACAACACTCTTGCCCTCTTTCCCATTAAATGTCTTATTGTTGATTGGCCCTTATCGAGTTTTCATCACACCCCTTTGGATCAGTCGCTTGTTGCACCTTCCCATATCTAATTGTCGTTAATTACAAGTTAAAATTATTGATAAACAAAATACATTTTTTATTATAAGTGATACTTAAAAGGTTTCATAATGGTGTTACGAATGCGGAAATACGTTTTTCCCAGACGTTTTCCCGAAATTGTTTATTTCCTAATAATTTTAATTTTTCCCGCAATAGTGGGAATGTATGATATTCTCATCGTATTGCCCAATGTCCACGCTCACGGAGAGTTTATGTATAATTTTATATTTATTTTAGCCATATTTATATATGCTAACATACATGGAAACATGTTTGCTGTAATGATGGTGGATACAAGTATTAAAGGTAAGAAATATTAAATGATTACGCTTTCAATGTAAATAAAAATAAAAAATGTGTTTTTTTGTTACAATTTATAGCTATAGATTTAAATAGCAAGGCTACTACACATGATTATCGCTCAAGGGGTTTCCATTTTTGTCGGAAATGTCTAAGTGTGAAACCACCGAGATCTTTTCATTGCCAAGGTAGACTATTAAAGCGATTGTGGAGATATGTAACCTTAGGGTAATTTCGTTAAAATATCCGATATCAATATTTTGTTTTTCTATTTCTCTTTCAGTTTGCAATAAATGTATCCTGAAGTATAGTCATCACTGTGTTTTTACGGGCTGCTGCATCGGTCACTATAATGTGCGTCACTACTTCATATTTCTTGTGTATCTTTTTATTGGATCAGTATTATCACTTGGTTATCTCAGTTACTTTATGTTCTGGGTGTGTGCAGAGACCTTCCGTCACAGATTAATTTTTTTTAAATTCCTTAATCCCTTTTGGTATACGACCCATAAAAATTTATGGAATTATATAACGGTACTGTTTTTTGATATGAATGTAGTGGCGCTGGTTATAACATCAATTTTATTGATCCACTATGGTGTGCCAATATTTAAAGCATCCACTGCTTTTGAAAGACGTGTGAATTATCCTTTTAGGAAAGGATTAACTGCCAATTTACGTTCCGTTTTTGGCAAACGATATATTTTAGTATGGTTTTCGGCTTTTTTGGATAGCGATTTAACACTTGATGGGGCCAATTGGGATGTAGAAGAAGAAGCCGTGCCATTACAAAGGCAGTCCAGACAGAGATATAGAAAGCATCGTAGGCGACGTGGAAGATATACATGACGTTATCATTAGTGTCGATTTTTGTAGATACGTTATTAGTAAAAATTGTTACTGAATAAAATCTTACTGCCTCAAGTTTTAATGACGATATTTTTTCAATGAAAAGCTTTATAATCTTCTATAAATGTTAAGGGTCTGCAATTGTCTGGTTATAAATCTACTTACGCAAAAATACCGAGAAGAAACTAGAAGATTTTATTTAATAAAGATAAATGAATTTTGGCAACTCTTTCGGTTTAAATTGACAATATGAATTTACCTTTCAAAAAGAAGAAGCATAGTTTATCACAAGATACGAAATATAAGTAAAATTTTGATTAAAATTATTAACTCACATAGAAATCCAAATAAAACACAAACTTTTTATGTTAGACCCTTCAAACATCATCGAAATGCGGCTACGACGAAAATTTTTACCTCGATCCCTGCGAGACATCGGCTGCTTTTTGATTATGTTTACTTTTATACCAATTACTTTCGTATTTGAAGTAGCAGTTGTACTACCAGATTTCCATGAGAAAAATGGAATTATATATATATTTACATGTTTACTAGGGCTGTTCCTGGTATTTAACTTGAAAGCGAATATGCTTGCTTGTATGTTGATAGACACAAGTGCTCGGAGTAAGTTGGTAAATTTAAACACAAATATATGACCTAGTTCTAATTGGTGTACATTTATTTCATTTAGCTGTTGTTTTTACACCACCGATAAATGACCATCAACGAAAGTACTGGCGGTATTGCTCGGTTTGTGAAATGTTGGCACCGCCCCGTTCTTGGCATTGTAATACTTGTGATACTTGCATTCTGAAACGTGATCACCACTGTAGTTTTACTGGATCTTGTATTGGACATCAAAACCATCGTTATTTTGTTTTCTTTCTACTATACTTGGCTATAGGTGCAACATATGCAACCGTTTACAATAGCATATACTTTTGGTGGTTGCATGCAGAGACTTATGTTAACTGGTTTACTCTCATTAAAATCGTATTTCCCATGTTCATGCTCTGCTTCGACATGTCATGGCAAAACTTCTACTTGCTCATTTACATGCTAAATATAATAGCAAGTGCTTACTCCATGGTGCTAATTGCCTATCATGCGCCATATATTTTGCGTGGAGCTAAAGATTGCGAGAGGCATGCGTCGCTATATGATTTGGGTATACGGCGTAATTTGGAAATGGTTTTGGGCAAACGTATGAGGGTGGCATGGTTAACCCCGTTCGTACGAAGCGATTTACCTCACGATGGTATACATTGGGAGAATGTGATAGACGACACTGAAAAACGTCGATAGTGTTATAGTGGATCAGTATTCAATGATAGTTTTTACTCTAGTCTATTTGAAAGCATTTGCGTTCATTGTTTTTATATATTTTAGGAACTCTGACATGATATGTATAATTATTTTATAAATTTTGTCGCGATTATTATCATAACAAAAAAAATAAATAAATAATTAATAGTGATAAGATTTGAATAAGAAATTTCTATACGTATGCATTTTTTTTATCTTTTGTTGAAGCCTACTACATCGGAACTACATTGGCGAATCAATACCGCTAAAGAAAGGTATAAAAATTTCGAAAGTTCTGATAAGGCATATTTTTGGATTTTGAGATTATTATGTATTACATTTATGAAATCAGTAGTAAATTTTTTAAACAGCAATGTTCAAAACATTGAAAAATGCCTTCGCACATTACTTTTCTTATTTTATTGCAGGTTCAGCGGCATTTTATTATTACATAACTAATTTAAATACGAAATAGTTGTTACTAGTTCCACTAATTGTTAGTCTCACTTTCCAACAAGATTTTCGCCAACAAGTGATTTTACTTTGGATAAATGCACTTCATTGAGAGTGAAACCAGCATTTATGCTTTCGGCAATGGGCTGCGCATCCATGTTGTTCTCTACAGCATATTGCAAACAAACTATTGCTTGTGTAGGTGCCTTATTTTCAATGCAGGCGTTAACATATTCCTGTAGACAGTTTTCTGATGGTGTACCGGGAATTCGATGTTGGTTTTTGTCTATATGAGTAAAAACTTCGTTGGCCTTTTCGAAATTTCCACTGCGAACTAATAACGCTAAAATATCTCCAATCATTTTGCCAGAGAATTGAAGGTCCTTGGGACGACGTCCTTCAGGATCAGCAATTTTTTGATAAATGTCGAGAGCTATTTTACCCACTTGCTCAGGTAAAGATTGATGTGCGGGAAGATCATTGTTCGGAGGATTATCTATTAATATTTGCAGTGTCCGTGTCAGTAAACTCTCGCGGTTTGTGTGATCAAATATCACCATATCTGACCAAAAACGAGGCATGAGTTCCACAGCGCCGTTCATTTCTACTGCTTTCAGTATTTCTTCCATAATACCGGGTTCTGGAATATACACATTCGGTACAAGTAAATCGTAGACTTTCATAAACTCGTCGATTGGTTCCGTTTGACAGAGCAGGGCGAAGAAGTGGCGATAATATACTGCCTCTTTATAAGTGTCACCAATCAAATCGTAGTTGTTTCCTGTGTGCAACAGCTCATCCACATTTCTCGCCAGTGTCTTGTCATGCAAATGGTTGCGGCAAACATCCATGGCAGTAGCAAAAAAAAATGTGTCTTTTGGGTGCTGTATTGTGAATTCGCGACCCTTTAGCTCATGTAGGATGTCAACTATAATATGAGAAACAGGTGCACGATCGCGACAGAAAATAATTAATAGGTAATAGTATGTACCCAAACTAGGTTCAATGCCCAATTGTTTAAATTCGGCAAGTACTTTAAGAGCTGAGCTGCGTGCCAATTTGAAGTTACCAAAAGTGCTAACAACTTCTAAAGCCGCATTCAGTGTACCCAGATTTGGTCTTAATTGCTGGTGAGCCATTTGCTGAAGAAGGTCACGACATAATTCCCAACGTTGATCTGCTGTTTCTTTTAAGAAATTCGATACACTAATAACTGCATTGAACGTTTGTGTATCTAACTCAAACTGTTTTTCAGTTGCTTCTTGTAGGAGAGCGTAAGCACGTTCTGCCTGTAAAAATTGCCAAACAAAATAATTAATGTCTAAACCTTATATACTATTTTAAGCTTACTTGAAAATATTTTGACATGCCCCTTATAATTGCCGCATACGATCGTGCAGTTTTTGGTTCCAGTTCTTGAAAAAGCTGCTCCGCTAGTTCATCATCTTTCCATGTTTTTCGGTTACGTTCACGCGCATCTGCGTTTGCTTTAAACCAACGTTCTTCAATCAACTCCTCTGGGAGGGGCTCTTCGTTATTGTAAAAGCATATAAGTTCTAGTATCTCTTGTTTTGAATCGTTCGAGATTTCCACTCCTTTTTGTTTCAGTAAGTTATATACAAATACGGCATCTGTAACTTGTGAATTACGTATCAAAAGATGAAGTGTATCAGTATTTACTTCAGAATCTTCTGTAAATATCATTTTTGGTGCAAACGCTTCTATTGGTGGTTGAGCTTCTTGATGCTGAAAATAATAGCTTTACAAATTTTTTAATTAATTCTATTACAAATTAATGCTTACCATAAAAACATCTCGATGCTCGTCTCTAATATATTTTGCAGCCTTTCGTCCGGCTTCTTGAGACATGGCAAATGTTCGCTTACCCACATTAGACATTGGTATTAAATAAGGATCGTCATGATACTTATAATGAGGTGCCGTTGGGTCCCGACCTACAGTGCTTGCCAGCGCATTTAGGATATCTGTAGGGGAACGTTGTACTCTATAGGGTATTTCTATACGTTCTTCCACAGCAGGCGCATTGCTTTTAAACCTACTGGTACTGGTACCAAGAAACTGTGCAGTGCGTACATATAAACGTGGGAGTCTGCTGGTTAAATACATGTTGAGTTGTATGGATAAAAACTTTATTGTATTTATTTATAAAAGCACAAAAAACAGTTTTGTTACGAGAATATATGCGCGAGCATCGTAAAATACTAATAGAAAGGTTATGTCATTCCTTCATGTTCGTTTGACAAGCAAACAGCTGATCACATTTTAGGGCGAAATACACTTCGCAAATGAAATGCTTAAAGCAGACTAAAAAAATATTTATGAAAGAGGTTGGTCCGAGACCGCCTGCCTTTACTTGTATCGTTGGGAGAACTGTCTAAACTGGATAGAGCTAGACTAGAGCGTTTGAAAAGAGACAGATTGAACCTTTTCTTTAAGCATTCGAAGCGCTGTAAACATTGTAATAGATCTATGTTGTCGTTGCGGTTCTACAGTTCCCTTTAGAAGCAAGCAATAATGGTCTAAGTCATCGGGTTATTTAATGCGCAGGTCTCATGGCACGCACGAACATAAGTTTCGGGGTCCAGATCTTAATTACAAGCCTTTCGAGGCTGGATTAGGTGGTGCTTGTATTCCGAAAATGCCATTCGCTGGAAGAGGGTTCATGAAGGTGTTGACGGACTCTCGGTGAATTACTTTTAAGGCTTTGAAGGCTCTGTAAAGTAGCATACCAGAAAAAGTTACTTGCATAGCATAACATAATGTTTCTTTACTCTTAGCATCGATGTTATACAGTGCAAGTCATGCTCCTTTGACATGAGGAGGTTTACTGTCACAGCGGTGTACTGACAAATTTGTAGCTTCTACATCTGCGTCTCACTAGTTCTCGGTGGAAATTGCGGAGCAGCATAACCTATGACCGATCTGGGAGACCTCGGCGGCTTAGACTGATCAAACCTGTGCCTAAGCGGGGTTAGCGAACCGCTACAACAACAACAACAACCGATCTGGGAGCAACATTTCTTGAACTTTCCTCCTGGAGCTGCAGGCCAACTATTTCGCGATTTCGGTGCGGCTCTGTACTTTAGTAACAGCCGTATACGGACTGAAGGAGTACAGACTTCCAGTAACTTTGAGTTGTTAGTTGGAATTGTTACGCCATCGACTTTCACATCACTCTCGAGCCGATGCTGCATTGCGCCAGCTACTGCAAAGGGTACACGAAGATTTCTTTGTACTATTTGACAACAGATATTGTGACCATGGTTGCCACTTTGGCCGAAATGTACCAATCTCACTTCATCTTACACATTTTTATTATAAAAATTAAACTAAGACGATTCGAAAAATATTTTCATTGCTTCTAGTCCACATTTCCGTTTCTTTTTTTTTCAACTGACGCCAATATTTAATTTGTCAGCCTTCAAAGAAAGTCAGATTAAAAAGCCTTAAGTAACGAAGCATCTGTATTCGATAATTATTACATTTTTTGACAAAACTTTCACCTAAGAAAACTAGTTTGCTTTGGTCCACATCCTTTACACTCTCTCCTTCACCTTTGTTGGTGAAATCAACCGGTGCGAAAATGATTTGACGGCTGTCTCTGCCGTTGTCTTGCTTTACGAGGAGGCGCTTATTAGCACCCTTTTGAAACAGCTCCAATTACTTACATGTACGAAGATATGTGTTCACATGAAGAGCTTGAATTATACATAGATAAGTTTATGCGAGCATACATACATACGTGTAGATGTATCTACATTTGTATGTGATCATTTCAACATTGATCGTAGCTACAGCTGGAGCTTAAAAGAACGTCTCTCCACATCATTGCAGTCAGTCGCGTACACCGTGCTTCAATTGCATAGGTGTTAAAATTTTGCTGATTATTCGAGTTTGATTTTTTGTGTGGCTTGGAACAAAATAGTTATTTTACATTTCTACCTAAACGCTTGAAGGAGTATGGGCAAGTTGGTTTTGTATTATGATGACGTCAGTCCACCGGTGCGCAGTTGTATGCTGTTAATAAAAATGCTGGAGTTGGACGTTGAATATAAGTTCGTAGATTTGTTCAGGGGCGGTCAGTTGGATAAGGCATTCATTGATCTAAATCCGAATCACACAGTGCCCACTTTGGTTCATGATGAATTGGTTATTACCGACAGTCACCTCATTCTTATGCACCTTTGTGAGAAATTCGAAAAGGACAGTGAGAGCGAGAAATTGTGGCCACAAGAATATGGTGAACGCATACGAGTAATGAATATGCTCTTTTTCGAATGCTCAGTGCTGTTTCGGAGAGACAGTGAGTTTCTGGTGAGTACACGACATCTGTAGGCATTTAAGCAACTATTAGAAATCTTATAAGAAAGCCACTATAAATGCTACTTGGTGGATCCTGAAAAGTAAACTTTCTGCGTTTTCCCTTTCACCGGTATACTTGTTGACAAATTTTATGGCCATGACAAACACGGAATTATTCTTATTGGTACGAGTGTATGACAAGTTCCACAGTTTAAAAAGTTAACAGGAATACCGGAAGTCAAACACCCTACAAAGTTGAAAGATCAACTTTTCGACAGAGACTTTGCTTATTTTCTAATGCACTATGTGGCAAAGAAGGCAATACCATCCATAATACTGAAGATATCTATATCTTTGCTGATAGGTCCATATATGAGGCTACAACAATAGTACGACTCTTCTTAAAACCACCTCAGTGATCAAATAAACGAATACAACTCTGCCTGGACGATCCTCAGTCTTTCCAAGCGCCTGCAATTTTTTGTTTGGAACAGTGGAATTCAGGGGAACACTCAAGCTAGGTAATGTGGAATCGGCAGTCCAGAACCTGCACAAAAAATGACCAAAAACTGTAGCATTGAGAAGGTCCTTAACCTCCCCAATCAATTTTTAATGGTGACGACAAAATTTACATGAAAAAATCTCAAGCGCGAATTAAATAGAAATTATAAACTGGCAGCAAAAAAGGGAAATTAACGGGATCAGATTTGAAAAAAAACTTAAATCTGTAAAATTAAATAAATTTGTTGAAATCCTGTTTGCAGTTTTTTATAGAAAAAATTATAACAATTCCGTTTATATGAAAAAACCAATACCAAATTCTTTATTAAGGGCTAATTCTTGCCGACAGACATTTCTCACTGAAAAGAGTTAATATTTAGTTAGACAGTAACAATTGTTAATATTACTCAAACGCGATCGGTGCAAAAGGCCAGTGAAATTACACTAGGAGAGCGCAATTTTGACATTGCCAATTCTTACTCACTTTTTTCACCGAACAGAGTTTTTGTAAACAGTTCCAATAAATTGCCAATATTTCTTTTTTAATACCAATTTTATTGCAGTCCGGCATAGTGCGCGGCGGCTTTGCAAGTGTTGATTTACCTTTGCATGAACGGAAATTGCTGGAGGCATACTCTATGTTGGAGTCATATTTACGTCGGCACAAATACATGGCTGGTGACTATGTAAGTAAGGATGTAACCACTCGGAGAGCTTCAATTAAATGAAGCCCTCAAACGCGTGAAAAGCCAGACATGAAGTTTAAACTAAAAATATATTTATTATATAATCATCACAGCATTTTCGTAGTGGTTTACATAACGAATTGCGCAAGATCGATCGGATCAACCACAATTTCATTTGATTTACAATGTACTAATAGTATCACTTACCAAACCAACAACATTTTCTATGCATATTTTCGTGTTTGTTTGTATATGTACATATGATATATGTATATATGTAAACAGGGGTATATTAATTTACTATGCGCATACTTTTGCATATATCTTTCCGTTAGATGACAATTGCCGATATATCCATCGTGACCACATTGAGTACGGTGAATCTAATGTTTCCGATTGCTGTTGGCGCCGCAGATAAATGGCCTCTGTTGAATGATTGGTTTGCCCGCATGCAGGCCTTGCCAGTGTATCACATTAATCAGACTGGATTGGAAAAGCTTCGTGTTGTCATCGAACGTATTGGTAGATTTAAATTTCCAACAACCAGCGAAACAGCGAAGCTCGAGGCGAAGACGGAAGGTGAGGATGTTGCGGAGGAGCAAGCAGATGCAAAGAATTTAGGAAATGTCGAAGAAAATAAATAAATAAAAGCTTTGTATACGAAAAATTTAAATTGTTTAATGTATTCCAAGTTAAAAAAATTTATATAACATACATATTGCACATATAAAATAAGCTAATAGTTTCATTGATAGGATATTGTGAAGTTTATTTAACTGGAGTGAGTGGATTTAAAGAAGCAACAAGTCACGGTCACATGCCCATGGCAAAATCTAAATCGAATTGAAAGTATATATCTTTAGATATACGATTCGCTGAAACCCGGACCAACTTCGGTACTAGTACAATTAAGATTTGGATATTGTAGTCGATTCCTACATATCGTGACTTGACTCCGATATACCTAACGTATCTCCAGCATGCGATGATAGGTTGCACTTTAACTAGTGGCGCGAGTTAAAAATTTCCCTCAATGCTTCGATACTTCTTCAGGGACGACTTGGAATGTTTTGACTCAATTTTTTTAGGTGCTCGTATTAGAACTAGCTCAGATAGTATTTTTCATGCCCTGCACACTGTCGGTTTCAACTTATGACGTGGACATTTTAAACGAGATTATAGGAATTTTCTATTGAAGGTTCGTATGACTGCGAAACGAGTTTCCAAAAGGCAGATGGAACCTGTTGTTGAGTTTAATAATCAATCTTGCCTTATTATAGGTATTGGTAGAACCCTGTTCCTTTCAAAGTGTTTGTCTTTTATTCGTTTGCCGTGTGTAATCGAATATGTAAACGGAACGATTAGTCTCTTCTTTACATTTCAAAGTAAAAGTATGTGTAAAATTTTCTTATAATTTCAAAATTTCTTTCATTCTGGAAATGAATTGGATAAAAATCCTATAATTTTCTTATAAAAACAATAAATTGTCAGTGTTTTTAAGTGTCTTTCTTCAATTAAAAAACTACACATTTGAAATTGAATAACAGAGCGGAATTTGCACAGAATTTCAAGTAACGATTTACACGATTTCATTCATACATAAATACACGTCAAAATGTTCGTCAATGATGGTAATAATGATCATGTGCGGCCAATTCTGTATTATGACGAAATAAATCCGCATTCGCGTGCCGTTTTAATGATTTTGAACATGTTGGATGTCGACGTTGAGCTGAGACCAATCGAGATGGTCAGAGGTGAACACTTGAAGCCTGCATATTCGAAGATCAATCCGGCACACACCGTGCCCACTCTGGTATACAAGGATCTTGCCATTACTGGCAATGCCATATTCTCTTATGTTTGTGAGAATAACGATAACGAGAAAGCGAGTCAATTGATTGCTTTGAAATGCTACAAACGGCATTGCTGCATCATGTCCAGATTGTTTTTCGAGAGCCAAGTGTTGCATCGCATCCATGGGCATTTAATGGTGAGTGGGAATTCAGCATACACCAACTATATTCAAATGAAATTGCTGCTTTGCAGACGGACTTAGTGCGACAAACAATTTTTCAATCAGATATTGAATATCATCAGAAGAAAGTGGAACATGCCTATGATGTTATGGAAGCGTATTTGAATGATGGTGCCTTTATGGCGGGATCAGTGGTGAGTAAATTGGAATGTTGGTTCGAGAGATCGGCATTAAAACGCTCCTTCCTAGCTGTTATAGTTACCGCTTGAGCGAATTACAATACTCGAATCCACCATGGTTCGGTGGTTATTTCCTCTCTTTCAAGCTTGAGAAACGGCGTCAGCTTTACTCTGCTCCCATCAGGGCTCATCCATCGAAGAATTTAGGAGATGGATGGCCTTTTAACAATTTTGTCAATTATCGTTCACAACACATAGCTCACTCACCTGAGGTGAGGTCTTTTCATTAGGTTATCCTCCACTAAATATGACACAAAGACTGCAGTAGGTAATTCGTAGAATTTTGCTCTTGAAGAGTGAACCGCCAGTACTTGTCGTCAAGAGCGATTGAGCGTCGTATTTCAAGGTAGTTAAGTATGTTACATCAACGAGATAGAAATATGTTTAGCTGAGGGATAAATTTAATATGCTAGATGGTACCGTTACACGACTTCTTTGGCTTCGGGTTTTCGATCTAAGATATAAAAAGCAGCGGAAAGCATTTCAAGATTGAAAGGAATATTTGGCCATTCTCTCCTTTTTTGTTACTCAGTTAGTTAAAGGGCTAATCATTTCTTCAAACTATAGTCTTTTGAACATTTCTGGAGGGCTACAATTAATATCTCTCTGTCGTTATAAATAATGAACTCGGCTCTTTTTCAAACACTAAGAAAACACGGACATTAATTACATGCGTATACATATGTATATGTATTAATTTTCTTTCAGTTGACTGCAGCTGATATATCCTTTCTCGCTTGCCTCGGTGCCTTGGACATGATGTTTCCCATCGATGTAGATCGCCAACGATGGCAGAAGTTGAATGATTGGTTCAGACGCATGCGTTCGCTGTCAATTCAAAAAATCAACTCAAATGGCATTGAGAAGCAACGTCAAATTGTCGAACATTTTTCTAAATTCCCATTCACATCCGACGTTAAACGCTTTACTATTGGAGTGCGCGACTCACTCATACCGCGATTTCCAGTGCGACCCGACCGTTGCAGTGTGAGCGTACAAACGGTGGACCGTCAAGAAATCACGGCTAATACTGGGCAACATTTGGAAGATACTTTGCATCAGAATGTGCAGCCAGAACCGAGCGGCACAAGTGACAGAGATGGATCAAGAAGTACACCGACAGAAGATATAGATTTAATTTCAGCTAATAAAACCGTTAAGGTTCCTACGGAAGAAATGACAAAAATATTGACGAGTCCACTCAATGAAAATCCGCTACCAGCGCCAGTGAGCACAGAAGCCCCCAACTATCCGCCGCCACCTCCGATTGAACAAGAAAGGATAGAACCTATGGATATGCCGGTTGTGACAGGACAGTATCTACACGTTCGAAAAGGTCCAATTTCTGCTGGAAGCTTTGTTGGCGCACACAAAGTGAAGCCCCCAGTGCCACCGAAGCGGAAGAAAAATGTGACATCAACTGCTGTATCACCGCCAGGGGAAAATGCTAGAGCAAAGAAGGCAATAATTATGGAAGCAGAAAATCAGTTGCATAGTTTAACCCGTTTGAATGGTGGCATTGAATCCACGGTTCTTATAGAAGTGCCACAAGAAAAGGGTATAATAATCCCACCACTCATTGTTTCTCGTCTGATTTCGTCCACTGATTTGGCAGGCGCAAATCTTACCACAAAAAAATCGGAAACTACAATGACTGCTCAAGAGGTGAATTTATCGGACATTGACAACGAAGAATTTTCTAAAGCTAGTCAGAAACTAATATCAACGGTGTCTGATTTCCTACCTCCCCCTTTGCTGATTAACGACAAACAAGTGGCCCTCAGCTATAACCGTGGTACCGCTGCTCCTAATTTGATGTTGGCAGTACCACCACCATCACCAGAAAATCACTCACAGGACGAAAAATTGGAAGACCAATTTCCGCCGCCACCATCAGAACTGCTAATACCAAAGCCGACATCACGTGCAAAAGCGCCACGGAGCACAAAACTTGTCTGCGTCAAAGGAGCAGGTGAATCCAATGAGAAAGCCTTGAGGAAGGCAAGTGGAGCAAAGCCTGCTAGTACAAACGAGGGTACAACAAGACATGCTGGAAAGATATTCAGTGATTCAAAATCGCTTGCGGCTAGAAAATCTTTACCGCCAGAATCCAAAATACGCAAACCCACGAGGAAAGTGAATCGTGGTGGATTATTTGCAAGTGGAACAAAATCTCCATGCTCCAATATTTCTCAAGCGTCTTTGTTAGCGCAACAGAATAGAAATGTTTCGACAAAAGAAGCAAAATCTGTTTGGAAGAAAATGCCGGTAAAGATCTTGCCAAATGCGAAGATCATGGACAAGAAAACTGCGCCACCTAACAGCGGTTCGGGAATAAAAACATTAGACAGCACGGAGTCCACTGCAAAAGGAATACAAAAGGCGAGCGGCCGTATCGCCAAATATAATGGAATAAAAGTCTTCAAGCCAAAAAATAACGAAAAACAGCAAAGAGTTGAGGGAGGCGGTCAAGCGGCTTTTAAAGGGAAAACTTTGTCACCTGCAGCTGATGTTGTCACTGAGTTTTTAAGTTCTAAGGTGGATAAATTGGACAAATCTACTACAGAAGTAGTAGATAAGCCGAAAAAGAAAGAAGGGTCTGCTTCAACGACAAACAGAATACAGTCGAACACTGCCAGCTCTCCTTCACCAACTAAAAATTTCGATACTAGTCCATTTATGCCGGGTCTAGAATTTATCAAAAGCCCAGCCAAGAAGGTAGGAGAAAGAAAGTTAATAGGTAAAATGAGAAGGAAGAAAGTATCGAAAGTAGTAAGCCAACAAGTAACCAACCAACGGCAACTTTCACCACCTGTGCCTTTGACCGTTACAGCACCAGAGATTATTGAACAACAAATTGAAGTACTGAACGACTCGCTCGAGCAAACAACACTGTCATCCGCAGTAGGTACTGTTCGTAGCATATTGAAAACGCTAATTGAAAACATTTGTATCCCCCAAAACGTAGTTAACATCTCCGCAACACAATGTAGCGGAGCGGAGTGCGGATGCGCCAGTGAGTGTGGGCTTAGTTGCTAAACTCCTGCAGGCATTGGGAGCCGCAACGGCAAACGCGACTCCACCTAGTTACCAAACAAATAAAGAATTACCTCCCTCACCACCTCCTGCACTGCCACCTCTACCATCTGAGACATTTTATCAAGATTTACCAATGCCCTTACCACCGCTACCACCACCGCCAACATCAAACTTTCCACCAAACGATGCATTGCCACAAGCAGGTACTGTCGCAAAGGCACTCCAATCGTTGAGTGCTGTAACAGCAGATACGAAACCGATATGCGGTACACTCAAGCCTTTCCACAAAGTTGAGCTTCAGACGAAAGCTCCCGAAAAACCAGTGCCGTCCGAGGTGATTAGTGCAGTACCAAAAGGAAGTATTCCTTGCGTAGCTGAAGAATCAAAACCATTAGCAGAAATACTCACAGCGACCGTACAACATCTACATAGGGATAATATTGACAAAGCTGAGAAAACGGTGTTGATTGACGATAAGCAATCTTTAAAGAAAAATAAAACTGATTCTGATGTACTCTTAGTAAAGGAGAATCCTGTTACAGAGAAGCTAGAGCTTCATAAAATTGAAAGTGTGAAACCAGTGCCTTATACTATGGGAATGCCCCCAACTTGTGTGAATTTTCTAATGGACGATCTCTTGGTGCACGAAAATGCACAGAAAGAACAAAAAGAGTTAAACATACCCGAGAAGTCATTGAAAGAAACATTGTTGCTATCAGCAAGAGAGGAAATAATCAGTCAAACACAGCCGACGCATGCACCGGATTTTTCATCATCCGCAATTACTGGGATTCCGAAATTGCCTAAAGGTTTAGTTAAAACCACGGATGCTTCTAAATATCTTTCGCAAGATCCAAAAAATTACCGTTATATTTTAGGCAGAGCGATGATAGAAGACGGTCTTGAATATATGGAGCTTACACCACTGCACAGACAACCGAATATTTTTATTACAGGCTATACACGTGTTCAACCGAAAACTATAGATTCCCTTTTTGTCGGCAGAGGACGCCCAACGAGTGTTTCTATGCCAAACACTTTCGGAGTCCGCCCGAAAGGTCTATGTACTCACGGTCCTTCCGCAAATGTAGTGCTCTCAACTTTTGGTTATACACCCATGTCTGAGTTGGAGTCGATACCAGAAAATCTCTTACCACCGAATGTTAAGCCGATATATGATAAAATTTTGGGAGCACCGTCGAAGGTGGCGTCCACCAGCAATGTAATGTCAATTACCGATACAACAACAACATCAGCGTCATTAACACCGATCACACCTAAGTCGGAAATTGAACAAATGCAGATATACAGTTCACGCATAAAATCCGAGAGACCTTATCCGACAGCGCACAGAAGTCGCACTGACCGAGCAAACGAGCGAGGTATCAACATCAATGGTCGAGTAGTTTAATCAAAAGTCCTTAAGATTTTAAATCTTTGACGAGAGTGTTCAAATATTACATGGAAATTAACTCCTAGGTACATTTGCTTATATTATGTGCTTCAGGATATAGGCTAAAACTTAAACTCATTTGCATAATATGTCCTATGGTGTCCTAGTTGTACAATGAAAATCAAACAAAAATAAAGAAATCAATGTAGAACGGAAACATTTCAGGAATACTCCCTTCTTTAGGATACAAATAGAGGTGAAAATTTCAAGAGGTGACAGGTCTTGGCGCTTTTCGTAAATACTTTTACTTAAGTTGCAGTTATATTTGGGGTTACTTTTTCTGAAAAAGCTCTTCCTTCGGTCTCTCAATGCAGCATCTCTCCATGCATCTCTCTCACGTTTCGAAGTCACAAAGCGAACACTACGATGATTATTACAGTACATTGATTCTACTTTCCAAAAGCATCATGTTAAACAAGAATGACCAGCAATGAAATCGGTTAATAATATCCTGGAAGTGGAGGTGTTCCTGCACATTTGGCTGCTTAAAAGTCAAGGCGTGGCGTGTCTTACTTGGAGCAAGATATTACTTTAATTCAATAATAGGACGTGTTGGGATAATTTTACGACGTAGTGGACATGAATCTTCCCTCCATTTCCATATATTCGACTTGATTTTTGGACGTTCGATCTTAGGATAGCTAAGAAGCTCCAATGAAATCCATTAGCCTTAGTTCATTTGGAAGATTTTGTTGCGGCAATGGGGTTGTCTTCTAGAGCAAATCCAACAAGTAATGTTTATTTTTGTATAGCTTCCGTCTATAACATGTTGGGGTTCTCATCGTAGGCTTTTCGTCTTCGATGATCCTTATTATCTACTTTTCGAGCGAATTGAGAACGCATCTTTCAAGTACAGTTTATCTATTTATTATATATTAAATGAAGTTTGGATTGATCAGGAGTTGTATTTATCGATGTTGGGAAGTGCAAAACTGAAACTCCTCTCAAACATTGGCAACCCCTTACTGCGCTCTCCCATTCTCAATGGCTCGTTAAAATAACACGTATCCTTTTCATCAAACACCAAAGTACTCTACATGGACAATAAAACACCAGCGACTCACAGTCATAAACGAAGTGAGAATAATGTCCAAAAGCTGATAATAAAAGCCTAGACAATAATTTTCGAGCAGCAAACAATAAACACAAAACCAACATCATTTGGGCTTGAATTTCAAATTGGCAAAGGGGTGAGAATGAAATTCAGATGACGGTCAAGCCATCAATATGTAATCGGATAGCAGTGGGAGCAGCTCGAATTTATGTTGAGCAAAACCCATAAAAGTGGGCGAATGATTTGACAGATGACACTTGGGAACATCGTATGAGTACATAAACACCGACGCACAAACAAATTTGTTGACGAAAGCAACAACTCTTATAAGCCACCAACGCTTATCAATATTTGACTGGTCAAGCAAATAGAAGGGGACAATGTGCCATAAACAGTAGAGAAATAGAAAAAGAAAATGAAAAACTTTCAATGATATGCCGGACCGAGGCCCGCTCAAGACCCAACCCAATTGAAATAATGACAACGGGGAATGTACATATGTATATATATATATATATACGCACGCATGAAACAACACACAAGACATTAGCACCTCATCATAGTAATGAGGTGGGTGTGAAAACATTCGCCGCCCAAGTGACACGAAACAAATGTGAAGGATATTAAACAGAAAGCATTTACATTGAGATCTACTACATCGATATGTGTGTACGGCCACTGCCTACCTACACTCACACATACATACATTTATTCTCGTTATATGTTTGCGACACATTCATGTCCTGCTAAGTAATTTTCTCCTCAGCTTTTTAGACTTTAAATTAGCAAACGAATGTGTTCAACAAATATGGTTATGGCGTGAAGAATAAAAATAGAAAAGATATTTCATGCAATTTAACTTTTCAGTTGTTGTGGAAATTAAATCAAACCAATATTGTAACTCATTTAATTCAGTTAATGCGACAAAAGCTTTTAAATCAATTAATTTGTCGTCCTCAACCAAGAAGGACAAGGAACATAAAGCCATCTGTGTTCACTTTTGCTTACATTGTTCTCCGTTTTATTTAATTTTTTCAATGATACCGTTGTTTTACTTTTTGGCCCACACTAATTATTATACATCGTGTCATATCCTTCGGGCGGCGTGTCAAGTATCTCGTTTACACCGTTATTGAAATTTCCCACAAACCAATGGCTTTACAAGTTGTTTTTTTGCTGAAAGCCGCTGGAGCGACCTTTTCATTTGTTAATTGCCTTTCTTTTACTTTTAAGTGTCCGCAAATTAAAAGTGTTGCTCCTCTAAACTTGATATTTTATTTGTGACATTGAAATTGGATTTTGTTGAGCTCAAATTTTATAAGTTGTAATTTGTGTAATGTTTTTATAATATTTTGCGTTTCCTTTCATAGTATTCTTGTTTGGTAAATGTCTTAATTATAGCATCCGCTGGCTGCAAAAGTGGAAGTTAAAATTTCTGTTATCGGTCTATGCTACGTTGTCGAAACTTTTATTGAGTAGGGAAGTCTTAGTCCAACCATAAATCAGATTGGTCTCGTCAAGACTCAAAATTCTCATAAAAAACCGTCAGTCGTTCGGAGGCGGATTAGTATAAACTGTAGGTGTAAGTCCAACTGGGAAATACGCCATAATAATAATAATAATAATAATAATAATATTAATAATAATAATAATAATAAGAAAGTCTGAGTTTTTGAGAACGTCGAGAAATAGACACCATCAGTTTTTCTGCAACACTTTCTAATTTGCGTCGCCTGTTTTTCTTAGACGGTTCTCACTTTAAATGTGGATATAATCTATTTACCACATCGCATGACTAAACAGTATAGTATTTGAGAATATTGTTGCGAAAATGCGAGGCGAATGTCAGATGAAAGAGAGAAGCCGATAACTAGTACATTCTAGAAACGATAAAACAAGAACCTTCGATAGCGAACAAATCGATGCTTCTACGCTTTCGTCTGCGAACAGCCGACTGCTTTATAAGGGCGACACTCAGCAGCAAGTTAAGTGAGTTACAAAGCGAACTGGTTGGCGTTAACATCAGTGAAGTCGTAAAGTGAACGCGTTGGGAATTACATCTAAGTAGAGTTTATGCAAGTGATTGTAGCTAGTAAAGTGCCCTGTAATTGAATTGTGTATTACGGAGTAAATAAAGGACATTAGATAAAATATTTATTACGAAAGAAACTGCAAATTAAGTTGGCGAGTTTTATTTAACAATCCAGAGATCGTACCCGAAGGATTTAGAAAATCATCGAGGTTGACTTAGTAAAATCGTAACAATATATAAATATTTGTAAATAATTTGCGTTTTGTGGTTGCCATTTGTTTACGATTAATCGAAAATTTTCTTCTCCGATGGCAGTAATGCTCTTACATAACTCAATAAAAATAACTGTTGCAGTTAATTTGAGCAATAATTGTATGCGACGCAATGTATGTATGTATGTGTATACGACATACGATTTCTATTGCCTAATTCAAGCACATGGAAAGCTCTATTATTTAATTGTTCATTGTAGTTAAACAGTTTAAGACTTAAGTTAATTGATTATTAAGTTTCTATTTGAATGATTTTATACAAATTGGCATATTCATAAATTTATTGCTTCCAGAAGATTGATTACAACAAAATTTGTATGACCTCAAGCAAAAATTGGTAGTAAATGGAATGTTGTTATTATTTTTGAGCTTAAAAGTTAAGAATCAAAAGTCTAATTTTCAATTAATCCGATGACTTATACATCTTTATATGTAGAAGAAGTTGGATATAAATATTATAAGAGCCTCAAATAGCAAGTTTTAATACAAAAGCCTTACAATAATTAACAAATCCAAATGATTGCCACATTTCCTTGTTGGCAGCTCAAAGTCCATTGCCTTGAATTTAATCCTTCCGACTAAGTTCTGGCATAAAATCGAAAAGAATTTTCTTCTATGATTTCAATAATTCACAAAATCTCTTCATTGTATAAAAGCGGAAGAAGAAACCGGTACACTGCTGCAGCCGTTCCTTTATGATTCTTTTTTAACATTTGTTGCCGAGCTGGGAAACTGACGATGGATGGAAAGCGGAACATTTTTCCGGGATGACTCAAAACTTAAATTTTTCTTTTTTACTTGGAACGGAAATAAGTTGTTTCGCTGGCGACTGTAAGTGAGGAGAAGGAGCTTGATATGCTTTGCTTAGACTAATGTCAGCAGTCATTTTTCTAGGACATCAATCTGCTGGGCTTAAAGATCTTAGATCGACGTCGTCCTACTATCGATTTAGCCGGGGATTTGTGCCCAGAAATTAAATGCCATCACCTTTCTTACACCAGAGTATTTTTCCTAACTCGGCTCGTAGTAGCCACCTCAGGGTTTTCAACTACCCATCTTACTTTGTAGTGGTGTCTAAGTAAGCAGCTATATACGTATAGCGTCGTCAATATTGAGTGACAATCATCTCTTACTGTTTGTGTACATGCAGCTATGAAATTCGATCGGCTTACTGGGAGAACCAGTGGCTCTTGCAAATAGTTTAAACAATTCTCCTCAAGTGTTATTTGTGAACTTATGCATGTACTCAGCAGTCTGAATAGTTTCTAAACGCAAGTGCAATGGCGTAAAATTTGCAATGCAAACTTTTCGCTGAATAAATCAACTTAGCGCGTTTTGCCAAAAAATCCAACTTTGTTGTTAGTCAATTTGTGATTTGTCGCCAGTTTGTTTGTTTGTTTGTTTGTTTGTTCGCTTGAGCACGAAAACACTTCACTTAAAATGTTACAGCTGCGTTCAATTCCACTTTGACACTTTGCAAAGGACTCAGTTGTCAGTGCAGCATCCCGCGACTACATTGCTAGAGTGGACATAGGCAGCGGAAGTTGGGGTTACTTACGAGCGTGCTTGTTGTTGTGTTGTATTTCCATTTAATACTGGATCGCATAATCATGACTTTCTCCTTCAGCCTCAGTTTTGCTGTTAATGACAGAATTTTCTTGTGAAGTGTTGATTCGAATTAATTATTTCCACTCCGTTGTTAATTGCATTTGGAAGAGATATTCCTTTGCATCTGCTCTTGCGATCAACTGGGAAGTACTTCAGTTATTGCCGCATTGTTTTCAACACCTGATTGTAGTTGAAATGAATTTTCTGTTTAACATTTTTGATACCGCTTTTCTATTTGTTGTTTTTGAAGCTGAACAATTTGAAAAAGATATTACGTGTTTGATATTTTTGCACTAAAACTTTCCAAACTAATTGAGAGCGAAGTACTCGTAAGTAAAAAAACCGTTAATTGAATATATGTATGTGTATGCTTTTGATTTGGTCACGACACGCAGGTTATGAACCTTTCTAGATACAAGCAGCGGGTGGTACAACCGTAAGTCCGATTTGATTTGTACCAGCTGCGATAAGCCTGGGACACCCCTGCAGGACTATCAATTCGAATATTACTTCTTTCCTGTAACGCCCTAATATTTGAGTAATATCATCTCCATATTTCAACATAGCCTTCAAAAATGAATCAACATAGCTGCACTGACTTTACTGCAGTTCTCAATAACGTTTTCATTCATACGTTTAAGTTAGATGAAAGCGAGATACGACCATTTAAAATATGATATATGCAAGGTAAAGCTCCCGCGTTTCACTCTCTTCTGTGTTCCGAGATGATAACTAAGAGGTAGATGTCCCTTCAATACACCTACAAAACTACTAAGCTATCTTTTGCTTTTTGCTACCAAGAGCTTGGTTTGTCTTTAGAAAGGTTAGTTTCGAGATAAGATATGCTACAGAACTTTAAGTGTTACGGCGGTGCCAGCCCGAATCAGCTCAATGGCCTTTTAATTACCTACTACATTTGTGTGACAAGTAATTACTCCACTGTATCGCTTGGAAGACAGAGTTGCAGTCATTTGGTTTGAATTAACTTTGGATGTTGCTGTGTTCATAGAAGACCCCTGTCTCTAATCCTGCCTTGTATTTGGATTCATCAGTATAGATGAGGATGTCTTCAGTATTATCGAGCGCCTTGCCTTCTGCCCATTCTTCCCTGCCAGGGAAATAGTAGGTGCCTTGTACCCGATAGACGATTTCCTTTTCTCAGTGGCTGTGTACGTTCAGCCCGAGCTCT